CGTGGGGATTCGAACTGCCGACCTTCCGATCAGCAAGCCCTAGGCTCTGTAGCCCACAGTGCCACCAAGGAAACTAGCGCTAATATGCCCAGGAACCTCACCAAAATGCTGGAGAGGGTGCACTTCCACGGGCAAATCAGCCATTTAGAGCACTGAGGCTGGGGGCTGAGTCAAGGCAAGCGTAGTCAGGACAGAATCTGCTTGTTCAGAGCGGAGTCAACAGGAAACATTGTGGCTCAGAAGCGGCGCTTGTGCAGAATCCGGTGACTCAGAGGTAAAGGCTGTCCATCGCTGCGAGAAGCCAAGTTACAGGGAACCAGGCAGAGGGCCTTCTCGGTGGTGGTGCCCACCCTGTGGAACGCCCTCCCACCAGATGTCAAAGAGAAAAATAACTACAAAACTTTTAGAAGACATCTAAAGGCAGCCCTGTTTAGGGAAGCTTTTAATGTTTAATAGGTTATTGTATTTTAGTGTTTTGTTGGAAGCCGCCCAGAGTGGCTGGGGGGATCCAGCCAGATGGGCGGGGTATAAATAATAAATTGTTGTTGTTGATGATGTTGTTGTTGTTATGCCTTGCATGCAGAAGGCCCCAGCTTCAGCCCCACACCAGGATCTCCAGTTAGGATTGGCGGAGATCAGCTGCTGCCAGCCAGTGCACGCAATGCTGAGCTATATGGACCAAGGGTCTAGCCAAGTACGCAGCCATTTCCCGTGGCCTGACTCTGTGTAAGGAGCTTTCCTATATTCCTAACCACAGGGCTGTGTAGGGCGGCTCCACAGATGGCGTCTTTGCCCCGCCACAGAAGAGGTTTTTCCAGAGTTTTCCCCCACCCCAGAAGCCGCCACTATCGGACGTCTTTTGTCCCTAACATGAAATTACTGCCCCAGGAGAGGTATCATTAGTCTAGGGGCGTGGGGTGTAATTTGCGCATAGGATCATTTATCTCCAAGGCAAGATTTGATTCAAAACAAAAGAAGGGATATTAGTAACAGCGCTTTGTCCTCAGCCAGTCCAGGGCACCTGGAGGGATCCAGTTTGAGTATTGCAACACCTGAGGCAGTCAGCGTTTCTTCCATCGCATGCCATGAGGCGACGTCAAGAGTGAAGCCCCACACATTTGAAGTTCCCCTGCACCACTGTAAGAGTCAAAGCTTCCCCCCTGATTGGGCAAGAGATGTTGGACATAATATAATGTTGGAAGATTGGGAAAGGTTATGGAAGAAAGGGGTAAAGTTTACTGCATGTACGGTATTAAAAGAAAACATCATGAAAATGATGTCTCGATGGTACTTAACCCCAGTCAAATTGGCAAAGATCTACCACATGAATGATAATACATGTTGGAAATGTAGAGAGAAAGAAGGTACTTTTTGACATGTGGTGGACGTGTCCCAAGGTGAAAGACTTCTGGGGGAAAATATATAATGAATTGGAAAAAATGTTGAAAAATACATTTACCAGAGGCCTTTCTACTTGGAATAATAGGAATGGAATTGCCCAAAAAAGATGTTAAATTATTTTTGTATGCCACTACAACAGCAAGACTGCTGTTAGTTAAAAATTGGAAATCTCAAGAAATACCAACAGTGGAAGACTGGCAGATGAAGATGTTGGACTTTTTGGAGCTGGCCGACTTGACTGGAAGGATCCGCGACCAGAAAGAAGAGGAATATTTTCTTTTTTCTATGTTATATTTGTTATAATTGTGGAAAATTTAATTTTTAAAAATGGGGGGGGGGAGCTTTCCCCCCCAAAGAATTCTGGGAGCTGTGACGGGGGCTGAGAGTTGTTAGGAGACGCCCTACTGCCCTCACAAGAACTAAGATTCCCATGGTGGTTTATCTATCAATCCTTCTTTCCAAGGAACTCTGGGAATTGTGGCTCTGAGAGAGGAATGAGGCTTCTCCTAACATATCTCTGTGCTCTTAGCAAACTACATACCCTACAACATGAAAATAGAGACATCCCATTCCATAATGATAATTTTACTATGTATACCCCAGGCATCTTACTGCAGGGGTCAGCAAACGTTTTCAGCAGGGAGCCGGTCCACTGTCCCTCAGACCTTGTGGGGGGCCGGACTATATTTTGCGGGGAGGATAAACGTTGCTGTATGTATGTTTTATTTTAATTGTTTTTTATCTTATATTTTGGAAATGTACATCCAATTTTTTCCCCTTTAGTTTTTTTTTGGGCCCCCTAAGAGAGAAGAGCCCTAAGCTATACTGCAGGGGTCAGTAAACTTTTTCAGAAGGGGGCCGGTCCGCTGTCTCTCAGACCTTGTGGGGGGCCAGACTATATTTTTTGGGGGGGAATGAATAAATTCCTATGCCCCACAAATAACCCAGAGATGTATTTTAAATAAAAGCACACATTCTGCTCATGTAAAACCACCAGGCAGGCCCCACAAATAACCCAGAGATGCATTTTAAATAAAAGGACACATTCTACTCATGTAAAAACACGCTGATTCCCGGACTGTCCACATGCCGGATTTAGAAGGCGATTGGGCCGGATCCGGCCCCCGGGCGTTAGTTTGCCTACCCATGTCTTACTGGGTTGCCCCAGCAATACTGGGAGGCTCCCAATATATATAAAAACATAATGAGACATTAAACATTTTTTATAGCCTTCCCTATCCAGGATTGCCTTCAGACAGCTTGGGGGCTGGATAACTCCAAACCCTCCAACATTTCTCCAAAGGAAATAGGGACGTCCTAAGGAAAAGTGGGACATTCCGGGATCAAATCAGAAACCGGATGGCTTCTCTAAATCAGGGATGTCACTGGAAAATAAGGACACTTGGATGGTCTGAAATTACCGTTCGAGGATTCTTTGGAAGAAGACAGAACTGTTTAAAGTGGCTTTGTGGTGCTTCAACTGTACGGTATTAATGTGGCCTAAAAGGGACATGGGTGGCGCTGTGGGTTGAATCACAGAGCCTAGGGCTTGCCGATCAGAAGGTTGGCGGTTCGAATCCCCGCAACGGGGTGAGCTCCCGTTGCTCAGTCCCTGCTCCTGCCAACCTGGCAGTTCAAAAGCACGTCAAAGTGCAAGTAGATAAATAGGAACCGCTCCGGCGGGAGGGTAAACGGCGTTTCCATGTGCTGCTCTGGTTCGCCAGAAGCGGCTTAGTCATGCTGGCCACATGACCTGGAAGCTGTACGCCGGCTCCCTCTGCCAGTAAAGCGAAATGAGCGCTGCAACCCCAGAGTCGGTCACGACTGGACCTAATGGTCAGGGGTCCCTTTACCTTTAATGTGGCCTATATGGTGGATGGAGAACATTCAGTGGAGAAGTACAATTTTCACAGTTTTCGGCGTGACTTAGCGATCTCTCCCTGTTCACAGGCAGAAGCAGATTTAGGGCGGTGCAAGCAGTTCATATGCTGCTAGACTACAGCTCCCATCTGCCTGGCAATAGCTGACTGTGGATAATGGGAGTTGGAGTCTAATAGTGTCCATATGGCCACAGGTTCCCCATCCCGGTTCTAGGGAACAGATTCTTTGCAAAATGTTTGAAATCTGTGTTTCAGTCTTGGTGTTGCTTTTATTTTTTCTCTCAGTGCTGGGTCTTTCCCATTGATGTTTCATATTGGACAGTCCTTGCTACTTGACATGCAATGGTTGTATTCTGTCGCCAAGAGCTAACATGCATTGGTGCTGAGCATCTGACACCTACCCCTCCTGAGATTTCATATACGACACCTGGTGAATTGATCCAGAACAGCCAGTAAATCTATAGCAGCTGAGTTTGAAACACTGAAGTGAAATCGTGGAGGTTTTTAAGCAGAGTTTGATGGCCATCTGTCATGGATACTTTAGTTGAGATTCCTGCATTGCAGCGGGTTGGACTAGATGACCCTCAGGATCCCTGCCAATTCCACAAGTCCATGGAATTTGGCATTCAGCACACATCTGAATTTTCAAATTAAAACATCTGAATAATTAAACCGGAAATCTGGGCAGATGTGAATCATCTGCAAATTTCAACTTGACTTTTTTTGTTCCTTTGGTTTTCTATGTCACCCATGCAGAAAGGCCATACACAGTTAAAAGCCAATGGCCTGCTGAAACAGGATTGTTTCTGCCTGGTGTCTGAAGGTATGTGATTATGTCATCAGGGGAGACTCTCAGGCAGAACATCCCACAAATGGGGAGCCTCCACCGAAAAGGCCCTGTTCTTGTGTTGCTGTCCCACGGACCTCCCATGGGGGGGCCACACAGAAGAGACTCTCCAATGGAAGGAGTTACTCTTACCTACTATTGAAGAATGGTTATAGAAATTGATGGATCTGGCTGTGGTGAACAAGCTGACATGTTTAATTAGAGAAAAATCTCCTTAATGATTGCAAACCCCTTATGGACCTTTTGTGCCTAAAGGAAAATGAACTTGTGATATCGGGGTTTGAAGAATGGGAAAAGGTTGATTTATGGATAGAAGAGTTGTATGCTGTTCTGGAGTAAGGGTTTTGCATAAGTCTACGTAGCAGATGGAGAATCAGAAGTCTTCTTCTTTTTCCTTTATTTTCTCTCTTTTAGTTTTCATGTTAAAAATGCTTGGTATTTGATGTTAACTTTTGTATATATATATATTTCTTTCTTTTTAAAAAAGCTTAAATAAATAAATAAATAAACAAACAAACGAATAAGAGCCTCAGAGGACGGTCGCAGGATCCAAGTCGGTTCATGTGGGGAGAGGCGGTCCTTGTGATGTTGGAGTCCTGAGCCGTATAAGACTTTATAGGTCAAAGCCAGCGCTTTGAATTGGGCCCGGATTGTTAATGCATGTTGACAGACACACACACAAAGAGAGAATTCTGAGGGAGATTGGAACCTACCACCGGGAACTAGGCATGTCAGAGAATTCCAACCAAAACAGGGGCAGAAATCACTGGTGTTTGATTAGTCATCTCACGTCCGGAATGGAAATTAATTCAGCAAATACATTCAGTATCCACTGCTAGTGGTCCTTTGTGTCTGCAAGTGATATGGGGAACGGCCGTAGTTCAGTGGTAGAGCATCTGCTTTGCATGCAGAAGTTCTCAGGTTCAATCTTTGGTGGCATCTCAAGGTGGGACTGGGAGTGAGTTGTGGCTGAAACTCTGGAGAAGCCGCTGCTAGGCGGTGTTGAAAGTGCTGAGCGAGACTTCATGTAGAATCATAGAACTGTTGGTAGGGATCCTGAGCATCATTGTGTTTCACACACACACACACACACACACACACACACACACTGCAATGCTTCATGATACGTTTTTTCAGGTTGCGTCCTGTGGCGACCCGGAAAGGGTTACTTCCGGATTTCGCTGCTCTTCGCTGCTCACACAGGCGCAGGTGCGCAAAATGACATCACGCCCATGCGCAGAAGCGGAGAATCGCAACCCACGCATGCACAGACGCGCCACTGCGGGTTGCATTCTCCTCATGTTGCGAACAGGCCTCCGGAATGGATCCCGTTCGCAACCAGAGGTACCACTGTATGCAGTTGTCCCATATGGGGATAAAACCTGTGACCTTGATCTTATCAGCACCATGCTCTAACCCACTGAGCTATCCATGTAAGGCAACTTCCTTACATGTTCCTGCGTTAAGTGGTGGCAATTCCCCCCCCCCCCATTTGCATTGTGTTTCTGTTGCACCGAAATGAATGTAGTGGAATAAGATGATGACAATGTAATATACATGATTTCTGTAACTCATCACGCAAAAGTTACGAAATTTCATTTTTGTGGAAGAAGAACCGCAGCAGAGCAGAAACAGCGTTGCGGGCGATGCATTCAGGGGAGAGGGGGAAACGATGCCTTTTTACCCTGAACCGATCACACAGTGGTTGAAGTTTAACATGGTTTTGTCTTGTAAAATCTGGGCTCTTAAGAGAGAAGACTTGCTGCTGTTCCTTCAACACGGCCCCAAATAGCAACTGTTGATCTGCGACAGCCATGACAAGCGTATGAAAGACCCACCTTGATTGGTTTGTTACGGAGCTCAATTTGGCATGGTATCCCCTCCCCGTGATGGAAACAAAATGCATATCGAAGTAGACAAACTCGATCAGCAAGACTCGGGAAAAACATATCCAAACCCAGCTACAGCGAACCTTGGGAGGATAGAGAAATTACAGGGCAAGATTCTGCCCCCAATTGTTAGGGAGGGGAGAATGCAGAGCCTCAGAACTTCAGAAGAGCCTTCTGGATCAGACCCAAAGACCCATCTAGTCCAGAACCCTGTCTTCACAGTGGCCAACCAGAATCCTTCAGGAAACCCCCAGGTAGGGGATGAAGGCAAGAAGCCCTCCCTCTGTGTACCTAATAACTTGTATGGGTAAAGGTAAAGGTAAAGGGACCCCTGACCATTAGGTTCAGTCGTGGCCGACTCTGGGGTTGCGGTGCTCATCTCGCTTTATTGGCCAAAGGAGCTGGTGTACAGCTTCCGGGTCATGTGGCCAGCAGGACTAAGCCGCTTCTGGCGAACCAGAGTCGCGCACGGAAACGGCGTTTACCTTCCCGCTGGAGCGGTACCTATTTATCTACTTGCACTTTTTTGTGTGCTTTCGAACACAAAACGGGGATTCGAACCGCCAACCTTCTGATTGGCAAGTCCTAAGCTCTGTGGTTTAACCCACAGCGCCACCCGCATCCCAACATATATGGGTACCTAAGACCAAAGGCCCCTCAAGTCCAGCATCCTGTTCTCATGGAAGCCAACTAGATGCCCCAGTGGGAAACCTGAAAGCATGAATTCTAGAACTTCCTTATCATGAAACAGCAGTGTTGGCACTGTCTAGTTTTCATGGCTTTCAATGCGGATTGGACCAAACTGATGGAAGAGGATGGAGCTATCAGTGGTTCTTATTGTGACTACAACTCTGTGTTCAGAGGAACTATACCTTCATGTTATGCTGGAACCACAAGAAGTATCTCCAGATGGTTGCAACTGGAGATGGGATGGCAGCCCAGATTGACATTTGGTCTGATTTGGAAGGTCGCTTCCTAGCTTAGGTGGTTTCTCTGGGAGATAAGTTTATCAATGGCTACAAGTCATGACGTTCTCCTTCTACTGAAACAGGTAGTATATCTCTGGTTGCCGGTTGCTCAGATTCTGCTTGTGGTCGTACCAGAGGCAATTGGTCATCCAGGATGCTGGACTTTGGCCTGATCCAACAGACATAATGTTTTTATGTTCCACCCCATCCTTGTTCACCCAAACCTACGCTGTGAAGGTGAGTGGGGGTATGTCAAGTCCATAGCTCACTGAGGAAGGTGGGTGTCCATTTCTCCCTGGTTGTTGCCACAGTGCAGATGATGCTATTTTAGGTTTTTTTAATAAATATATATGTATATATGACGGATTGGTTTTAGAAGAGCCAGAAAATATAGAAATATATATAAAGCTAAACAACCCGTTTGGAGGCGACAAAGGTGTAACTGGCTGGGCTGGGCTGGAGATGAATCAGACCGTCATCCCAGAAGGGTGTTGCCACCCTTCTGCCGGCACAATTAAGAACCGTATAAAAAGGGACCTGCTCCACAGGGCAACGAAAGCTAATTCCCCAAAGCCTCTGAACCATTCGATTTTACAGAGCCAGGTGAGTAGCCTTGTCGTAGCCTGAAGGGTGGAGGGGGAAATCAGTGGACAGCAGGGATGTTGGAAAGAACTTTCCGCTGCATGGAACGTAGGAAGGTGCCTTCTACTGAGTTGCGCTGTTGATCCATCTAACTCAGTGTTGTCTACACTGACTGCTAGTGGCTTTTGGGGCGGGGTGGGGGTGTTAAGGAAGCAGTGACATTCCCAAGCCCAGCTGGAGATGCATTCCTTCTCTCACTTGGAGGTTGTTGTTGCTTAGTCGTTTAGTCGTGTGCGACTCTTCATGACCCCACGGACCAGAGCACGCCAGGCATTCCTGTCTTCCACTGCCTCCCGCAGTTTGGTCAAACTCATGCTGGTCTCTTTGAGAACACTGTCCAACCATCTCGTCCTCTGGTCGTCCCCTTCTCCTTGTGTCCTCCATCTTTCCCAAGGGAGTCTTTTCCAGGGAGTCTTCTCTTCTCATGAGGTGGCCAAAGTCTTGGAGCCTCAGCTTCAGGATCTGTCCTTCCAGTGAGCACTCAGGGCTGACTTCCTTCAGAATGGAGAGGTTTGATCTTCTTGCAGTCCATGGGACTCTCCAGAGTCTCCTCCAGCACCAGAATTCAAAAGCATCCATTCTTTGGCGATCAGCCTTCTTTATGGTCCAGCTCTCACTTCCATACATCACTACAGGGAAAACCACCCCTCCTATTCCCCTCTGTGACTTACAACTTTCAGAGTTCCCTGTGAAGAGAGGTTGGTTGTTAGACCACTCTGGGAACTGTAGCCCAGAGAGGGGGGTGCAGGGGGTCTCCCAGCAACTTCTAGCACCCTTAACAGATGACAGCACCCTGGGTTCTTTGGGGGAAGCCGTGACTGTTTACAGTGGTGTCATAACGATTTAAATGTATGGTGCAAATGTGGCCTTTGTTGGATATTACTCAGTGTTTTCTAATTCTATGCAGCTGTTTTTAGACAAGTTTTTGTAGTAGTGGTAATAATAATAATAATAATAATAATAATGGGCTCTCCATTTCAGAAAAGGTTTTAGAATGTTAGGAATCTAGGAAGCTGGATTATACAGACCACTGCCCCATCTTGCTCAGTACAATGGTACCTCGGAAGTCAAACGGAATCCGTTCCAGAAGTCTGTTCGACTTCCAAAACTTTCACAAACCAAGGCATGGCTTCTGAAGCTCCTGCAGCCAGTCAGAAGCTGCGGAAGTCGCGTCGGACATTCGGGTTCCAAAGAATGTTTGCAAACCGGAACACGCACTTCCAGGTTTGCAGAGTTCGGGAGCCAAAGCGTTCAACACGCAAAGCATTCAAGAGCCAAGGTACGACTGTACTGTCAACACTGGCTGGCAGCATCTCTCTGGCAGGGCCCTAGGGTGGTAGCCAACAAAGATCTACTCCGTGTAGCCCTATTGAACACGATGGACCTAAATCAGCCGTGTGCATTCATTCTGATGCATCTGCTCTGAGTAGAACTTAAGCTGGCTACAACCTTTAATTAGTGTTATTAAACGTATGTTTATCCCGCTTAGTAACAGAACAGCCTCTCAGCTTGATTCATCTGCCGGTGTTGGGTGACAAACTGGGCAGGATGCAAAAGGTCCTCTGCCTCACAGGAGCGGAAGCAGCCCATTCACTCCTATTGCATGCGTGGATTAGCCTAAGTTCATCTCATCTAAGTTCATCCCAGTTCATTGGGAAATGCTTAAATCTTTCATAAACAAATCTGACCTGATCAAGAACCAATGCTCTATTTATTTTCTTATGTTTGGATGTTTTTGTGGGTAATGATGTTGATAGTGAGACATCCATAGTTGCTGTGTATGGGGGGGGGGGTTGGGGGGAGGGGTTGTTCAGAGCCTTTATTTTTACCTCCCATGCCTATTCATGCAGATTTAATGTGCTAATGAACTGTTTTGAAGCAAGGGAACTAATACAATTCAGATTGCATGCACTTGGTGGGGTATCACTCCCTCTGAAGGAGTGTGTATGTATCTTGGGAGTACAGTAGTACCTTGTTTTGTTTGTTTGCTTTTATATAAATTTTTATTAGTTTTTTAACATATCATTTTCAACAGTAAACAAACATACTTTTACATCTTATTCAATTTTTTGACTTCCATCAGTCCTGTCTGAAAATTTTCCAATCTAATCTCTTAGTATGCATTTCTTATTTTCCCTATTACATTTCAAACTCATAACCAATATCTCTATCTTTTTCTACTTTGTAACACTTCGTATATTTCTCCTTACAAAACTTCCTGTAGTCCTACTAGCATAATTTGTTGATTACAGTTGCTCTTCAAATAATTCATATACTTCTTCCAATCTTCTGTGAATCTCTGGTCCCGCAGGTTTCGAATCCTTCCTGTCATTTTGTCCAATTTCTGCATAGTCCATTAATTTTGTCTGCCATTCTTCTTTCATCAGAATTTCTTCTTGCTCCCATTTCTGGGCTAACAATACTCTTGCTGCTGTTGTTGCATATAAGAACAGTTTGACATCTTGTCTATTAATGTCTTGGCCTATAATACCAAGTAAAAATGCTTCTGGTTTTTTTAAGAATGTCTATTTCAACATCTTTTTCATCTTGTTATATATCATTTCCTAGAAGTTCTTTACTTTCTTACATTCCCACCACATGTGATAAAATGTTCCTTCTTTTTCTTTACATTTCCAACATTTATTATTTGTTTATACATTTTAACTAATTTCACTGGTGTAATATACCATCCGTACATCAATGGTACTTTGTTTTGAGTCCGGGATCCGTTCTGGAGACCTGGACGCTCAACAAAGCGCCGCTCTGTGCATGCACGTGGAGCAGTTTGCGCTCATGCGCATGTGCGAGTGGCAAACCCGGAAGTAACCCGTTCCGGTACTTCCGTACTGTCCCACCATCTCGTCCTCTGTCATCCCCTTCTCCTTGTGCCCTTCATCTTTCCCAACATCAGGGTCTTTTCCAGGGAGTCTTCTCTTCTCATGAGGTGGCCAAAGTCTTGGAGCCTCAGCTTCAGGATCTGTCCTTCCAGTGAGCACTCAGGGCTGATTTCCTTCAGAATGGAGAGGTTTGATCTTCTTGCAGTCCATGGGACTCTCAAGAGTCTCCTGCAGCAGGCAGACCTGGAGGACCACAAATGCCTGACCACACACAACCCCCACATGCTTGTTCTAACCCTATTCTGAATTGGGGAGGAATGGGATTCCTAGTAAATTAGCCAGACATATCTCCCATGTCAACCAAAAGTTGAAGTTTTACAACAATAAGAAAAGAAAAAAACTTACAGAGGAAAATAAGAATGAGAAGGGGGGTGGGGTGATGCCAGAAGAATATCACTAAGTAGCATCAATGCAGACATGGAACATGAAGGCAGCATATATTTTATTTTATTTCTTTATTTTATTTTATTTTATTTTATTTTATATTAGCAAGAATGTTATACAAATAAGTATACCAAGTTTTCTCGTGTCATTTGTATATCACAAAAATAGCATAATAAATGTTGAAAAATATCTACAATGTATGTTTCATTATTAGTGGTCAATGATTCTTGTGATTTAACAAGTATTTGGGAAAGAAAACGCAGAGGCCTTTACCGATATGTTGAACACATGGTGGATCAAACCATAATGTTTATCCTAATTCCCTTGCCTTCTTATTATGTGTACACCATCTAGACAGAGATATGGTAAGAATGAACTATGATAAAATAAGATAAAATAAAATAATAGCGCAAGAGTGTATTGTATCTTATCGATTGCCTTTTCATGTAGCCCATTCTATAGCATAAACTGAACTAACCCTCGGTCCGTATGCATAAATGATATTAAACAAAGCAAACTCCTAGTGGTGCAGCAATAAAACTGCTAGCACATTTGCAAAGCTAAGTAGAGTTTGGTATGCTTTCATTGTGCCTAAAACCTGTCATTTGCACTGGACTTTTTCCCAATACAGTAAGTCTATCTCAGTAAAAAGGTTTTTCGTTTTTATTATTTATTAAATTTTCTGTTTTACATTTTAGAATATTCATTTAAACAACCTTAGAATATCAATGACTTCCCTTCCTCTCTTTTCATGGTTCATACCCCCTCCTTTGGCAATCCTCACAGAACTCTAGCCCAATGGTTGCCATTAATCTGATTTGAACTGATTTTATAACGAAACGATTTTAGAATGTTGTATTATTTTACTCTTGTTAGCCGCTCTGAGCCCGGCTTCAGCTGGGAAGGGCGGGATATAAATAAAAGGTTTATTATTATTATTATTATTATTATTATTATTTTGCATAACATGTCCCTGCATATTTTACATAAACTAAATGATTCAGTATTCCATGATTACATCCACCAAAACTCATTTACACTGTTGAAATTATTTATTTAATTCAATAAAAAAGGTTGTTGTTTTTTAATTAAGCCATCTGTTTCAGCTCTCAGGGGCGCTGGGGGGGGGAGTATCCTGTGCTAATGGCGACGCTTTCTCTGACTAGCCCCAGCAGAACTGTCGTGAAGATGCCTTACCTCCTGGGCAGCATTTGCACTATCATTGGGGTCTTCTACAAGTATGCAAAGCGGCATGGCGACTGCTCCACCCTGAACAGGAGGGAGATGAAGCGACTCATCTTGAAGGAGTTTGGTGAGGTCATCAAGGTGAGCTGGAGTTCTGATGGAGAAAGAAGTACCAATTGGCGGGGGGGGGGGGGAGTATTGGCCAGTCTGCCAGGGACAAGGATAGTGCAATCAGGACTGTTCCTCTTATTTAAAAAAACGAATAAACCTTTATTGCACTCTGTTGAAGGTGCAAATTCCAAATTAACCTGGTTTTAGTCTATAGTTATTTCATTTTGGGGGGGGGGATTAAATTGTTATTAATTCTTCTTATTGATGAATCTATTGTTTTAGCTTTTTTGTGAACTGCTTTGAGGGTCTGGGGGTTTACAGAAAAGCTGCGTATAATTTTTATGAAATAATAAATAAATGAAACAAACAAAACAGATGCAACAGGCTCAAGGCAGTTCAATATGCACAGATCATCATAATACATTCCATCATGTGTATATTTTCTTTATGGAGTTTCGAGGTGAAGAAGGTAACTCAAAAGGTATCTGGAGGCATTAACCTTTGAACTTGCAGAGTCCATAAGCCCTTTCCATACTTTCTCGAATGGGTTCTTTATCTGTTGTCCGCTTTTGTGTTGCTTGATCTAAAAGGGCATTTTGCCTAGCAAGAGAAGACCAGAAAATATTCCTCTATGCCACAGGAGTGGCAAGGATCCTAACTGCTAAAAACTGGAAAAAAGAAATTGTGCCAACAAAAAAGGAATGGCAAGGCAAACTGTTAGAGTATATTGAACTGGCTAGATTAACAGAGGCAATTAGAGATCACACTAGACAAGAGTTTCAAAAAGCATGGGGGAAATGCAGAGAATACTTCACAAAACAGTGCCCTAAAATACATACCTGGACTTGTTTCAATTAATGTCTGCAGGAGACTTTGTGGATATTTAAGTTATAATTAGAAAAATCTTAATAATTATTCATAAAGGAAACAGATTATAAGAAGTAAATAAGGAGACCAGATATAGGATGAAGGAAGTCTTTCATTTGGTTGTTTGTATTGTTGTATGTTATGCTCGCTGTATGTTATGTTCACGTTTAATGAGGGTGGATTTCTGTATTGGGGGGTTTATGTTAAGTTGTAAATAAAATTTCCAATAAAAATAAAAAAGATAAAAGAGCATTTTGCCAACGTTTTCCATGCCACTGCTCAGGATGCCAATTCTGCAAGGCATCCCAGTTCTAAGCTACCACGGCTCAACAGCTGTTTAAGTTTGAGATCTAATTCTCCAAAAACATATCTAACACAACCAAGGTTAGAGAGATCAGGACTTTTGCTGAGGAACAGGATTTCAACAGAGCTAAAGGGTAACGCCCTCTGCCTTCTCCATCTTTCAGAACCCTTCTGATCCTGAGACGGTTGAGATGACCTTCCAGCTGCTGGACATCAATGGGGACGGCTTGGTGGACTTCAACGAGTACCTGCTGCTCATCTTCAGAGTGGCCAAGGCCTGCTACAGCCACCTGCAGCCCAGAGAATGCCTCCTTCAGCAGGGAGAAGCCCGTAGAGCCTTACGTGAAAGGGAAGCTCGAGGGGAAGGACGAGACGATCGCCATCTAAGGGAGGATGAAAGGGAAGGAAGCTATGATCGCGAGAGGCGGGACTCTGACCGCACACGACTTCGTCAGCTGGAAGCTGCCACTAGAGACGAGGGGAGAAGAGATTCCTTTCCACGGGAGGCTGTTGCCCGAGGAGTTGAGAGGAGCCGTCATGCTCGTGATCACGAGTTGAGGGATGATCGTGGGAGGGACCGTCCATCCCATGAGCCTCAGGATTCGGAAAATGAGCATGAGGACTGGCCACGTAAGTCCGAAGAGCAGGCAGATGTGGGGACTCGTCAGCAGCCTCTTGGAGATGAGCCACGTAGGAGTGACGCTGGCCGTCGTCAACTAAGACGTAGAGAACCAGAGATGGAAGAGGACCATCAGCGCCAATCGTGGGAGCGTGTCCAGAGAGAAGATGGTGAAAGACGTCCTCTGCTACGTGATCCTCGGCTACGGGAAGGGGGTGAAAGTGAGCGATATTCCCAAGAGGCCACACAAAGAGACAAAGATGAGAGGCGACATCAAGCACGAGACACTGAGCGTCAACTGGAGGAGGAAGAGGACCTGAGAAGGCCACATGTGTCTGGACCACGGATAGATGAAGAAAGCCACAACCGTCGACGTGCAGTACAGGAAATCAGATCTGATTATGGAAGATCTCGCCCATCCCGTGAACCCCGCGAACGGGAAGATGCAAGGAGGGACGATTACGTACGTGAAGCTGAGCGGAGGTCTAGCAGACGTGACCAGTGTGTATCTGATGCGTGCAGGGATCAAAGATCTGACCGTGAACCAGTAGATTGTGATGATGAACGCCACTCATTTCCTAGAGAGGGTGAGAGGAGATCTCGGTCCCGTGATGCAGAACAAGAGCAGAGAAGGTCTCAGATGCCTGAGGAAGAATACAGAGAGAGACCCAGGTCTAGTGATCCTGACTACAGAGTGGATGAGCAGAGAAGACAGCGTCAGTACACAGCCCAGTCTAGAGAGGCTGAGCTCCATGAGCCTGATGTAAGAGAATCTGAACGGAGGAGGCGCCAGCCTGTGGATCAAGACCACTGGAACAGACCTTATCCACGGGAGTCAACCACAAGAGAAGAGCTTGAAGACCAGCGAGGGTCTCGTGATCCAGAACGCAGAGAGCGTCAGTGGAGTAGGCTCCATCCTTACGAGCGTAAACCTACAGACGGTGAGAGGAGAAGGCCCCAATCTCGTGAGTCAGAGATCAGAGAGGGTGACCGGAGGAGGTCCCAAAGACGTGCACAAACCCCAGAAGATGGCAGGAGACGGGAGCAGTACCATCAGGATGATGCCCAAGAGGAGGAGAATCTGAGGAGGAGGAGACCCCTGTCTGGTGACCTTGAACCTCGTGACTATGAATCCTGCAGGCCTCAAAGACGTGAACGAGAACCAAGAGGTGATGGTCAGAGGCGGCAGCAGTATTATGACCCTGAGCCTTTGGACAGAGATGTTGAGAGGAGGATGCCAGAAGCCCCAGAATCTGCTCGACGAGAGGGTAGCCGAGGAAGGCAGCAATATTCTGACCCTGATACCCAAGAAAGAGGGAGCAGGAGAAGGCCGCAGTCACGTTATTCTGAGTCCCGGGAAGATGAGAGGAGACCTGAGGAGGCTGACTTCAGTGATGATGAGAGGGAAAGGCCCCAGGCAAGACAGTCCCTTTCTAGACCAAGAGAAGACAACAGGTGTTATCCATCAGTAGGCAGCCGAAGGGAGTGTGATCGGGGCAGGCGACAGGAATACAGTGGCCAGAGGCGCAATGTTGACCAAAGTGGCGATGAACAGGAGAGGCGGGCCCCATTACGTGACACTGATGCTGAAGATACTGAGCAAAGGCGATCCCAGTCACGTGATACTGAGCCAAGAGACAGTGAGCAGCGGAGGAGAACCCAGTCACGTGACACTGATGGCCAGAGGCGCACTGTTGACCAAAGTCGTGATGAACAGGAGAGGCGGGTCCCATTGAGAGACATTGATGCTGAAGATGCTGAGCAAAGGCGATCCCAGTCACGTGATACTGAGCCAAGAAACAGTGAGCAGCGGAGGAGGACCCAGTCACGTGACACTGATGGCCAGAGGCGCAGCCAGAGGCGCACTGTTGACCAAAGTGATGATGAACAGGAGAGGTGGGCCCCATTAAGTGACACTGATGCTGCAGATGATGAACAACGGCGATCCCAGTCACGTGATATTGATACAAGAGACAATCAGCAGCAGAGAAGAACCCAGTCTCGTGACACTAATGGCCAGAGGCGCAGCCAGAGGCGCACTGTTGAACAAAGTGACGATGAACAGGAGAGGCGGGTCCCATTGAGAGACATTGATGCTGAAGATGCTGAGCAAAGGCGATCCCAGTCACGTGATACTGAGCCAAGAGACAGTGAGCAGCGGAGGAGAACCCAGTCACGTGACACTGATGGCCAGAGGCGCACTGTTGACCAAAGTCGTGATGAACAGGAGAGGCGGGCCCCATTGAGAGACATTGATGCTGAAGATGCTGAGCAAAGGCGATCCCAGTCACGTGATACTGAGCCAAGAGACAGTGAGCAGCGGAGGAGGACCCAATCACGTGACACTGATGGCCAGAGGCGCAATGTTGACCAAAGTCGGGATGAACAGGAGAGGCGGACCCCATTGCGTGACATTGATGCTGAAGATACTGAGCAAAGGCGATCCCAGTCACGTGATACTGAGCCAAGAGACAGTGAGCAGCAGAGGAGAACCCAGTCACGTGACACTGATGGCCAGAGGCACACTGTTGACCAAAGTCGTGATGAACAGGAGAGGCGGGCCCCATTGAGAGACATTGATGCTGAAGATTCTGAGCAAAGGCGATCCCAGTCACGTGATACTGAGCCAAGAGACAGTGAGCAGCAGAGGAGGACCCAGTCACGTGACACTGATGGCCAGAGGCGCAATGTTGACCAAAGTCGGGATGAACAGGAGAGGCGGGCCCCATTGAGAGACATTGATGCTGAAGATTCTGAGCAAAGGCGATCCCAGTCACGTGATACTGAGCCAAGAGACAGTGAGCAGCAGAGGAGAACCCAGTCACGTGACACTGATGGCCAGAGGTGCAGCCAGAGGCGCACTGTTGACCAAAGTCGGGATGAACAGGAGAGGCGGGCCCCATTGAGAGACATTGATGCTGAAGATTCTGAGCAAAGGCGATCCCAGTCACGTGATACTGAGCCAAGAGACAGTGAGCAGCAGAGGAGGACCCAGTCACGTGACACTGATGGCCAGAGGCGCAATGTTGACCAAAGTCGGGATGAACAGGAGAGGCGGGCCCCATTGAGAGACATTGATGCTGAAGATTCTGAGCAAAGGCGATCCCAGTCACGTGATACTGAGCCAAGAGACAGTGAGCAGCGGAGGAGGACCCAGTCACGTGACACTGATGCAAGGGACAGTGGCCAGAGGCAAGCGCTGACACGTGATACTAACCAAAGAGATAGCGAACAGCAGCGGAGAGCCCTGCCAACAGATGATGAGCAGAGAAGAACCCGATCAGGGGACCCAAGGTGTGATGGAAAGCAAAGAAGAACATCATCACAGGACACCAATGCTACAGATGTTGACCGGAGACAAACACAGGCCCGTGGCACTGACCCGAGAGAAGGTGAACAGCAAAGGAGACCCCAATCGCGTGACGCTGAACCAGCAGATGTTGACCAGAAGCAGACACCAACACGGGGTGCTGACCCCAGAAATGATGAGCAGCGGCACCGAGTCCTGTCACGGGACACTGAACAAAGTGATGGAGAGCAAAGGCAGACTCAGTTGCACAGTGTGGATGCCAGGATTGCTGCCGCAAGGGACGGCAGGCAGCAAAGGAGAACTCAGACCAGTGACGTTGACTCGAGAGATGCTCAACAGCAGAGAAGAATGCAGTCGAGTGACACTGAACCAACAGATGGTGACCAGAGACAAACCCAGACCAGTGAGGCTGGCCCAAGAGAGAGAGGGCAGCAAAGACAAACTGAGTCACGTGACACTGAGCAGGGGGCGTCCCGAGAAGAGCCCCGTTATTCCGAACCCAAGGACAACGTTCAAAGGAGGCAAGTTGTGCCAGAAACCCAAGTGGCTCAGCCAAGCAGTGTCCGACAAGCTGAGCCTCTAGCACAAGACGTTGAGGGGAGCAGAGCTCCTCCACGTGAGGTTGCACCCAGTGCTGACACAGCCAGGAGGCCACGACCACAAGAGCAGGAAGCTGCAGAGAGGGTGCTGGGAAGGCAGAGGCCGGCTGAGTCTGGAGAAACTCAACAAAGACCAAGTGAAAGGGAGAGAGCCCAGTCACGTGAGCCTCAGCGGAGCGATGGGGAGCAGGGCAGAGCACGCCCAGGTGGGCCCGATCCAAGACAGTCCACAAGAAGCCTGTGTGGACCAGAACGGAGCAGGGCTGAGAGAAGCCAGCCACGTCAACCGGAGCCCCAAGAAGGAGACTCAAGGAGGCAACAGACTCAAGACCCTGGATCCACTGATGGCAAGACCTCCCAGCCTCGTGAGCCACAGGCTGCGGACCGCCAGCGAGGAAGACCCAACACAGAACCCAGAGCTGAGGGCAAATCTGAAGGGAGAGAAGGGGCTCGGGAACAACAGTCTAGGGCAACCGAACAACAGCAAAACCCGGTTCAGGGTGTGTCCCGCAAAGAAGAAAGTGGCTGCCCTGGGTCGATGGAACGGCAGTCCGAGGAGAGTGACCGAAGCAGCCCACAGGCCCGAGAAGCCCAACCGCCATTGGAGGAGGTTGGCGAGCCTGGCGCAGAAAGACCACCAGGTGGCGCCGTGAGCGAGAGCACCCCTGAATCCAGCTCCCAGGAGAAGCCGGGTTTTCTGTGTGGCGACAAAGTGCCGCTGGTTTGCAACCCGCTCTATCAATATCTCCTGGCCCAGAAGAAGCAAGAGCAGCCATAGGCAACCCGGGAAAGATTCAGGCTGAGGCCACCACCTCCTCTGCCATCTGTCCATCCACACATGCAATCGAAATCAGGGGTGGATGACATTTGTGGCCCTCCAGATGTTGCTGGACTCTACCAGCCCCAGCTGGCATGGCCAATGAACAGTCTGGTGGGAGTCAGGGTCCAGCAAGATCTGAAGGGCCACAGGTGTCCCCCCCAACCCTGCTTTGGGTTGTCTATGACCTTCCTGGGTTCTCATCCACTCTTCTAATCAGCCCTACGTCAGTGGTCCCAGCCAACCAGGGAGAGCACACCATTGATGTGTCCCTGGCCTCTTAGATGACAGCCATTATTTTAGATCGCCTGTTTCCCTCAGTGGGTCTTCTTCTAATCAGCTCTAATCAGCTCTAAATCAGTCCTTTGCTTCACGTAATTGGTATTTATGCTAGCACGCTACCATATATATGTACGCTGAGCATCCCTACTCGAAAAGCATGGTGGTTCATGGCTTACACTTCTCTCTCACAGCACAATCTTACTCGTGTTTACTCTGACGTAAGCCCTACTACATTCAACAGAGCCAACTCAGATTATGTATGCTTTGAAATATCAGGATGGACTGGGTTCTGGTATAAACAAATGTTCTAAATTAAGGACCTAGACTACCTATAATTGGGACTGGGCTGAGTTTTTGCCCGCAAAAACCTGAGGACAAAAAGAGGGGTTTTCAAGGGGTGGAGGGAAAGGAAGACACACAAACACCCCTTCTTTATCTTTGTTTGGTGAGATCTTTGTCCTAGGTCACATCTGTTTCTGTTGATAATCTGCTGTCTCTGTGCCATTTAAGTTTTTAAAAATGGTGTTCCTCCTGAGATGATCCCAGTCAGCCAGGCACCCACACACATCATTCATGTGGTCAAACAAGGGCCACGTCAGTACCCCACATGCATCATTCCCAAAGTTGTCCCAGCCAATCAGGGACCACGCAGGCACCCACATGCATCATTCTTAAGGCGATCCTAGCCAATCAGGGATCATGTAAGCACAACGGAATTTTGCTTTTCTCCTTCAGAGATAACACTTGTACTCCTCAATAATCGCTCAATAATCACTACTAAAACATATATGATTAATCTGCTAATGTTGATTGAATCGGGGGACAGCTTGATTCTTTTCCTGCTTCTGCCAAGGGGATAATGATTGTGGTTTCAGAGGGATTGTGATTAAATGGCTCTGCCTATTAAATTCTGCCCCCTTCAGATGCAACACCTCTCCGTCGGCAGCTGGTTGAACAACAGAACCCTTGTCTCTGACCTCCTTTGCAAGGGGGTTGAGTTGGATTGCTATAGGGGCATGAAGGCAAGGCCCTCCAGTGCTTGCAGCTATAGATCTTCTGTATTATGTCATGGTACTCAATAAATGGCTCTAGAATGAAAGCATTGGCTCTTGTTTCTTCCTCTGTTTTTCACCTTAAATGATCAAGGGGGTGCAGCAACTCCTCTTTGTGCTGGGCCCGGGGGTAACCCGAGCAACACGGTCCAGGTCCGGTCCCGAATCCAAGGAGTCAGTCCAACAGGGCCAAGGCAGGAAAACAGGCAAGGACAGGCACCGGATCTCAGGCAGGATCTGGCATACAGCAATATTGCTCCAGCAACCTGGGGCGAGGTCCGACAGCCTTTTATCTCTGTCGGGGTAACGGCCGGTCCTGATCCCCCAGCAACTCACCTCCCTGTCTTGCCCGAAGGTGAGCACTCCTCCTGCAAGTACTCAGGTCTCTCCTTCTCTCCGACCTGAGTCTCTGCAGCTCAGGAGATATCGGTGAGTTACTAGACCCAGAGGCCGCCTCAGCCTCCCCTGACCCAACTGGTAGTGGAGCAGCTGTAAGGGATGGCCCAGCTGGAGGCAACGAGGTCATCCCCGCATCTGGAGCCAGGGCAGGCTCAGGCCCCTGACTCGGCCCAGCTGGTGCTTGTTGCAAGGGAACCTGTGCAGACTGGGGCTCTTCAGGATCAGGCCCCAGACTTGGTTCAGATGATGCCTGAGGCAAAGGATCCGGTGCGGACTGAGACTCCTCTGGTTCCGAGTCTGAGCCCAAGTCCCAGGCCATTAAACTCTTTGAGGAAATGTTACAACACTTCAGACTTTTTAGTTCAGAGAAAAGGCAAGTGAGAGGAGATATCGCAGAAGTTTTTTGTAAAATAAAAACGATGCACTGCATGGAGAACGTGGACAGAGAAATATTTTTCTCCTGCTAGAACTTGTGGGAATCCAGTGAAGCTGAATGTTGGGAGATCCAGGACAGATCAAAGAAGGTCCTTCTTTGTCTTAAACTAAGGAACAAACTGCTTCAGGAAGCTGTGAATGCCACCAACCGGGCTGGCTTTCAAAGAGGCTATCTTGCCCAAGGCAAGGTGCTTCTTTTAAAATGAGATTTAGGAGCAATACAGAAGACACAAGTGAGCGAGAAGATTAAATATTTTATTCTAAAACAGCAAGCAATGTATAGTGGTACCTTGGTTTTTTAACGTCTCCGTTAATGAACATTTCAGTTTTCGAATGCCGTAAACCCGGAAGTAAATAAATAATAAATAATAATAATAATAATAATAATAATAATAATAATTTATTATTTATACCCCACCCACCTGGCTGAGTTTCCCCAGCCACTCTGGGAGGCTCCCAATTGAGTGTTAAAAACAATACAGCATTAAATATTAAAAAGTTCCCTAAACAGGGCTGCCTTCAGATGTCTTTGAAAAATAAGATGCTGCTTATTTCCTTGACATCTGATGGGAGGGCATTCCACAGGGCGGGCGCCACTACCGAGAAGGCCCTTCGGTTTTCAAACACGCCTTGGAAGCTTCCACTGTATATGTTATTTTTCTCGATTTTCTCTATTAAATTTGCAGACCGCCCTTTGTGCCTCAGGTTTCAAACATTTCAGAACTCAAAAGATCTTATGGAACAGACTATGTTCAAAAACCCAAGGTACCGCTGTATACATACCAAGCAAGCGCTGTTGTAAACAAAATCAATCTGCCCTTTTCCCCTTATGGGGGACCCAAGAGCCCATATAGAGTCCTTACACTTGGAAGCCCTCAAGAAGCGGTAGCCTCAGTTTGCACAGCCCTGCGGCCAATCAGTCCATGCACAAACTTCTCCAAAACTCTGCCCAAACCGTCCAATTTTATAGATAGCCTGTGTGGCTTGCCCAACTGGCTTGCCCATTAGCCAGCCCCTAAAAATGCCTCACTTTCTCGAAACCATGTCCAACATCAAAGAAGTTTTATAAGAAGAAAAAAACCTGCTCCTTTATGAGGTTTCCAAGAGCCCGTATAGAGCCTTTTTGTAGGTTCTCTATGGGTAGGAGAAAATAACAGAGGCCAACCAGAGAATATTGAGAAGCAAAGCAGCTAGTAAGCCTGATCTTTATTAAACTGCTGCAACAGGAACCCAGAACCATGGTGTGCAAGTTCTTATATAGACTTTTGAAATTGCAACTGGCGCTGTGGTCTAAACCACAGAGCCTAGGGCTTGCCGATCAGAAGGTCGGCGGTTCGAATGCCCGCGACGGGGTGAGCTCCCGTTGCTCGGTCCCTGCTCCTGCCAACCTAGCAGTTCGAAAGCACATCAAAGTGCAAATAGATAAATAGGTACCGCTCCAGTGGGAAGGTAAACGGCGTTTCCGTGCGCTGCTCTGGTTCGCCAGAAGCGGCTTAGTCCTGCTGGCCACATGACCCGGAAGCTGTACGCCGGCTCCCTCGGCCAATAAAGCGAGATGAGCGCCGCAACCCCAGAGTCGGCCACAACTGGACCTAATGGTCAGGAGTCTCTTTACCTTGACCCCCGAAAACAACATACATACATCACAGAAAAAGGTGGTTCCCAACAGAAATTTGAGTGTGTTGCTTCTCTCCTGTCTGCCAGGATACCTGATCGTGCCTTATCTGATTGCCTTTTCTGGGTAGCCTGGCCATTCCTTTGAGATGGTAAATAGTTCCTGAATCTCTTACCCATATTGATAGTGTGCTCAGCTTAACAGATACTTGCCAGACTGTATTCGGAAAGGGAGGTGTAAGCCCCTACAGTCAAAAGACAATCGGAAAGCTTTTTCCATTTCCTTCCTCCTTGCAGAGAAATATTTGAAAGGATAATGGGGGAATAGGAGGTTTTCAAATTGGTGTCAGAGAGCCGGTAGAGATGGCTCTTCTCAACCACCAGGTGGAGTCAGAGAGTCAACAATCTGACAGCTGCTTAATTGCCTCTGGGAAGGCGATGATTAATCGCATGAGTCACTGGAAAGTTTGTACAGGGATTTTGTGAAGTTTATTGATTTCTCGCCCTTCTTGCTTGTTGGAACTTGCCCCCATGGAACAGAGATTTTTTTTAAAAAAACAACAACCCACAAGAGAACAGCCTAGCACACACACAATTGCACACTCCTAGGTGTGTAGCTTGACTTCTTCTTCCACCAACTCACTGGCGTTGATCTGAAACCAAGCCATTGTTTCCTCCCCGTTGCCAGGCACTCCCTCGTTTTTCCCCACGATATTTTTGGAATCTGCCCAGGTATCCCAGGTGCAGAGACTTGTTTTCCTTTTGTTTTGTTTTCCTGTAGGAACACAGGATGCTGAATTACTGGTCCATCTCGGCCTACGCTGCCCAGACTCTGACTGGCAGCTCCACGGGGTTTCAGGCAAAGCCTCACCCAACTCTGCCAGAGGATCTCTTTAAGGGTTGAATCTGGGACCTTCTACATGCAAAGCACGGGCTCTCAGGCTGAACTGCAGCCCTTCCCCTGAAAATAAATCAAGTTTCCATTTCTCATTGTTCTTAAGAAGGGCTGGTTTAAAGGAGAAGTGGCTTCACACTGGTCAGATTTAATATTTGTGTTCTGCTTTTCCAACAGCACATGTTGAGCTCAAAGTGGCTCACAATAATCATAATAACATTTTTTTTAAAAGTTGCAATCACTATCGTACATATCACACATAAATAAAGCGAACAACAAACTCATCAGAATAATCAATATTCAATAAAGGCGGACAATTGGCCCACCTAGTTCAATACTGGCTACACTGACAGGCAGTGGCCCTCTGGGAACTCAGACAGGGCATCCCCAGTCCTACCTCGAAGGTTGAGCTAAAAGAAAAATCTCTGAAATTTTCCCAGGGTAGTGAGAATTTTCCACTCAACTCTTTTTAAAAAAATAATAATAATTTTTATAAAATTTTGCATGATTTTATCATCACAATGTCATATCACATAACAGAAAAATACAATTCCCATGTCCCATCCCCCTTGTGACTTCCCTCAATTTCCTCTTCTGGTTTTTTACATATTGATTTCTCCTGCTTGTTTTGTTATTCTTGCTTTTAAAGCCTTTAAAATAATTCCTATTATCCTCTTGATATTTTAACATCGTTGTTATATTTTCTGTATTTATTTTGGTAGTTGTGGGTTAACTGAAACCTGCTAGTGAGTCCATTTCATTACTGTACATTGTTTCTGTAAGTATAACGTAGAGGTTCTCTGTTTAGGGAACATTACAGGGATTTTGAATTTCACCACGGCCTCTTTCATCATTTCTTCTGAAATTTGCAAGACTCTTGCCCTGGAAGGGCGTCACAACCACAAGATCTTCTGTCTGGGCACATTGCAGGGTTAAGAAATCTTAGCAGGACCTCTGCCTAGTGACCAAGTCCGAAAAGTCACAGGGAGGGCACAGACTTCCTGCTAGCTGACGCCTACCAGATATCGACTCTTGGTTGTTGTTTTTTAAGGTCTTCCTTACAAACAGCCTGTAAAAGCAGAATATACTGGACCCCATTATGTTTGTTTTAAAAGGGGGTATCTAAGGACGCAGATGGCGCTGTGGGTTAAACCACAGAGCCTAGGACTTGCCGATCAGAAGGTCGGCGGTTCGAACCCCTGCGATGGGGTGAGCTCCGGTTGCTCGGTCCCTGCTCCTGCCAACCTAGCAGTTCAAAAGCACATCAAAGTGCAAGTAGATAAATAGGTACTGCTCTGGCGGGAAGTTAAACGGCGTTTCCGTGCGCTGCTCTGGTTCGCCAGAAGCGGCTTAGTCCTGCTGGCCACATAACCTGGAAGCTGTACGCTGTGATAGGAATTTTATGGTTTTAGATATATGGCAACGTTCATAACCACACGTACATAGATCAGCACAGGAAAGCCAACCTGGAACCATTTTGATTCCTAAACTGAGCAAATGTTTCTCTGCATGGTAAAAATGGAAAAGCCTCCCCATTGTCTCTTTCCTCACAAATCCTGTCTCAAGGATATGTCTGTTTGAATAAGGTGTGAGCCTGTGACCTGGCCCAGGAAATAAGTATTTTACCACTACAAAAGAATGGCCAGGTCACAGGCAATCCAATCAAGTAACTTGCCAGACAGGAGATAAACTGTGACAGGAGAAAAACAACATTTAAATTTCTGTGATGTAGGTGGGATGTATCTGAGGGGTGGTCTTAGGTTACACCCCTTCTGTGATGACTGCATAATGTTTCTGGGGGTGGTCTTGATCTAGAGGATGGGGATTTCAAAAGTCTTTATAAGCCCTTGCATAGCATTTTTGTGGGTCCTCTTCCTCTCCTGCGTGTGAGGGGAGCACCCTGTTGCAACAGATCAATAAAGATCAAGCTTACTAGCTGCTTTGCTTCTCAATATTCTCTGGTTGGCCTCTGTTATTTTCTCCTACCAAGAGGGAACCTATGTAAGGACTCTATGGGCTCTTGGATACCCCATAAGGGAAAAGGGCATATTTTTATTTACAACAACGCCGGCTCCCTTGTCCAGTAAAGCGAGATGAGTGCCGCAACCCCAGAGTCATTCGCGACTGGACCTAATGGTCAGGGGTCCCTTTACCTTTACCTAAGGTATCTAACTGTTGGAGACGCAATAGGGATAATGCTTCTCTAAAGCATGTGTTTTTAGTACTATTTTAGTGTTGTTAGCCGCCCTGAGCCCTGCTTCGGCTGGGGTGGGTGGGATATAAATAAAATTTATTTATTATTATTTTTATTATTATTATTATTATTATTATTTCATTGTCCTATACAGTGGTACTTCTGGTTGTGAACGGGATCCATTCTGGAGCCCCGTTCGCCACATGAAAGGAATGCAACCTGCGTCTGTGCATCTGTGCATTCCATCACACTGGGAAGACTCACAGATGGGCCATTCCACTGAGCTTCACAATGATAAGGAATGGAATCTCATATATATGTGTATATATATATATATATATATATATATATATATATATTTAAATGCAGCAGCAGTTACTTCCAGGAAGCTGGATTTTGCATCTCAGTGCACATTCCCAGCTTTCTCACCCCCTGTCACTCCCACCCCACAGAATAGGGGACCCCCACAGACCCTTTCCTAGAATTGGGCTCAGAAGATACAGCCCTTTTTCATGTGCGGTAGGAAAGATTTTTAAGCCCGAGGGCTGTATTGCCACATGCAACCTTCTGTGGGATGCATGTCTGGCAGAGCAAAAAATGTGAACCATCTCCACCAGTCTCAGGCCTCACTCCACACACACACACCCGCACACACACACACAAAAAGCCACACAACCAGTGATGCTCAGTAGACCCTGAATGTCGGGTATCTGATTGAAAAGGGGGGAAATGGGGAGAGGGAAACAGGAGACAGGGGAAAGCCCTGCTTGGAAGGAATGGCTGTCTGGAAGCCTCTAGCACTTTCGATAGGCAAGAGGTTATACTGCAACTTTTTGTTGCAGCGCACATCTTTTTTGGTAACATAATAAGGAACTGGCTATTGCAGAATGCGTGAACACAACAGAGGCAACAAAGAGCCTTTGGCAACGGGTAATACAAGTGGCGATGGGGAAACTCTTCTTGGTCTGATGACAGGAGGAGTCCAGTTACTCAAGAGGAATGTCCTCTTTCCCCTGCAAAATATTGAATCTTTGTCTCCTTAGATCCTCTCCAGCCCTTAGCTAGAACTGGAGTTTGAGGGCTGCTGAGATATTGGGATGGTGTCTCAATGTCGCTTTGACATTGCCTCTAAACTGTTGGGCTGGCCTGCCACCTATTCAGCCTGTAGATTTGTGAATCGGGGTCCTTTGGTCTGATCCAGCTGCTAGATATCTTTGAATATCTAAAGGTGGTCACCTGGAAGATATTTTGATCAAGCTGAACGGAAGCTTTAGCTGAGAAGCTGCATCTCAAGAGTTCTTGAGAAAAGGGGAGCCTCGCCTGTTGGATTCCTGCCTGCCTGCACAGCGCCGCAACCAGAAAATTTATATATACAGCAAGAGGGAAGGGGGGGTGTGGAGAGATAACAGGGAAGCCAAGAGAAACAAACTTTCTCTGCCTCCCCTTTCGTCTCACATTCCTGAGCGAATAAGGAAGGTGGGGCTTGTATTCTCTCCAAACAGGCAAGTCTGGCTTTGTCATTTCAAAGCAATTGCTCAAGCGAGGAGGGGAAGGGGGAGGCCGTCTTTTTAACAGGGGGGGGGGAGCAGGGCGTTGGCCGGGAGGGGAGGGGCCACAGAGCCACCCGTTGCACATCAAATCCCTCGCTCAGAGCTAGCTGTCCAACTCAGCGGCCGGCCAGCCAAGTCTCTGCGTCCTATCGACTGACAACTTACCAGCACTATGGTAAGTTGACGCCCCGGCGCTTGGCACTCCTTGCAAGAGGGCAGAGGGATTTATGCGCCGTGATGCGCAGGAACAGGGGAGGGAGAATTCTCGTCCAGTTTTTCTAACGAGACAGCAGGCCCGGAAAGTTTGTTTCCGTTTGGCGGGGAGGCAAAGCGGGGAGTGGAAAGGGCTTTGGCAGGGAGGTCATCCTCTCCAATCAAGGCTCCTGGAAGACACGCATGGCGCATGGCTGAGCCCTACGGGCCCCAATTCTAGTTTTCCTCATTCGTTCGTGTTTGTCGCATGGAAGACGCCGCTCATTCCCTGCAGCAAACATTTCAGTTGGAGAGGGAAGGCGCATGGTGGCGCATGGCGGCGCTTGGCGGCGCATAGCTATGCGCCAGAGAGCCATGCATGGCCATGGTGTTTGCCGGTGCTGTTTTTCTAGAAGAATGAGCTGCCTACATCTCACCATGAACACCTCCCTCGTTCTCTTATAATGGCAATGAGAGGTGCCAGAACCGAGTTCCAGTGAGCTGGGGGGAAATGCTCTGATGTCTGGAGAGAGGTGCGCCTCCCTTTGAAACATGGTGGGCATGCCCGACGTCTGAGATGCATGTCTTCCCTCAAAGGGCTGCAGGCCACAGACCTGGCTGGATCCCACCATAACCACTCAGAGCCAGGGTCAAAAATTGGCATTATTTTCATAAGAAAAGACCTCTGGAACCATTCCTGGCTAGTTTCAGTTGTGCTCAAGGGAGACCTAGGTAAGGGCGTGGCTGCATTTGCCACCTCGAGACATGCACACACCCATAGCGCACAGCACATCAGCTTGTGCGCCTCTATGCGCTGTAGAGGACGATGAGCATTTTGAGGCCAGCAAAACGTCACAGATCCCAGGGCAGGGAGGCATCAGCATGTAACAGGATTCCCACTCTGGCAGCTGTTCAACAGGTGAAGCTTTCCTTTCTTGCATGCGTGCATAGCAAGGCCTGTTGGATTTCTGCCTGCCACGTGGCATGGGCACCGTTACCACGAAGGAGAAGGTGACAACCCACCATTTAATCTGTGCAATGGGAGATATTCAACAGGTACAGCCTGCCCTGGTGCTGTTTCGCCTTGCTGTTAAAAGCTTCACCTGTTGAACATCTCCCACACCAGCACACTGAGCTCTCCGTCTCTTGCTTTGGGCGCACATGTGCTGGGAGGAGGCCATATTTCAGTTTTCTACCTCAAACAAGTTGCTACTGAAAACGCAGAGAAGGCCAAGCCTCCTTTCGGAGGTCGGCTGTTGCTGTAGTCTTTCCCCACAGAAAAAGAAAAGTCAAATAAATAAAATTGCCCAATTGAGTTGAGCAAGCAGAAGAGCTTTTGCATCAGGCACAGTAACGCCATGGATATATTTCAGACTCTTTCTGGGCCCCAAACAGGAGAATTTCCTAACCTGCGGGTTGCCATCCAATTGGATTTTATTCTGATCCTGATCTGATTTTAGGGTGTATTTTAATTGATTGCCTGATTTGATGTTCATGTGTTGCACACTTGATGTTAGCCACTCTGAGCCCGATTTTGGCCGGGGAGGGCGGCCAAAATGTATTAGTAGTAGTAGTAGTAGTAGTAGTAGTAGTAGTATTTCATATAATTTTTATTGGGTTTTCATATTTAATTACATCTCATTACACAAATCTATAACACAAAACATTGCTCATACTGAGAATTGACTTCCTTCCCCCCCTCTTTCTGACTTCCAAACATCTTTTACTAAATTCTCGCATTTCTATAATCACTTTTTTACCTTAAAGCTTCTTCTTTTTTATGATAATTACCTCTTTATATGTAAATCAGGTCCTTCTTTTCACATTACAAAACATTTCAGTTTAAGCCTACAAACGTTTTCAAATGTTTACAATTATTACTATTATTATTAGGCCTAAGGGGGTGGCAATTTTGCACCGAAGTGAAACCATGTTCTCTCCACCTTCAGAGTCACAAGATGCTGGACTAGGTGGGTCTCCTTGGACCTGATCCAGCAGCTGGGCTTTTCTGACGTTCTTATGGAACCTCCAGGTCCACAGGCAGTCTATCTGGATTCCTAGAGGGTATCTGGCCACTGCCAGAAGCAGGCTGCTGGACCAAATGGGCCCCCTTGAGACCTGATCCAAATTCAGGGCTCTTCTTGTGATCTTAGCCTGCTGTTCTCTTGAGCCACCAGGATATTGGATTACAGAAGCGCTGAGAAGAGTTGGCAGCTTTCCTCTTTCAGCCGAAAAAGGCCGTGTTATTTTAGCTCCGTGCATTTCCTGGGAATGGGGGTTAGGAGACAATAGCGGCTGGAAGAATGAGGAAGAAATGCTTATTCGTCATACTTCCCTTTCAAACATGCTCTCCCCCCCCCCCCCCGCCCCCAATGATGCCAACTGTTCCTGCCCTCTGCGTGGCTCATCCGAGGGGTTGCCAACTTCCTCGCAGCCTAACTGCGCTTCCAACAGGCAGAAACCCAACAGAGAGAGTTCCTCACCTGGCAGGGAACCTTGAGCTCTGAATCCACAAGGAATGGCCCTTTCCCCTATTTGATTGCCCCTGTTTAAAGAATCGTGGAATTTTAGAGTTCGAAGGGAAGGAACCACAACTGAAGAGTCCCTATTCAATTCCTCACGACACCCCAAGTCATATATGAGTAACTGCAGAAATTCCACAGCTCAGGGAATAGCGCCTCTCTCTTGCATGCCAGAGGACCCAAGTAGGGCTGGGAATCTCCCCTGCCTGGAACCCTGGAATGATGCTGCCAGCCCGTGTAGACAGTATCAAGCAAGATGGGCCAGTAGCCTGACTCAGCATAAGGCAGCTTCTTACATCCCCTGCAAAAAACCCAAATAAACTTGGGCATCTTTAATGCCCCTCCTTCAAAACCCTTTTACCTGGAACCATGAGGACTAGAATCTTACTTTAATTTGGGGGGAAGAAGAGGCATATCTAAGGCTGACGCTTTGCATGCAAGAAGGTCCCTGCTTCGACCCCCAGTAGGGCTGCCTGAAACCCTTGAAAGCAGCTGCCAGTCAGTGCCAAGAATACTGAGCTAGGCAGATCCTGACTCAGTAGAAGGCCGATTCCGATGTTCTGCCTTCCAGGTTTTCGTCACACAATTGGGGGGGGTGGCTAGGCTGGAAAGGAGGCCCAAGGGATCATTTGCCTCTTTCTCCTCCCCTCCAAACCCCCCCACACACACACAACCTGAAAATTTCATCCAGACCCACCCAAGTTTCCCATCCGCCCACCCGGTCCGCTCATTCCTTTGCTCTGAGCAAACAGGCCGTTTCACACAGGCTTTCTTGGCAGGGCAGAGTCAGCGCGGGAGCAGCTCCCAAAAATGACTCATCACCCATGACACACACACACACCCCACCCCACCGCTGCCCCAGGGCTCCTCTCTCTCTCTCTCTCTCAGAGGCTGTAAGGACACTTAAGGCCACTAGAGGGTGCGGAATGAGGGCAGCTTATATTTCTTTGGATTTGGTCTAAATTTATTCTCTGCGTACCCGTTCCACCTTTTTCCTCCCAGGAGCTCAAGGGGGGGACATGCACAATTTTTCTCCCTCCCCATTTCATCCTCACAACAACCTGGTGAGGTAGGTTAGGCTGAGAGACACAGATGGGTTGACGGCCGAGCGAGAATCTGAACCCGGCTCTGCCAAGAGTCCTATTTGATAGCAGGAAGGCTTCCTAGTTACTGGGAATATCAGGTAGGAAAAGGGCTCGGATCCGGCTGGATTAGATGCCCCCCCCTTTAGACCGATCCAGCCAGGGTCTTCCGGTGTCCTTCTGGAACCCCCAGGTCCAGAGGCAGTCTATCTAGAGCAGGGGTCGGCAAGGTGTACCGGCCATGGGCCGGATCGCTCCCACGGAGATCATCCGTGGAGTGGACTGGCACAGCGCAACGCTGGAAACCACGTCTGCACATGTCCACGGCACCGGAAATTGCATCTACGCATGCCCAGACACCAGAAATCACGCCTGCACAGAAGCAATTTTCGGCGTCTGGATATGCGCAGGCGCAATTTCCAGTATCTGCGCGTGCACAGACGCAATTTCCGGCACCACTCGCTGAGAACCCGCACGGGTTTAGCAGGCAGCTCAGTTCAGGGGCGGCTCATGGGCCAGTAAAACGGTCTTCGTGGGCCGCATCCAGCCTATGGGCCGCACGTTGCCAACCCCTGATCCAGAGTCCTATGTTCTCGGGGGTATGCGGCCACGGCAAGGACAGAATGCTAGACAAGGCAGGCCATTGGCCTAGTCTTCTGATGTTCTTCATTAAAACAATTTCAGATTTACAAATGATTCGAATCCAGTGCAAACACAGATTTTAAGGAGGTGAGCTGTTTCCAGATGTTCCTTTTATTATGCATTAAAGATAACAATATCAGGGTGGTTATCTGCAAACCTGTTTTCAATACCATTTGCAGCTGCAAAATTGTACACACACAGAGATTGATACCCAATACGAAGTATTTTATAATACAATGGAACCTCGGTTGTCAAACGGCTTGGCTCCTGAACAGATCAGCTCCTGGATGCCGCGAAGTAAACATTCCAGTTTGCGAACATTTTTTGGAAGCTGAATGTGCGACGCAGTCTCCTATTGGCTGCAGGAAGCTCCTGCAGCCAATCGGAAGCCACGCCTTCATTTTCTAACGAGTTTTGGGAGTTGAACAAACTCCCAGAATGGATTAAGTTCCAGAACCAAGGTGCCACTGTACATCAGAATAAAAGAAATACTTTAAAAATCTAATCTAACAAGGAAAAAGAGCAAAATAAAGGAAAAAGAGAAAAGAAAAAGAAAAGAAAAGGGGAAAAGATTTTAAAAAATACTTCTGGTTCTGTGTCTTACAGCTAAATATAGTATTCACTGATTAACATCCAACTACAGTCATACCTCGGGTTAAAGACGCTTCAGTTTGCGCGTTTTCAGGTTGCGTCCCGCAGAAACCCAGAAGTAACAGAACAGGTTACTTTAGGGTTTCGCTACTCATGCATGTGCAGATGCACAAAATGACGTCATGCGCAGAAGCTGTAAATCGCGACCTGCAGACGTAGGTTGCGTTCTGCTCTGGTTGCGAACGGGGCTCAGGAACGGATCCCGCTCGCAACCAGAGGTACCACTGTATTCGTAAAAAAAATTAAGCTCCTGCTTCGTTTCTGATCAGCACATGGCCCATAGCTTCCTACTGAAATCCTTTAATTTTTTCAACCATAAAAGTGTAATATGAAAACTTCAGTAAGTCGAAAGTGATGTTGTGTAATTTTTCTATTGCCATTTACCGTATATATTGTTAAAATCGGTGAATTGTAATGAATTGATGTAACAATTGCTGTGGTGTTTTCCTTTGTTATTGTTGAATTCTAAATAAAGAATTATTCTTCTCTTAAAAAAACAAAACAAATCGCTCTCTCGTTCCTCCAGTCGTCCAAGTACCCCGTCGGTCCCACGGAAACAGAGCGCTGCATCGAATCGCTCCTCGCCGTTTTCCAGCGCTACGCTGGCCGCGATGGCAACGCCTGTACCCTGTCCAAAGGGAGTTCCTGACCTTCATGAACACCGAGCTGGCGAGTTTCAGCAAGGTATGGTTTCCAAAGGTTCTGGAGCAGAGAAGGCTGGTCTCCTTGGGCGAATGGGGCCTTGCCCCACCAACCTCTGCCTGCCTTCTGACTGATGAACAGCCCAGAGGATGGGGCTGGCTATCAGTTTCCTCCTCCTCAGACTCAGCATTGACCCCTTCTAGGACTGAACAGGGAGGAGGGTGGGAACAAAACTAGAATTGGTCTGCCGTCGGCACTCTGGCGCCACCTACTGCTGGGCTCCCTTCCTTCCAGCCTACCAGCATCCATGGTCTGGGAAGGTGTCAAAACTATAAACCGATGGACCTCCAGATCTTTCTTCAGCTTTCCCACAGCGAGAAAGTAGAAGCAGACCAGCGTAGAGACAAGGAGCCAGAGAGGGAGGGAAGGTCGAGAAGCAATCAAAGAAATCAGGGGACATACACCAAAGATAACCGAGGATGAATGAATGAATTTTATCATTTCAGTCACTAGACCAGTTCCAGCCCACATACAATATCAAGGAAGTCATAAAACACGATAGTGATACATTTGAATTTGCAATTAGGTATAACAGGGACAATACAGATATAGCAACAGTTTAAAAATATATAAATTTAAACTTAGACGGAGGATGCAGGAACACTCTGGAACTCAGATTATATTGCTCAAGAAAGGGGCAGAACAAAGAGGTCATTTCTACTCCCAGACTATGACATTCCCAGAGTGGCTAAATCAGGAATGTCCAAAGTCCGTTTTGGGGGCCTAATCCGGCCCACTGGTCAATTTAATCCGGCCCTTGCGGCAATTTATTTCCTGGGGTAAAACCCTAAAAAAACACTCAACAACTTCAATCCTAAAAAAAAGGTCAACAAAACCTTGGTTGGCCTTTTGGCCGGCCCTCACGGCCCTTCACCATCAAAAGATTGGACACCACTGGGTTAAACAATCAGTCCCTCTTCACGGACAAACTCTGGGAATTGTAGCTCCGGGAGGGGAATTGAAGTCTCCTAACAACTCTCAGGGATGTGGGTGGCGCTGTGGGTTAAACCACAGAGCCTAGGGCTTGCCGATCAGAAGGTCAGCAGTTCGAATCCCCACGACAGGGTGAGCTCCCGTTGCTCAGTCCCTGCTCCTGCCAACCTAGCAGTTCGAAAGCACGTCCAAGTGCAAGTAGATAAATAGGTACTGCTCCAGCAGGAAGGTAAACGGCGTTTCCGTGCGCTACTCTGGTTCACCAGAAGCGGCTTAGTCATGCTGGCCACATGACCTGGAAGCTGTACGCCAGCTCCCTCGGCAAATAAAGTGAGATGAGAGCCGCAACCCCAGAGTCGGTCACGACTGGACCTAACGGTCAGGGGTCCCTTTACCTTACCTTAACAACTCTCAGCACCCATAACAAACTACAGCTCCCAGGATTCTTTGGGGAAGCCATGACTGTTTATCGTGGCATCGGTGGTGCTTTCAATGTATGGTGTGTGTGTGTGTGGGTGTGTGTGTGTGTGTGTGTGTGTGTGTGTGTTGCATAGCCTTATGCAGAGTGAATCCTCACCCAAAACTCCTCCCTGCCTTTCAGAATCAGAAAGACCCAGGTGTCCTCGATCGCATGATGAAGAAGCTGGACATGAACAACGATGGACAGCTGGACTTTGGCGAGTTCTTGAACCTCATTGGGGGCTTGGCCCAGGCCTGCCACAGCCAGGTGCTGGCATCCCCCACAGCTGGTATCCCCCCAAAACCATGAAACACCCCAATTTCTTGGCCTTTCCGAGCCAAGACCAACGTCTTCCCAAACATTCCAAAATCTAGCACTTCTGTGAGTCACCAAAACACATCCGACACGGAAAAGCGAGCGACCCTCTCTTCATATATATATTTTTTTCTCAATAAAACGGATGGGTTAAACACAAAGGTCTCGTCGTTTTCTGTACAAAGCACCCGGTAGGAAACATTTGACTGCACTCTTGCCAGAGGACTTAGCCATGTGAGGCCCCTGCCCCAGAATTCTGAACTTTCCCCTTTTTTTAACAATTAAAAAATAAGACTCTATAGTCCTTTACCTATTTATCTACTTGCACTTTGACATGCTTTCGAACTGCTATTAGGTCTGTAAAATGCCATATAGCATATATTCAACACAAAAAACAGCGACAATTTGTTGTTGACAAAGGACAGCTGGACATAGAAAGGGCCCCATTACCTTCAGGAGCTCAGGGCCTCATCAAACCTAAATCTGGGCCTGTTTCCACTCTACCAGTTACAGGGCAGTCTTAAGCATATCCAGCGCCGTGGTGCAAAGATCCCTCTGACACCCCCTCCCCAGCAACTCCAAAACAAGAGAGGGGGCAGTGGAAAATGTCCTCTGCCTCCCCCACCGTCCCGATGCCCGGTGTGCTGGTCCCGAGGGTTAACTGTGCGGCAAGGTCCAAGTCCAGTCCGAGGTCAAGGGTGCGGTATGGAGGCTGTCCATCAAAGCTGAAGCTGGGTCCAAGGCAGGGAGTCGGGTGAGGTCAGGAGACTCTGGCAGGATAGCAGGACAGGGTGCAGGCAGGAACAGGCTACCAACAATGTTGCTCCCGCAACCTGGGTCTGGGGCTGGCCGGCTTTTATCTGCCCCGAGGCATAGGGCAGCCCAGGTCCACAGATGACTCGCCTCTCCTGGCCTGGAGGTGAGCACTCCTCCTGCGGGAACTTAGTTCCCTCCGCCTCTCTGCCCTGAGCCTCTGCAGCTCAGGAGAGGCTGGAGGGTTACCGGACCCAGAGGCAACCTCAGCTCCCCTGACGGGGCTGAGAGTGGAGCACCTGCAGGCAATGGGTCCTCCATCACCCCAGGAGCCAGAGCAGACTCAGCTGATGCCTGCACCTGAGGATCCAGCACAGGTGAGGACCCTTCAGGCTCAGGCCCCTGCCCCAGCTCAGCTGGTTCTGGAGGCGGGGACTCCTGTGCAGGCTGGGATTCCTCAGGTTCAGCATCCGAGTCCAAATCCCAAGCCATCACACCCGGCGTGGTGGCAGCGATCAAGCAGGAAAACGTGCTGGCGGATATGCTCTCCAGTGTCAGGGCAGCCGAGAAGGCAGCCCAGGAAGGTTGCACATCGCCTTTCGCCAGGAAGCAGGAGGACGACGACCGGGATCAGGGCCATCTTTAGCAGATGCAGAGGCTTGGGAGGGAAGCTGCGCATCCGCCAGCCATACAGTTGGCAGGGCACATCTGGTGGGCATGCAGGGAAAGGGGAGGCTGCTGGCAAAGCCGCACAGCTCCCCCACTCGCTAGGGCACCCCTGAGAGGCTGGCGCCCTGGCGCAATGCACCAGTAACACCAATGGGAAAGACGGCTCTGACCAGTTGCAATGGGCACCAGCCAACACTGCAGAGTTCTGTGCACTGGGAGGCCTGCCCTGAGCTCCCTAAAAGCTGGCATGCTGACCTCCTGTGAGGTGGTAGAAACTGCCCCACTGGCAGCGTCCGATAACCGCCAAGCCAGTTGGTTTCTGGGTGCTGAATGGAGAGCGGGAGGCCACAAACCACCTTCTCCTTTGCAGAGGCAGCAAAACATTCCTGGCAGGGGAGATCCTTGAGCACAAAGGTGATAAAAGTCCCAAATGCTGTAATCAGTCCTCCTAGGGGAGTTCCTCTGCCAGGCATGTCCAAGGGCCTAATCCAGCCTGCCGGTCACTTTAATCTGGCCCCTGTGGCAGTTTATTTCCTGGGGTAAAATCATAAAAACAAAAACCTTAACAGCTTCAATCCTAAAAGAAGCTCAACAACTTCAATCCTAAAAAAAGCTGAATTGTGAGGTAAAATCATTCAAAAAGGTCACCAACTTCGGTCGGCCCCCACAGCCCTTCACTTCATCAAATCTGGCCCTCTTTGGAAAAAAGTTTGGACACCACTTGATCATTTTGCTCACCCCTTTTCCAACTCTACAATATCCTTTCTGAGCTGACAAGAACCACACACAGTATTCCAAACGCAACAGCATCACAGATTTGCATAACAGCGTTATGATACTGGCCGTTTTATTTCCAATTCCTTTCCTAACGGTGGCCAGCGTGGGATTCGCCATTTTCATGGCTGGGTTGGTGTTTTCCTTGACCTGTTCATGGCGACGCCAAGGTCTCGTTCCTGGTGAGCTGCTGCCACCAATTTCAGAACTCCTGAGTGCATTTGTGAAATTAATATTTCCTTGCCCACTTCGCACTTCTTTGCACTAAATTGCATTTGCCATTTTACTCAGCTTAGAGAGGTCCTTCTGGAGCTCTTTGTATTTAAAAGACCTTGAGCAATTTAATCTCATTAGCAAACACAGCCACCTCACTGCTCACCCTTATCTCTGGATCGCGGCCAAGGTCCTGGCGGGTGGAAGTGATTTCATCCTCAAAATGCTTTGCAAACATGTACACAGCGGCACGCAAGTCCCAATACTGATCCATGGGGACCTCCATCTTTGGACGCAGGTGGCGCTGTGGGTTAAACCACAGAGCCTAGGACTTGCCGATCAGAAGGTCAGTGGTTCGAATCCCTGCAAGAGGGTGAGCTCCTGTTCAGTCCCCGCTCCTGCCAACCTAGCAGTTTGAAAGCATGTCAAGAGCAAGTAGATAAATAGGTACTGTTCCAGCAGGAAGGGAAACGGCGTTTCCGTGCGCTGCTCTAGTTCGCCAGAAGCAGCTTAGTCCTGCTGGCCACGTGACCCGGAAGCTGTACACCGGCTCCCTCAGCCAGTAAAGCGAGATGAGCGCCGCAACCCCAGAGTCGACCACGACTGGACCTAATGGTCAGGGGTCCCTTTACCTTTACCTATGGATTTAATTAAGGGACACAGGTGGTGCTATGGTCTAAACCACTGAGCCTCTTGGGCTTGCTGATCGGAAGGTCAGCGGTTCGAATCCCCGTGACGGGGTGAGCTCCCGTTGCTCGGTCCCTGCTCCTGCCAACCTAGCAGTTCGAAAGCACCTCAAAGAGCAAGTAGATAAATAGGTACCGCTCCAGCAGGAAGGTAAACGGCGTTTCCGTGCGCTGCTCTGGTTCGCCAGAAGCGGCTTAGTCATGCTGGCCACATGACCCGGAAGCTGTACACCGGCTCCCTCGGCCAATAAAGTGAGATGAGCGCCGCAACCCCAGAGTCGGCCACGACTGGACCTAATGGTCAGGGGTCCCTTTACATACAGAGAACTGTGCACTTATTTTACTCCTCTCTGCTTCCTGCCACCTAACCAATTCCTGATCCGCAAGAGGCCCTCTCCTCTTGTTCCCAGTTTAATCAGGAATCTTTGGTGAGGTGCTTTGTCAAATGCTTTTTCAAAGACCAAGTGCGCTTACCCTTTCGTACTACAGTGGTACCTCGGTTTTCGAACGTCTCAGAAGTCGGACCTTTCAGTTTTCGAATGCCGAAACCCCAGAAGTAACTTGTTCCATTTTCGAATGCTTTTCAGAAGTCAAATGTACCACGTGGCTGCTGTATTGAGTTTTCCAGAAGTAAATGCTTCAGTTTTCGAACATTTCAGAAATTGAATGGTCTTCCGGAACGGATTACATTTGAAAACTGAGGTACCACTGTACCAGTTAGGAAAAAAGTTCCAGAACATCTTCTATGTGGTCATTATAGAGCAGCCTTTCTCAACCTGTGGGTCCCCAGATGTTGTTGAACTACAACTCCCATCACCCCTAGCTAGCAAGGCCAGAGCACAGGGATGATGGGAGTTGTAGTCCAACGACATCTGGGAACCCACGGGTTGAGAACCGCTGGTTTAGAGGGAACATTCTGCGGTCCCTTGTGGCAAAAAATCGGCGCAGGCAAAATTTGAAGCAAGATTTCAGGCGCTGCAAAGAAGGCTTGTTCCAGCCGTATCTGCCACCCTGAAAGCGTTTGGTGCGCAGGTTAGCCACTGGGGGGCGCTGCCATGCCTACGAATCAGCCAGCCATAAGCTCTCTGTGGTGGCAGGCCAAATTCTTAAGTGCCATTTGCATTCCTGCCTAATCTGATCTAACACACACAGTCCGGCTGACTCTCCTATACCCAGCCTCCGGGGATTTAGGGAGATTGGGGTCCAGAGCGATGGGACTGACCCATTCATAGGCAATGCTGGGCTCCTTTGCAAAAGGACAACTCCCAAGGGGTGCTGACAGAATCCATGGCACTCTGTAGAGTTTTAGAGTCGCAGGGCGTGAACTGCATTTCAGGTGAAATAAAAAATTCAGGGACGCGGGTGGCACAAGGGACGCGGGTGGCGCTGTGGGTTAAACCACTGAGCCTAGGACTTGCTGATCAGAAGGTCAGCGGTTCGAATCCCCGCGACGGGGTGAGCTCCCGTTGCTCGGTCCCTGCTCCTGCCAACCTAGCAATTTGAAAGCACGAAGTGCAAGTAGATAAATAGGTACCACTCCGGCGGGAAGGTAAATGGCGCTTCTGTGCGCTGCTCTGGTTCACCAGAAGCGGCTTAGTCCTGCTGGCCACATGACCCAGAAGCTGTACGCCGGTTCCTTCGGCCAATAAAACGAGATGAGCACCACAACCCCAGAGTCGGCCATGACTGGACCTAATGGTCAGGGGTCCCTTTACCTTTTAAAAATTAAGGCCTTATATATACATATATATATATATATATATATATATATATAATAAATGTTCATAAATGTACCAAGCAATCACTTACATAAATATATAAACTGCATGTCTGAAGCAGCACAGGAAAACAGCCCGGAAACCATTTTCACTCCCAAACTGACCAAATGATTTCTCTACAAGGTCAAGGAAAATGGAAAAGCCTCCCCATTGTCTTTTTGTTCAGAAATCCTGTCTTAAGGGTATGTCTGTTTATGAATAGGGTGAGCCTGTGACCTGGCTCACAAACTCATTATTTATCATTACAAAATACTGGCCAGGCTCCCAGGGTATCCAATCAAGTGAAGCATTAACAGGTAACCTGCCAGACAGGAGGTAAACAACGCACTCAGATTTCTGCTGTAGACCGCCCTTTCTGTGATTTAGGTATGATGTTTCTGGGGGTGGTCTTGGACTCCAGGGCAGGGAATTTAAAATGTCTATACAGTGGTGCCCCGCAAGACGAATGCCTCGCAAGACGGAAAACCCGCTAGACGAAAGGGTTTTCCGTTTTTGAGTTGCTTCGCAGGACGAATTTCCCTATGGGCTTGCTTCGCAAGACGAAAATGTCTTGCGAGTCTAGAGATATTTTTTTCGCTTTTCCCCCCCTTTATCTAATCTGCTAAGCCTTTAATAGCCTTTAATAGCCTTTTAGCAGCTAATCCGCTAAGCCTTTAAGCCTTTAATAGCCGCTAAACCGCTAATAGCGCTAATCCGTTAAGCCGCTAATAGGGTTGCTTCGCAAGACGGAAAAACCGCTAGACGAAGACTCTCGCGGAACGGATTAATTTCGTCTTGCGAGGCACCACTGTATAAGGGCGGACACACCTTTGTTCTGGGTCCTCCTCCTTTCCTGCGTGTGAGGGGAGCACCCTGTTGCAACAGTTCAATAAAGATCAGGCTTACTGAGCTGCTTTGCTTCTCAATATTCTCTGCTTGGCCTCTGTTCTTTTCTCCGACCAATGGAGAACCTGCAAAGGACTCTAGAAGGGCTCGTGTGTCCCCCCTAGGGGAATAAGGGCAGCTTTTCTTTTCTTACACAGGGAAGTCTCTTTGTTGCCCACCAGATGTTGTTGGACTACAGATCCCATTAGCCTTCGTAAACCATCATAGTCTATAGCCAGTGGGGAGGATGGGAATTGGAGTCCAACAACCTATGAAGGGCCACAGGTCCTCCTAGGGCCGAGCAGGGGGACGTGTGGCCCTCTGAACGTTGTTGGATTACAACTCCCATGTTTCTTTAGGGATGGCGGGGGGAGGAGGAGGTTCAATTCAGGTCACATTTAAATTAATTTTATTTTACAATAATATTTATTAATTTTCAATAGACATAACAAAAAGAGAATATACAACAACACAACAACATAACAACAACAACAACACAATATAGAAGTAAAAATAAGAAAAAGAATAACAGACTTAACATATCTAAACAGAAAAAAAGAAACTCAATTAATTAATTAAAATCCATTTTCATAAACATTTTAGTTGACTTCCTCTAATCTCCTCCATCTGAATTTCCTCTTAATTTGGATGTAGCAGTTTCCAATATCATTATTTCATAAAACAATATTACAGTCGTATTCCAATTTCTTTACCTTTCTTATAATGCATTTTCTTATTTATACATTTAGGTCTAATTTTGTCCAAGGCCTGATTGGTTCTTTCAAGTGGTTACATATCTTTAATGTTAGAGTATTTATTCAAATAGTCTTTAAATTTCTTCCAATCTTCTTGGTAGTCCTCTTCTTTCTGGTCGCGGATTCTCCTGGTGAGATCAGCCAGCTCCATAAATTCCATCATCTTCATCTGCCATTCTTCTGCCGTTGGTAATTCTTGTGTTTTCCATTTACTGGCTAGTAAAATCACATTTAATTTTGGACCTACAAAATTCTCACTTTCCAACACAACATGTGAACCAAAAAGCTGCCTTCTTTCAAAACTCTGCACCTCTCTGAATTTTGCAATGCAGGGTGAGCGAAGGATATGCAAAATGTTATCTCCTACAGCAGTGATGGCCAAACTTTGCCCTCCAGCTGTTTCGGGACAATTCCCATCATCCCTGACCACTGGTCCTGTTATATAGGGATGATGGTAGTTGTAGTCCAAAAACAGCTGGAGTTTGGCCAAGTTTGGCCATCACTGCCCAGGGTAACCTGTGCAAAAAAATTTTAAAAGTTGCATATGTTTGTGAAAATTGCACACAAGGAAGTCAATATAGTAGTGGGGATTGCTTTGCAAAAGTGTGTAACTTGGGCAAAACCGCAGAGGAAAATTGCACCCTTGGCAAAATCCATACTAAAATGCTTCCAACGACATAAAACAAGCTTGCCGGATCGGGCCCATGGCCTGGAGTGGCTTAATGGTCAATCACTCTTCCCAGGGAACTCTGGGAATTGTAGTTCTGCGAGGGGAATGGGGGGGTCTCCTAACACAGTGATGACCAAACTTGGCCCTCTGGCTGTTTTGGGACTACAACTCCCATCACCCCTAGCTGACAGGACCAGTGGTCAGGGATGATGGGAATTGTAGTCCCGAAACAGTCGGAGGGCCAAGTTTGGCCATCACTGTCCTAACAGCTCTCAGCACCCTTAAACTACAGATCCCAGAATTCTTGGGGAGAAGCCATAACTGCTTGAAGTGGTATCAAGAAAGATGTCAGGTTGTTTTTGTATGCCACAACTGCAGCTAGAATTTTGCTGGCCAAAACCTGGAAATTACAAGAAGTACCAACAGTGGAGGAACGGCAGATGAAGATGATGGACTTTAGGGAGCTAGCTGACCTGACTGGAAGGATCTGCGATCAGAAAGAGGAGGAAGAGTCCGGGACCAGAGGGAGGAGGAGTATCAAGAGGAATGGAAGAAATTTAAAGATTATTTAGTTAAATATGTTAAGATAACTTAAATAGAATTACTTGTGAGTAACAGATTGGCCTAGGATTAAAATATGTGAAATTGTATAATACTATGGTTAGAAGTCAAAATGAAAAGAAAGAGTTAATTGAACAAGTAAATCGTATATGAAAATAGTGTTGGAAAAGTGCTACAATGAGCTATATGGAAACTCAGCTAGGGGGATTTGAGGAAGTCACCCAACAATGATAACAAAAGTGGGACAATAACAGTTAGGATAATTGTTTGTTTGTTCTTTGATATTGTAATGTTTTTCTTGTTTGTCGTTATGTTTGTTATAATTTTGGAAAATCAATAAAAAAAATTGAAAAATAATAATAAAGTGGTATCACAGTGCTCTAAACATTTGGCGTGAAGGTGGCCAATGTTTCACAAACTTCTGCTGAAGCCCACACTGACTCCGGTGGGATTCATTGCCAAGCAGGTGGTCCATGCCCCGTGCAGGATGAGTGCCTTGTTATTGCTGCTGAATAATAGCTGCTCTGGAGGCAGTGAGAGATTTTACTTTCTTGGGCTCCATGATCACTGCAGATGATGACAGCAGCCACGAAATTAAAAGACGCCTGCTTCTTGGGAGAAAAGCAATGACAAACCTAGACAGCATCTTAAAAAGTAGAGACATCACCTTGCCAACAAAGGCCCGTATAGTTCAAGCTCTGGTTTTCCCAGTAGTAAGGTATGGAAGTGAGCGCTGGACCATAAAGACGGCTGATCGCCGAAGACTTGATGCTGTTGACTTCTGGTGCTGGAGGAGACTCTTGAGAGTCCCATGGACTGCAAGAAGATCAAACCGCTCCATTCTGAAGGAAATCAGCCCTGAGTGCTCACTGGAAGGACAGATCCTGAAGCTGAGGCTCCAAGACTTTGGCCACCTCATGAGAAGAGAAGACTCCCTGGAAAAGACCCTGATGTTGGGAAAGATGGAGGGCACAAGGAGAAGGGGACGACAGAGGGCGAGATGGTGGGACAGTGTTCTCGAAGCTACCAGCATGAGTTTGACCCAACTGTGGGAGGCAGTGGAAGACAGGAGTGCCTGGCATGCTCTGGTCCAGGGGGTCACGAGGAGTCGGACACGACTAAACGACTAAACAACAACAACAATCTGGCCAGCAGCTGGAAGAATCAGCCTCCTTTATTCCAAGGGCCTGGCAAATCTTCCCTCCAGCAGATACCCACCTCTGCCAAGCCAGGATGCAGGAACCACCAAGTGAGATCCACATGTTTGCAACCCAGCCAGAATATCACCTCCCGCTGGAAGTAGAGGCTGCAAAAGCCAGACACGGAAAAATATCTAGGCCCGCCAGTTTGGGTGCCTTTGTTTAGTTTTAGTAGGTATTTGTTTAAAGTCCAGGTTTAGTGTATTTATTTAAAGCACACTTAAAGCAGCCGTAAACGGAAGCGGTTCTTAATCAAACAGAAAAAAAGAGGCAGCAAATTCTCTGAGCAAACAAGATAGGGCTTGATCTGGCTGAAGGAAAGTCATGAAAGCCAAGCAAGAGTGTAGCTAGCCCAAGGTTTTAATGTTTTAATGTCGTATTTTAATCTTGTTTTTAAGTTGTATTTCAGTCAATTGTTTTTATAGCTGGTGTCAGCCGCCCTGAGCCTGGTCTAGGCTGGGGAAGGCAGGGTATAAATAAAAATTATTATTTATTATTAAGGTCTCCCAGGGGTTCTCATGGCCTAGTGGAAATTTGAACCCTGCTCCCACAGGTCATGATCCAGTACTCTAATCACCCCACCCCACTGGTCCTCAAAGCGCTAGGATACCTCTTTAAATAGTCATGACTTCCCCCAAAGGATCCTGGGAGTTGCAGTTTGTTAAGGGTGCTGAGAGTTGCTAGCCAGTGGTTCTCAACCTCTGGGTCCCCAGATGTTGTTGGACTACCACTCCCATCATCCCTGAGCTCTGGCCTTGCTAGCTAGGGGTGATGGGAGTTGTAGTTCAACAACATCTGGGAACCCACAGGTTGAGAAAGGCTGAGCTAGGCAAGTCTAGGTTTGTCATTGCTTTTCTCCCAAGAAGCAGGCGTCTTTTAATTTTGTGACTGCTGTCACCATCTGCAGTGATCATGGAGCCCAAGAAAGTAAAATCTCTCACTGCCTCCATTTCTTCCCCTTCTATTTGCCAGGAGGTGATGGGCCCAGTGGCCATGATCTTCGTTTTTGATGTTGAGCTTCAGACCATATTTTGCGCTCTCCTCTTTCACCCTCATTAAAAGGTTCTTTAATTCCTCCTCACTTTCTGCCATCAAGGTTGTGTCATCTGCATGTCCGAGGGAGCTTTTTACAAATTATCTAAAAAGACAACAAAATGAACTGGACTCCTTGGCAGGGTTTGAATTAACATACACAAATTTATTGGTTGATAACATGACAGATAGTTAACGTAAGGATATGTACAATTTTATAACATGCAGAGAATAACATGTGCTGAAAAATCAGAGAGAGGAGCTGAGGAAGTCTTGGGGGAGGGTTTGAAGAGGGGGAAAGGGGGAAAATAATGAATATGTTAGGTTTGTATGTTGATAGTTTGTATGTTGAAATTATTAATATATATTTTTTTTAAAAAGTATGGGGCGAATGTGGCCCTATAAACTTGACCGCGCTGCTTAGATCAACTCGATCTACTCAGATCTTACTTAGGATGCAGGTAAATCTGACAACCCTTCCCCCCCCCAAATAAAAACACCACATGATCTCAACTGGTCTTGTTTATAAGGAAGGAAACTTTTCTGAGGCAACGACCCTCTGTTGTTACACACCGTGTGTCGCCAACATCCTCCCGTCAGGGAACAGGCAAAAACCCACAAAATTGTGCAACCAGTTTGAAGGTTGGCAACTGAAAGTTCCTTGTTTTCTCAGAAATGCTGGGGTGGGGGCAGGAAGGTGGAGAAGTTTTTGAAAGCGTACATGCAATTCAAATAAAGGAACTGCTCCTCAACAGGGAGGAGATCAGGGGACATGTTCTCCGGGCAGCATCTCCAACGAGGACTCAGTTAGGCAGCTGTAAATATAACATTTTAAGTGTGTTTTAGGCGCATTGTACAAAGGTGGCACCAGGTGGTGCTGGTGAGCTAATGGCAAATTCCATCTATATTTTAAAACCTTTATAAAAAATCACAGCTTTTTTTAAAAAAATGTGTAGATTCTGCCTTAGAGAAATTAGGCACAGTCTGACCCCCTCCTTTGGTAATCCTCACAGAACTCTAGCCCAATGGCTATTAATGGCTATTAATGGCCAATGCCATTAATTTGATTTTGAATTGATTTTAAAACGAATTGATTTTAGAATGCTGTGTTACTTTTATTGTTGTTAGCCTCTCTGAGCCAAACTTCGGCTGGGGAGGGCGGGATATAAATAAATTATTATTATTATTATTATTATTATTATTATTATTAATATATATAATTTTAAGTTTTTATTGTTAAAATAATTCAGCATTCACACATATTGCAAATATACAAGCATACAAACATACATTTTCCATAATCCTTTAAAATGTTCAAACATACCTACACTCAATCCCACAGATAATTCCTTTTCCCATCACCATCCACCACCCCTCACCCTTTGTGTTAGACTTCCAATCTACTCAATTGCAATTTCTTTCCACTTCTATTACTTTCTCTCACACACCTTAACCTAATTTCATGCTTCTTTTTCTATTACACATTGTTATCCATCTTATTTAGTATTTCAGTATTTAAAACAGAACTTGCTTATTCTAATAGGAGTTCTGATTTTTCGATATGGTTTTGCAAGTATCATTTAAATGCCTTCCAGTCCCTGTCTATCTTCTCTTTGGAGATCCTTCCAATTTCTCCCATTGTTTTGGATATATTGTAGTACTCCAGTAATTTGGCAAGCCACTCTATTTTTGTTGGTACAATACCACTTTTCCAATTTTTCACAATCAATAGCCTTGCGGCTACCATTGCATACAAATATAACGTCTTGTCTTCTTCCTTTAGACTTCCTGGTACTATTCCCAATAGAAAACCTTCTGGTGTTTTCCTAAATGAATATCTGAACATTTTTTTTCATTTCATTATATATTGTTTCCCAAAATTGTTTGATGTTTACACAATTCCACCATATATGTATCATAGTACCTTTTCCAGTGTTGCATTTATTATTATTATTAGCCACAATGGGTATGCTTTGCCCTCCATAGCCAGAGGCAACGATGCTTCTGAATACTAGTTGCTAAAAAACACAGCTCCCATCCTGCTTGCTGGTTTCCCCACAGGAACCTAGGTATCATCTGCAGTTGCCGGCAGGAGCTGTCCAGCGTTTTATAGAATCATAGAATTGTAGGAGCGACCCTGAGGGTCATCTAGACCAACCCCCCTGAAAATTTCAGGCAGGGGGCATCGCCAGCGCTCCCAGCACATGCTGGGGATCAAACCGGAGACATTGTGCAAGCAAAGTGGGCGCATGAGCCACAGCCCTTCCCTGACAATAAAGTACACTTCTAACTCCTCATGGTTCTGAAGGGCTGGTTTTAAAAGGATCAGAGGAAGCCGCCTCGCAGCAACTCAGGCCATTGTCCAAGCAGCTCAGTAGTGTATGCACTGACTGGCAGCGGCCCAGTAGACCTGAAGGAGCGTCTCCACCTCCATCATTCTGCCCGGACACTGAGGTCCAGCTCTGAGGGCCTTCTGGTGGTTCCCTCACTGCAAGAAGTGAAGTTACAGGGAACCAGGCAGAGGGCCTTCTCGGTGGTGGCTCCCGCCTTGTGGAACGCCCTTCCTCACCAGATGTCAAGGAAATAAACAACTATCTGACTTTTAGAAGACATCTGAAGGCAGCCCTGTTTAGGGAAGTTTTTGATGACTGATGTTTTAATGTATTTCTAATCTTTTGTTGGAAGCTGCCCAGAGTGGCTAGGGAAACCCAGCCAGATGGGCGGGGTATAAGTAATAAATTATTATTATTTCTGAGCTTTCGGCCAAAGGGGTGTCTCTCCCTCAGTGCTACCTGAAGAGGCTAAGGACCTGGGACTTGCTACGTCTACCGCAGTCGGTCCAGAGTCTTGGCAAAACACACAGCTGCTTGCTCCAAAGCTAGCTGTCCAGCAAAGTCCACCCTTCACCTTTGCTTGTCTCCTTTCCCATTGCGTGGCTCCTCCGGCCCTCTTCCAGGTGGACTCCAATGGGCTGTCGTCAGTAAAGGCCCATTAGCCACTATCACCCCAGCCATCGCTTCCTATTTCCTGCTCACTTGGCAGCCTCCCAGAGAATGCTGAAGTTTCTCAGCCTGTTGGAAACTCAGAGAACAACTTAATCACATCTTCTCTTTCTCTCTCTTTAAATCTCTCTCGCTGCATCGCCTAATCTCAGCCTGGCAAGGTGTCCTACTGTGAAGGGTCATCGCCAGTTGGTCTCTTTGGGTGAATGGGGCCTTGCTCCACCAACCTCTGCCTGCCTTCTGACTTATGAACAGTCCAGAGGATGGGGCTGGCTATCAGTTTCCTCCTTCTCGGTCTCAGCGTTGACCCCTTCTAGGACTGAACAGGGAGGAGGGTGGGAACAAAACTAGAATTTGTCTACCGTCGGCACTCTGGCGCCACCTACTGCTGGGCTCCCTTCCTTCCAGCCTACCAGCATCCATGGTCTTGGAAGGTGTCAAAACTATAAACCGATGGACCTCCAGATCTTTCTTCGACTTTCCCACAGCGAGAAAGTGGAAACAGACCAGAGACAAGGAGCCAGCGAGGGGGGGAAGTTCGAGAAGCAATTGAAGAAATCAAGGGACAGACACCAAAGATAACCGAGGATAAAACCCTAAAAAAAACCTCAACAATTCCAACCCTAAAAAAAGCTCAACAAACTCAATCCTAAAAAAAGGGAAAAGGTCAACAACTTTGTCCGGCCCCTTCACGGCCCTCCACTTCATCAAATCCAGCCCTCTCTGAAAAAAGTCTGTATATCACTGCATAAGGGAATAAGGGCAGATTTTGTTTATAACATGTGGAAGGAGCTTCAGTGGGAAGAGTCCTGGCAGAAGGTCCCAGGTTCAGTCCAGGCATGGCTTGGAAGGCTGCCACCTGAAATCTTGGAAAGCACAGACAATCTTGGACGAGACAGACCAATAGCCTGACTTGCTACAAGGCACCGCCCCATCTTCCTATTTAAATCAGCCAGAACCATGAGGGTTCACCCTGGGGGAATTGCTGCCAGTCCGTGAAAGAATACTGGGCTCGATGGACACCCCCACACACACCTGGCCTGACTCAGGGTAAAGCCACTTCCTGTGTCATCTGATCTAGGGAAGATCCAGCCAAACAAGCTGGGGCGGTTCCGCCAGTGTTCGGTAGGTGGGCTACTCAAGACGGCTCTCCCATTTTATTCTGCTTTTTCAGACAGGAATGGGATTAACAGGTGAGGCGTGGAAAGCTCCGCAGCCTAACCACAGCAGCAAAGCCACAAAGGAAACATCGTACCTCTGTGCGGTGGCAGCTGCGCTACGCCCTTCAGGAGAACAATGGGGCTCACATTTGGGAGGGGAAAAAACACCACCGATCACATTCTTCCCAAAGCAATTTTGAGCCATAAATCAACACTCAAGAATGTAAGGCGGCAGATATCAAGTTTGAAAGGCACTCCTCAACATTTCGGGGAGGAAAGGGATACTGAGAGCTACCAGCAAGATGGCTCAGCTCTGCTTCCACAGTCAGAGGCAGAAATGCTTCTATTTTTATATATTTTATATATTTTCTGGTTTGCAATTTTTACATCCTTAAAATACCAAATGACTTCCCTTCTTCTCTTTCCATGGTTCATTTTACATATCCCTGCATATTTTACAGAAACTACACCATTCAGTATTCCATTATTACATCCATCAAAACTTGTTTACACTGCTGAATTTATCTCAATGATCCCTAGCTAGCAGGACCAGTGGTCAGGGATGATGGGAATTGTAGTCCAAAACATCTGGAGGGCCAAAGGTTGCCTGAACTATGCCTGAACTAAACCATTCAGTCTTCCATTATTGCATCCGTCAAAACTTGTTTACACTGGTGGATGTATCTCGATGCTGCCGGCGTTCTCAGCTGTACACAGTTATTTCCCATATATTCAATAAACGTTTTCCGATCGTCTCTAAATGTATGTTCTTCTTGTTCTCTTATTCTGTATGTTAAATCTGCAAGCTGCGCATATTCTGTCTACTTCAATTGCCATTCTTCTTTGGCTGGGAATCTCGCTCGTTTTCCATTCGGGGGCTAAGGAAACACGGGCCGCAGTAGTAGCATACATAAATAACCTTTTTTGACACCTGGGGGTTTCAGTCTGAATTATCTCCAACAGAAAGGACTCTGGGTTTTTTGGAAAGGTACAATCATACCTCATGTTACGTTTGCTTCAGGTTGAGAGTTTTCAGGTTGCGTCCTGCGGAGACCTGGAAGTACCGGAAAGGGCTAATTCCGGGTTTCACCGCATGTACAGACGCACAAAATGATGTCACGCGCATGCGCAGAAGCAGCAAATTGTGATCCACACACGCACAGACAAGGGTTGTATTCTGCTCATTTTACAAACGGGCCTCCGGAATGGATACCATTTGCAATCAGAGGTACCACTGTACTTTTAAGAATTTTTTTCAATTTGTTACAGATCATTTCCCAATACTCTTTTAACCTTTTACAAGTCCACCACATAGGAAAGAACGTTCCGTCACCCTAGGCAGCAATGCTTATAAATAGCAGCTACTGGAAATCACAGGAGGGGAGAAGATTCTCGCGCCCGGGTCCTGCTTCCAGGTTTCCCATGGAGGAATCTGGTTGGCCACTGTGGGAACAGGATGCTGGACTAGATCGGCTACTGGCCTGATCCAGCACACTCTTCTTAAGTTCTTACATTTAGACCTAGGGGCACAACTGCATACGAGTCAAGCATCCTGGGGGAAAACGGAACATCCCGTTCTTTAGCATGAGATCATGGCGCCCGTTTTTTGTGCTGTGCTATTGTGCCACGCTTGTAAATACAAACACAACAAATTTTGGGCACCGCGCAAGATCGCATCCTGAAAAAGCTCTTTTCTGGGGTGTGATCATGGCATGGGTCACGTGACTTGCGTCCCAGAAGTTGGGCATCCAGGTTTTTTACCTGAAGGGGCTGGATGGTATGCAACTGTTGTGGGCACTCTGAAACCACCCATTTCACAGAAGAAAATACCCGAGGATAGGGCTCTCAAAAAACAAGCAACAGCCCCCAAAGCAAATACAGTCATACCTCGGGTTACAGACACTTCAGGTTGCACATTTTCAGGTTACGGACGCACTGAAACCCGGGCGTACCGGAACAGGTTGCTTCCGGGTTTGGGCGCTCGCACATGCGCAGAAGCACTAAATCATTCTTTGAGCATGCGCAGAAGCACCAAATTGCAACCCACGCGTGCACAAAAAAATTTTTGCGTTGTGGGCGCTGCAGGTTGCGAACGTGCCTCCCGCACAGATCACATTCGCAACCACTGTATACACTAAATAAAGAGAGGGGAACGTAACACACGCACAAACAGGAGATCAGGTCCACACACAAAAATCTTCTTAAAAATAAGAAACCCAGGACAGGAGGCTTCGGCAGGCACTCAAAGAGGCATCCGAGGGCCCTGTGAGGAGACAGACTTAACGATTTAAAGAATTTCACCCCAATAAGGCCAATTCAAAGCATAAATTTAAAGTGAAATGATATAACTTCAAACAATCAAAGATTGATCCCCCCAAAGAATCCTGGGAGCTGTAGTCTGTTAAGGGTGCTGATAATTGATAGGAAACCCCACCCCATTCCCCTCACAGAACTACAATTCCCATAAATGTTTAACAGTCAATCTCTCTTCCCAGGGAACTCTGGGAATTGTAGGTCCTATGGGGTCTCCTAAGAGCACTCAGCACCCTTAAGAAACCACAGCTCCCATAATTCTTTGCGGGAAGCCCTGGCTGTTTAAAGTGGGATAGCGCAGCTTCAGTTGTATGACAATGTGCTTGTGGCCTGAATTTTAGGGGGGAACCTAGATTTAAGACATCTCAAGTCATTGCAGCCCATCCCATAATACTCAGCAAGGTCATGATTCAACACACACCTAGACCCACAGTCCCATTGTAGTGAGCGGGGCTATCCACCCCCCACCCCCCGGGGAGGAGAACCCCCCCTTGGACATTTACCAGGTTTGCCCAGCCCTGAGTCACTTTACCGTGAGGCAGACAGAAATTCAACAGGTAGGTGTCCAAACGGTAAGGGCACCAGTTTAGCTTCCCTGAGCAAAAGCACAGAGTATAAAAGACAAAAAGTCCTTTCCCAAGTTTATTGAACAAGCCACTCAAAAAGTTGCACGTTTCTTAGACGGTTACAAACTAAAAATAAAAACATTGTAAAGTATAACTAGCTAAAACCATACTCACACAGCGACAATAGTTCAAAACACATGGAATAGTCAAGAGTCCTTTCACTGGTCAAATGCCCCCAGGCAAAGTACCAGGGCAAGATGTTCTGTTGCCCTTTGCATCTGAATTCCCAAATCCTTTATCCTTGAAAACCCATGTGGAGGACAGGTTAGGGACCAATCATTTCTTTGGGTTAATTACCAATTTACCAATGGCTGTATGACTATATCTCCTGATTGTCAGCAGACCAGCACAGCTGAACTTTGTTTAGACTCAGAGACCTTAAGATCAAAAGGCTCTTCCTTCGTTCCCAGGCACCAGGCTCCTAAATTGTAAATTACTTGATAGCCTCCTGTGCCTTTTTGCAACCCAGTCCACTCTCAGGCCCCCAGCTGGGCTAGGTTCTGCAAATCAGATAACTTCTCATCCTGCCTAGAGCCAAGAGGTAACTGACTCACCCTTCTATAGTTTTACATTTAAAGAGACCAAACACCCATTCCCCAGAAGGCCACAATTTTATCTCTCCCATAATGCCTCACTGCTGCATGAACCAGCGTTTGGCATACCAAGATTTACGAACTTCGCTACACCCGTCCATTGAGGAAGACCCTCCCCACCACTGCAAAAACAAAAAGAAGGGGGGAAAACCCAACCACGTCTGAGTGGAGGCGTTTGCAACATGGGGAGGACAGCCAAGAACAATATGCAAGCCTTGTGCTGACACTCTGCCAGTGGAATTTTAAGAGCACAGGGGAGGGGAAAGGTGGGGGACGGGGGGGGTGGGGGCAGAGGGAGATGGCCAGGGTTATCTATCCTGATGGAAAAAGAAACATCAGTGCAGCAGGGTGGGCCGACAGCTCAGTGGGTGAGGTCCTTGCTGTGCACCCAGATGATCCGGGGTGGAGCCACCCTTTCCCTTTTCGCATTCTTTGTCACATTTTCTCTCTTTCTCTCTTTTTTAAAAAAATAAAATTTTAATCAAATTTTCTGTTTCACAATTTAAAACACTCATTTGAACATTCTTAAACTACCAATGACTTCCCTTCTGCTCTTTCCATGGCTCGTTTTGCAGGTGATAAATCCCTGCCGCTTTTACGAAAACTAAACCAGGCATAAAGAAGGCTGATCGCCGAAGAATGGATGCTTTTGAATTCTGGTGCTGGAGGAGACTCTTGAGAGTCCCATGGACTGCAAGAAGATCCAACCTCTCCATTCTGAAGGAAATCAGCCCTGAGTGCTCACTGGAAGGACAGATCCTGAAGCTGAGGCTCCAAGACTTTGGCCACCTCATGAGAAGAGAAGACTCCCTGGACAAGACTCTGATGTTGGGAAAGATGGAGGGCACAAGGAGAAGGGGGCGACAGAGGACGAAATGGTGGGATAGTGTTCTCAAAGCGACCAGGATGAGTTTGACCAAACTGTGGGAGACAGTGAAAGACAGGAGTGCCTGGCGTGTTCTGGTCCAGGGGGTCACGAAGAGTCGGACACGACTAAACAACAAAGGAGGCATAGGCAACCTTCGGCCCTCCAGATGTTTTGGCCTACAACTCCTATGATCCCTAGCTAGCAGGACCAGTGGTCAGGGATGATGGGGATTGTAGTCCAAAACATCTGGAGGGCCAAAGGTTGCCTATGCCTGAACGAAACCATTCCGTATTCCATTGTTGCATCCGTCAAAACTTATTTACACTGTTGGATGTATCTCGATGCTGCCGGCGTTTTCAGCTGTACACAGTTATTTCCCATATATTCAATCAACGTTTTCCAATCTTCTCTAAACGTATGTTCTTCTTGTTCTCTTATTCTATATGTTAAGTCTGCAAGCAGCACATATTTTGTCAGCTTAAGTTGCCATTCTTCTTTGGCTGGGAATCTCACGCGTTTTCCATTTGGGGGCTAACGAAACATGGACCGCAGTAGTGGCAACATAAATAACCCTTCTCTGTCATCCTTCTCTCTCTCTCTCTCTCTCTCTCTCTCTCTCTCTCTCTCTGCCATTCCAACATCTCTTTCACACTCGTTCTCCTCTTCCTCTCTTCCTCTTCCTCTCTCTAGTCAGATCCATGCTGAACAGTTAAAACACATGGCTTCCCTCAAAGTATCCCGGGAACTATAGTTCCACCCCTCACAGAACTACAACTCCCAGAACCCTTCACAAACTTCAGTCCCTGGGATTCTTGTGTGTGCGTGTGGGGCAGCCATTATCATTATTTTTCATTTCATTTCTGTACCGCTTTCTATTCCAAGCCAAAAATCTCAAAGCGGTTTACAGCCCTACATTAAAACATCAAACAACGCAATCCAAAAGGAAGTCAAGTATAAAGTTCAAAGCAGCGTAGTTAACGGGAAACTAAAATATTATGTTAAAAAGTTTCAAAATAAAACATTGCAATGGAGGTCATGTTGAACACAGAAAAGTTAGCAACAAAGTAATCTTAAACATTTCAAAATCCAAAGGAAATCAAATACAGTGGCACCTCAGAAGTCAAACGGAATCGGTTCCGGAAGTCCGTTCGACTTCCAAAATTCTAGGAAACCAAGGCGTGGCTTTTGATTGGCTGCAGCCAATCGGAAGGCGCGGGCGATGTTCAGGTTCCAAAGAACATTCGCAAACTGGAACACTCCAAAATGTTTGACTTACAAGGCATTCGGGATCTAAGGTACAACTGTAAGAAATGCACATTTAAAACAGCATATGTAGTCTACAGCCAAATGTCTACTGCAAGGATGACTACCTAAGAAAAGTCATATTTAAACTACTGTATGTGTTTTAAGGGACGCGGGTGGCGCTGTAGGTTAAACCACAGAGCCTAGGGCTTGCCGATCAGAGGGTCGGCAGTTCGAATCCCCGCGACGGGGTGAGCTCCCGTTGCTCAGTCCCTGCTCCTGCCAACCTAGCAGTTCAAAAGCACGTCAAAGTGCAAGTAGATCAATAGGTACCACTCCGGCAGGAAGGTAAACGGCGTTTCCGTGCGCTGCTCTGGTTTGCCAGAAGCGGCTTAGTCATGCTGGCCACATGACCCGGAAGCTGTACACTGGCTCCCTTGGCCAGTAAAGCGAGATGGGCGCCACAACCCCAGAGTCCGCCACGACTGGACCTCATGGTCAGGGGTCCCTTAACCTTTACGTGTTTTAAAGGCATTGTGTCACTCTCTCCAAGCTGCTAAAAGGATCGCAGCCAGTTCAGTTTGGAGGGGACCCAGTTGCTTGAGATCAGATGGGGAAAGAGTGCTGTTTCCATTGTTCAGCCCAGACACTGAGATCCAGCTCCGAGGGCCTTCTGGCAGTTCCCTCCCTGCGAGAAGTGAGGTTACAGGGAACCAGGCAGAGGGTCTTCTCGGTAGTGGTGCCCGCCCTGTGGAACGCCCTCCCATCAGATGTCAAGGAAATAAACAGCTATCCTATCTTTAAAAGACATCTGAAGGCAGCCCTGTTCAGGGAAGTTTTTAATATTTAATGCTGTATTGTTTTTATCACTTGATTAGAAGCCGCCCAGAGTGGCTGGGGAAACTCAGCCAGATGGGCAGGGTACAAATAATAAATTAATAATAATAATTTAATAATAGTTGTTCTCAGGTCCTGCTTGCCGGAAGTCAAAGAAAGTGACCCTGTGTGTCTCCTACAAATAGTATCCTCAACTGGCACACAACAGCTTCTTTGCCCCTGAGCTACGCAACCCTTTCCCTGAAAATAAAGTTTAAGATTCCAGTCCTCATGGTGCTGAATAAAGGGGTGGTTTAAACAGCAGCGTTAAGAAGCTGGCTGAGAACAAGCCAGACCATTTGTCGCATCCAGCACTCGTGGATTTATTGATCATTTATTTTACAGGAGACATTTATGCGCCACCAAATAATTGGCATTCCTAAGTGGCGTCCATAAAAAGCAACCCAGGCAGCAAAAGGAAACAATAAAAATTTGTCGTAAAACCATACCCTACCTTAAAATGCCTGCTGGAACAAAAAAGGCTTAGTCATGCTCTGAAGTTCAGCAAGGAGAGTGGCTGTCTATCTCAGGTGGGTGGGAGTTCCAAAGGCTTTAGGGCCTATTATACTGAATGCATGGCTTCTGCACTCCAGCGGGTGCAGAATGCTGCAGCGAGACTCCTCACGGGGTCTCTGCCATGGAATAATATTCACCCAGTGCTTTTCCAGCTGCACTGGCTCCCGGTGGAGTACAGGGTCAGATTTAAGGTGCTGCTTTTGACCTTTAAAGCCCTTCACGGCCTAGGACCCTCGTACCCACGGGACCGCCTCTCCCGGTCTGCCCCACGGAGAGCCTCAAGGTCCATAAATAGCAACACCCTAGAGGTCCCGGGCCCTAAGGAAGTTAGATTGGCTTCAACCAGAGCCAGGGCCTTTTCAACTCTGGCTCCCTCCTGGTGGAACGCTCTGCCTCATGAGACCAGGGCCCTGCAGGATTTGATTTCTTTCCACAGGGCCTGTAAGACAGAGTTGTTCTGCCTGGCCTTTGGTTTGGAGCCAATTTGATTCCCTCCCCCTCTTTCTTTTTTCTTTTTCCTTTCTCCTCCTGCGATGAGGCTACATTTTAATATTTTAATGTTTCAATATTTTAATGTTGTATTTTAATTTTGTTTTTAAGTTGTATTCATTCAACTTGTTTTTATTATTGCTTGTTAACCGCCCTGAGCCAGGCCTTGGCTGGGGAGGGCGGGGTATAAATCAAAATTATTATTATTATTATTATTATTATTATTGGGTCAGCAGCAGGAACAAGTGCTGATCAACAAGTCTGTGGTTTAACCCACAGTGCCACCCGTGTTCCTAAAGTTCAGGGTAAAGAAGTGCAATTCCCCCATTTGGAGGGCAGCCAGAGGACAGAAGATCACTAGCAGATCGAAGTTGGATCAGGCCAAAGGCCCACACCACCCTATTAATTATCACAGTGGCCAAATGCCCCAAGGAATCTAAAACTCTAGATAGACTGCCCCTAGATCTGGAGGTTCCACCAGAATATCAGAAGAGCCCTGTAGTTCGCCAGTGGCCCAACTAGTCCAGCATCCTTCCTCTCTCTCTCTGTTTTTCTCTCTCTCTCTCTCTCTCTCTCTCTCTCTGCACCTGTCGAATGTCTGCCTTGCGTTTGTTCTGGAGAGGCAGAAAAGCCCTTTCGGAAAAGGGAGAAAAAGCAAGAAATGTCCAGTGGATCCTGTGAAACGGAGCCCCTTCGCTGGTGGGGCTGAGGCGCGCTGGGCTCCTCCTGGTAACCCCACGTGGCTCCTCTCCAAGAGGCCGGTCCTCTCTGGCTCTCCCCCGGCGGGGCTGGAGCTGCCGGCCTCCGTCTCCGCCCCTCTTGCCCAGCCCAGCCCAGCCTGGCGAGGGTTGCGGAGGCGTTGGCCGAGAGGCCTCACTCTGTCTCCTGCCAGCCGTCGCTCCAGGCTCCCTCTCGCGCTCTCTGCAGCTCCTCCGCGGTGAGTCTCTTTGGGGCGTTCCAGCCGCGCGTAACGGGGACTTTTTGGAGAGGTGTAGAAAAAGACGCGCGCCTCGCTTGCGCGCTCGCTTGAAAAGGAGGATAGAAATGGGGGGCGCGGGGGGGGGCTGGAAGAAACATTCAGAAAAGTGGGGTTCTCCCCATTGAAATGGAGCACCCTCCTCCCCACCCAAAAAATTCTGCACCCCAGGGAGGGGAAAAAACTGGACTGAGGTTGATGTGCAGTTTTATTGGAAACCAAATAAGTTTGGTATTTTTTGAAAGGGAACGTTTGTTTGTTTTCTGCAGTGGAAAAGCCTGCAGTTCTGGGAAAGGGTGTGGTCCGCCCTGGGGAATGAGAGCGGGGTGGTCTCCTCTTGAGAAAGTGGGTTGGGTGTCTTGGGGCAAGGGGGTCTTTTCTCCTGAATCAATCAGTCTCCGCTCAGAATTCATTTTGAGAGTTCTCCTGTGTTTCCTGCGTTAATCTGGCTTGGAGTATAGAGGCAGGTCCATTGCCGTGAATGGGCACGGGGGTGGGATTAGGTCCCTTTGATTCCACTGGGTCTACTCGTGAACCGGACCAAGTGGCTTGAAACCCCGCGTCCTTATTCTTGCATACGGGCTTGCAGTAGAAAAAAAATAAAATAAAACCTCTGGGTCTGAAAACCTCTGGGTCTGAAAAGCATCGCTAAAATTGGGGAGGGCGTATTTATTTTTATTTTAGGGGGATTTTAAAATCTGGTGTCCTGAGCAAAAAGGGTGATTCGTTTCCTCCTCCCCATTTAGAATAGGGGAGGTTGGGTTCTTCAGGAAGACTTTATTTAGGGGGAGGGGATTGTGGAAGAAGGGGGTAACCCCTGCTTTGAAGGGGTGGAGACCACCATCAACACCCCAAAACTAAAACTAGAGGACGTGGGGGTTCCAAAGGCAGAATTTGGGTGGACATGGGGCTGGGTGTGTCCTGCCATCATTGGATAGGGTGTGCTCCCAACTAGGGACTTGTCTGGAGTTCACCACCCAGCCATGTGGCCGACTAATCCCAGTTGTGGGGAGAGAAAGAAATGAACAGGTTATATATCCAAACGCATGTCCTGCTCATAGTAGGCTCGTTAATAGACATGGCTAGTTCAGGGTCATTAATTCCAGTGGGTCTACTCTTGAGTAGGGCCTAACTACTTCTTTAAAAAAGCTCTGGGACTAGACCACGCCACTGTCAATCTAGCGTAGCCTGTTCCTTTGGGGACTGAAATCCCTTGCATTTGCTACGGGAGCATGCATAAGAAGGTTCCAAAGGTGTGATGGATCTGTATGAGGTTACCTGCATTCCACACCCAGAGAGGCCCCAGCCCCTCCAGCTGAGGTCAAGGTCCAACTTGCCCCGAGTGAGTCTTGGTTCCTAGGCCAGAGACAGCCAAAGCTATTGATGTTGTCAGACCGACCCCACCTGGCTGCTGTGCTTTTAAACACACACACACACAACTCCAAAAAAAGGGGGAGGAATCCTGGAAACTGTACTTTACTCCCTCACTGAGCTACAGTTCCCAGCAGCCTTGGAGGACTATGGTTCCCAGGATTCTCTGGGGTGCTGAGGAGAGAGAACGTGCTTTAAATGTATGCTGTGCGGCTCAAAAATTGATAGGAGCACGGCTGCCGTCTTGGAAAGAGTGGCCCCACAAAGTTCGGGAAGCCGTCTCCAACGACAAAAATAATATCTAAGGCGAAGCGTTTCAAGCGAATTCAGAAATAAATTCTGGGAGAACTGGTTGCTCTCTTTGAGAAAATAACCACCTCCCGTGAAAGCAAACCCAAGTCGCTTTTGCAGGTTTAGAAGAGATGTTTTAATTTTGCGATAGTTGTGTTTTCTTGCGGAATATTGTGATCTGGAGGTGGGTTTTTCCCTGGAGCAGTTTCTTGGGTTTTTGTTAATGATCGATAAATGATTGAATAAATTAAAGGGGGGGAGAGAATGCATGCTATGTAAGTGGCCATGGGCCGTTGTGTCTGATGGGAATTGGCATTGGGTGCCAGTCTGGAGCATGGGTAGGCAAACTAAGGCCCGGGGGGGGGGCTGGATCCAGCCCAATCACCTTCTCAGTCCGGGTCCACGGACGGTCCAGGTATCAGCGTGTTTTTACATGAGTGGAATGTGTGCTTTTATTTAAAAATGCATCTCTGGGTTATTTGTGGGGCTTAGGAATTCGTTCAATTTCCCCCAAAAAAATATAGTCCAGCCCACCACATGGTCTGAGGGACAGTGGACCGGCTCCCTGCTGAAAAAGTTTGCTGACCCCTGGTCTGGAGGGTCGTGCTTTGTATCCATCCATTTGAAAATTGGCCAGCAGTCCTTGATGTAGCTTCAAGTCTATGGGGAGAAAGGCTGTGTTTGCTTTCCCCTGTTTCACACTACAATTCCCCCCCCCCTCCCAGGGTGTGGCATGCAGCCTGATTACCCAAGGAACAGCCTTATAACAGGGAGGGTCTGTTACAGGACAGGACAAGGATAGAGGATTTTCTTCCTTCCTTCCTTCCTTGCTAGGATGGGCTGGGGATTGGATTTGGGGGGACCGCTCAGCTACAGCCCTTTCCACGGAGCCCTGAATTTCAGTTCTCTGTTCTTCCCATCCGCTCCCCTCGGTTTCGACCCCTTAAAGTAACAACAAACAGTTTTGCGTTTGGGTAAAAGGTTTGTTGTTTCATGTGATAATGCATAGGAAACACAGAGAGGATAATTGTGGCAACAGACTAAAATGTTTAAAAACAACCCCCAAAATGCAAAACAGGCACGTTAAAATAAGTTCGGTTGCCTATGGGTTTGGGAATGATTCTCCAAATCACAGAAGAAAAAAAGCGAGACGTTTTCTTCGCCTAAAGAAGGAAGATTTGGGTTATTTCACGGTTCAGATTTGCTGGGCTTGCGACGATGGTGCTCTTGGAAAATGATGTTTCTGCTGTATGGGATGCCACACAGAGCCTGGCAGCAGGATTAGGCCAAAGAGGACCATTCTCATGCAGCAGCCTGTTTTTGCAGCAGCCAAAAGCCCTGAGGAGCCTAGGAATCTAGATAGACTGCCCCTGGAACTGGAGGTTCTATAGAAACATCTGGAGAGCCTGGTGGGAACCGCGAGGGTCATCTAGTCCAGCCCTCTGCAACGCAGGGACCTTTTGCCCAACATGGGGCTAAGCGTCACCGTAGAGACAGAACCATCACTCCATAAAATGTGTCCGAAGGTTGCAAGCCTGTCGAGATCTCAAAGGAAGCCAGCAAACAGTTTGAAGGGTTTGTGTGTTGCTGAAAGGCTCTGCCGTTGCAGCGTTTTAAAGCCGCTCTTGCAGTTTGTGGGGGGCAAATTGTGGGGCGTAGTTGTCAGAAGGGGACTCTGGTGTTGGGGGTTCAGGGTGAGGAAATGGAAGGACCCGGAGTGAACTGTAACCGAACAGCACAGTCGGAGAAGATGTTCCCCTTGTGCGTTTCTGTGACCTACTTAAGGCAGCATCAGACCACATGTTTGTTGGCAAGGGGAGACCCTCCCTGGCCGTGTCACAAGAGTTGGATCCGTCTCCTGGTGAAGAGAATTTCTCTTTCCAGATCTGGAGAGAGAGAGGGAGAGGTGGGTGGGGTGCCGAAGCTTCTCAAAAGGATATTTGTTTTCCCAGGGTGGCAAAGCTGTTTGCTGGGTCATAATAAGATAAGCAGGGAGCCGTTCTGGATTAGACCAAAGGCCAGCTCCTCCTCCTCCTCCTCCTCCTCCCTCGGTTCCTCCAAGCAGGTCGTGATACAGCCACGCCTGTCACCCCCATCTGAGCCTCCGAGGTAGACTATCCCTGTCCCTGGAGGTTCAGTTTCTCGCAGTCACAGGCCATGCCCACAAACCGTACATTTAATTATTTTCTGCCACTTTTAATGGCCAGGAATCAACTTTAGTTTGCCCCACACGTTTTGCAGTGCCCTTCACAAACCACAGTTCCCTAGGTTATTTGGGGGGGGGGCACGTGACTGTAGTTTGGGAGCTGTGGTTTGTTACGGGCGCTGAGACCTCTTGGGAAACTGTCTCAGAGTTCTAGTTCCCTGTGAAAAGGGATTCGCTGTTAAATCGCTCTGGTTTTAATTCATGAGGACTAGAAACCTGCTTTAGTTTTTTTCATTCAAGTGCTATAGCCAAGCGGCTTGAGCATATGCTTTGCATGCAAAAGGTCACAGGTTCAGTCCCCAGTGGCTTCTCCAGGTCGCGCTGGGAAGGTGCGTGGCCAGAAACCCTGGGGAGCCTCTGCCAGTCAGTGTAGACGTTATGGAGGTAGGTGGACCAATGGAACTGATGCAACGGTGCTGCAACAGTTAGATGAAGCATCCTCCTTGCTCCCACCCACTTGGCCCTCGGAGGGCTGGCAGACTACAGATCTGGCCCTCAGGGCGGAAAGGATTCCCCAGCCCTCCTCTCCTCGCATTCCTCCGGTGACGCCAGCGCTCTGCTCTCTTTAAATCCATCCTGAATAAATTAACTGGTTGCCCCAGTGGAAAAGAAGAATTGAGCCAGTTCAGAATGCCTTCTGGCTGTGAGCATGACATGCGAGGAAAGAACGCTTCCTCTTTATTTATTCCATTTATTTTCTGCGTTTGCATCCCACTGTTTTTCTTCCTCCAAAGGGCTCAAAGTAGGGTTCCATGTTTCTCCATCTCCTCATTTGATTCCCACAACAACCTTGTGAGGTAGGTCTATAGGCTTAGAGGTATAGTGACTGGCTGCCAGGGTCACGTCCAGGGAGCTTCATGAGGCCAAGTCGGGTTTCAAACCCAGGCCAGTAATAAGCAAATAAACCACAGCGCCCAGAATTCTCTGGGGGAAGGCGTGCGCCTCCAACGTGATTCGGATGTGCTTTAGATCCAAATCTAAATCCTGACCCGGTTCTCACAGCAACCTCTCTGATTTCGCAACAACTGGCGTTGCAAAGCATACTGCCTCCGACAGGGGACAGCGCCATTTCTGCTAGCAGCCGTTGAACAGCCTCCACGAATTTGTCTCGCCCCCTTTTAGGATGTTTGGCACCTGTCCCAGATTCTGAATTGATTCTGTGTATGAGTTGTTGTTTTTAAAAGAGTCTCTATGCTTATAATTGCCTCATCATTTTTTAAAAAACAAAAAAACACAATTACATGGAATTGTTTTTTAACCGATGCGCCTGCTTTCTTGTAAAATGCTTTGAGCTGCCTCCTGGGGGAGAGATACGTAAATGGAATTAAGAGTGCCAATCTCAGCCCACTGTGGCAAGCTGTCAGAGAAGGGCGGGGGTGTCCCAACAAAGTCCTGCTCCGAGGAGATCCGTTGCAATGAAAATGGACCAAAATCCGCCACGTTGTTTCATCGTTTGGCCCGGACACTGAGGTCCAGCTCTGAGGGCCTTCTGGAGGTTCCCTCCCTGCAAGATGTGAGGTTACAGGGAACCAGGCAGAGGGCCTTCTTGGTGGTGGCACCCGCCCCGTGGAACGCCCTCCCAGCAGATGTCAAGGAAATAAGCAACCATCTGACTTTTAGATGACACCTGGAGGCAGCCCCGTTCAGGGAAGTTTTTAATGTTTGATGTATTTATTGTGTTTTTAATATTCTATTGGGAGCCGCCCAGAGTGGCTGAGGAAACCCAGCCAGATGGGTGGGGTAGAAATAATAAATTATTATTATTATTATTATTATTATTATTAATTATTAATTATTATTATTATCATGTAAGTGATCTAGTTAGCTGCCCTTTGCCCCCCTTGGGAGGAAGGGGTGGGCAGATCAATCAGTCCAGCATCCAGAGCACTCAAAAGTCAGTAGCAAATTAGATAGATAGATAGATAGATAGATAATTGATAGATAGATGATAGGTAGGTAGGTAGGTAGATGATTGGTAGATGGATGATAGATAGATAGATAGATAGATAGATAGATGATAGATAGATAGATAGATAGATAGATAGATAGATGATAGATGATAGATGATTGGTAGGTAGGTAGGTAGATAGATAGATAGATAGATAGATAGATAGATAGATAGATGATTGATAGATAGATGATAGGTAGGTAGGTAGGTAGGTAGATGATTGGTAGATAGATGATAGATAGATAGATAGATAGATAGATAGATGATTGGTAGGTAGGTAGGTAGGTAGATAGGTAGATAGATAGATAGATAGATAGATAGATAGATAGATAGATGATTGATAGATAGATGATAGGTAGGTAGGTAGATAGATAAATAGATAGATAGATAATTGATAGATAGATTATTGGTAGATAGATAGATAGATAGATAGATAGATACTGTAGATGATTGGTAGGTAGATGATTGATAGATAGATGATAGGTAGGTAGGTAGGTAGGTAGATAGATAGATAGATAGATAGATAGTAAAAGGCCACATGATAGAAGTTTATAAAATGGTTCATGGCTTGCAGGCAGATCCATGTTTTTCTCCCTCATAACACTGGACATCCAACGAAGCCAAGTGTTGGGAGATTTGGGACTGACGAACGGAAGGACTTCTTCATGCAGCACACAGTTGAACTGTGGAACTCCCTGCCACAGGAGCCAGGGATGTCCACCCACTTGGATGGCTTAGAAAGAGGATTACACAGCCATTCCTGGAGGAAGGGAGGGCTATCGATGGCTGCTAGTCCTGGTGGCTCTGCCCTGCCTACACGGCTGGAGGCAGCGATGCTTCTGAGCATCACTTGAGGGAGAAGTGTTCTTGTGCTTTGGAGTTTTCCAAAAAGATGCCTCTGGTTGGCCATTGTGAGAACAGGATCCTGGGCTCATTGGTGGGCCATTGGCCTGATTCTGGAGTCTGTTCCAATGTTCTTATATCTGCACCAATACCTTTCCATTTAAAGCTGCTAAGCTCTGTTGCTTTTCGAAGCAGTTTTCCAGTGTGCTAGAAAACTAAATCCTATTGCTTGTCGAAATAGTTGTTTTGATATTGGTGGATCTGGTGTGCTAGAAGACTCTGGTAAGCCCGTGGTTTGTGCAAGTGTGTGCATGTCTGTGCATGTGCAAATACACACACACACACACAGAGAGAGAAAGCTCGCCATGGAATAAGGGCATCTGTGGCCGACTGTCGAGATCTGAGCAGAATTCTGGGTGGAGTCTGTAAGAAAGGGATTGCTCTTTGAACAAAGGACAGCCCTTAAAATAAACAGGGTTTGGCACTGTGTGGGCGCATGAGCGCATGCCTTCGGAAGCATAGGACCCCATTGCTAGACTTACTCATTATGAATGGAATTCCATCTGTGAGTTACTTGGGGAGAATGTGAGCCTGCTCACACTCTTAACCAAAGAGATTAACCCTTGACTCAGAGCACCATCATTCTCTTCGCCCTGTATCAAGAGGGAAGGCAGTATCGTGCAATGGCTAGAGCAGAGTCGGGGAGAAGCCTCAGGCCCCAGAACCAGATGCAGTCCTCTGAGCCTCTCTGCCCACATCCACACCATACAATTTAAGAACTTGTCTACTCCTTTAACGGTCATGGCTTCCCCCCAAAGTGGCTTTTCCCACACCAGAGCTAAGATTCCCAGGATCCTTTGCAGGAAGCCATGCGCTTTGAATGGATGCTGTGGGAGTGGCCTCTCGCTAAGCCACGCCTCTTCCAGGCCACGCCTCTTTCCTGATCCACACGCTTAGGGCAAGGCGGTATCCGGTTTTCAAGATCAAGATACTGTCTATCGCCAGATAAACATTGTGATATACCGATATATCGGATGGCGCTGTCTAGAAGAGGCATCAACTGGCTTCAAGGTTTTTCTTGCATTGTGACTTTTGCATAGCACATGCACACACTCATTGGGGACGGGCAATGTATCATGATGTGTGCCTGTGCTATGTAAAAAAAGACATGATGTAGGAAAAACCGTGAAGCCAGACATCGCTTCTCTTATTATTCCCACCGCCCTTCTGCTCTGTACAGTGGTACCTCGGGTTACATACGCTTCAGGTTACATACGCTTTAGGTTACACACTCCGCTAACCCAGAAATAGTGCTTCAGGTTAAGAACTTTGCTTCAGGATGAGAACAGAAATCGGGCTCCGGCGGCGCAGCAGGAGGCCCCACTAGCTAAAGTGGTGCTTCAGATTAAGAACAGTTTCAGGTTAAGAACAGTTTCAGGTTAAGAACAGACCTCCGTAATGAATTAAGTACTTAACCTGAGGTACCACTGTACTATAAAACAACAGTTGCAGCAATAAAAGGTAAGTAAAATAAAAAGAGTGTTAGTTTTAGACCCCTAAATTAGGGTTGCGATATGTCCGGAATTACCCAGACATAGCTGAGATTTTCCTGCTGGAAACTATGGGCGGAAATCACTGAAATGTCCTGGAAAATCTGGACTTACGGCAACCCACGTCGGAAGAGTAGATTTTGGCGAATTTCATTAAAAATAGCTCAAAAACGTAAGCTCAGCAACTTTGGCCACCCCACGCCCTCCCAAAAAAAAGGTCAACAGCTTTTGTGTTCTTATTTTCACTTTTTGAAACATGGCAGCCCTACCTAATTAGTAGTAACAGTTGCCAGGACATGACCCTGTTCTCCTCTACAAAGTTACATCTTCATTTCAGACATCGTGATACACTGATCTATCTTTCTTTCTATATTCTTTCTTCTGTCTTGAATCTTGCAACATTCAGCTTCATTGTATGTCCAGAGGTGTTAAAACGTATGTATTTGTGGGTGTCTTTAAAGAGAGAGGGAAAGAGAAACAGTTTGTATTCTTCCCGGTACAGCATATGTTCTCTGCATTGCACCGACGCTTCCGAGAAGCCGTTAAAAGGGTTTGTGGGTTTCAGCACCGGCTGACGTCTGCTTATAAATCTTTTACACTCTCTCTGTGCGATGGCCGAGGCTCCCGGCTGCAGATGGACCTCCAATTTCCACACTCGAGGCAGCTGGAGCCTGCAAAACCTCTCAGCACTGACCCCAAGGGACTATCTCAGAGCTGCAGAACATCAGGACTGAGATTTGTGAGATGGATTCCGGGCCGAGAAAAGGCCAGCGAAGGGACAGCCTTGCAGCCAAGTTTGCAGTCAATCTAGTTCTATATTGCGAACACTGACTGGCAACAGCTCTCCGGGGTTTTGGGTAGGGCGTTTTTCCCAACCCTGCCTGGAGATGCCTGGGACATTTTGTATGCAAAGTAGCTGTTCACCAGACTACGGTCCGCAAAAAGATGGTGCAACCTGCAAAACAGGGCATCCTAAATTCTCTCCCTCTATTCTGTGAGAGCTGGACCATCAAGAAGGCTGATCGCCAAAGAATGGATGCTTTTGAATTCTGGTGCTGGAGGAGACTCTGGAGAGTCCCATGGACTGCAAGAAGATCAAACCTCTCCATTCTGAAGGAAACCAGCCCTGAGTGCTCACTGGAAGGACAGATCCTGAAGCTGAGGCTCCAGTACTTTGGCCACCTCATGAGAAGAGAAGACTCCCTGGAAAAGACCCTGATGTTGGGGAAGATGGAGGGCACAAGGAGAAGGGGACGACAGAGGACGAGATGGTGGGACAGTGTTCTCGAAGAGACCAGCATGAGGGAGGCAGTGGAAGACAGGAGGGCCTGGCGTGCTCTGGTCCATGGGGTCACGAAGAGGTGGACACGACTAAACAACTAAACAACAACAACAGGTCCTCTAGGGGGATTCGTGTCCTCTGTCTCTTTTGCCCAGTGTTGGAGATGCTTTCTCCCAGAGTCGTCTTCCACGAGGCCGTCTGCTGGCAAATGCCAACCAAGTCAAGGCCTCGCCCATGTACCCGGGACTCCGTGGGGAGAGCTGTCCCGCTCCGGAGACAACAGCAGCAGAGCTGGGGAGCTTGCCAGGATCTCTTAAGCCCTGTTTAGTCATTGCGTTAACAGCCAAGGGATGAGGAGTCCTTCCCCTCCCCTCTGCCCCCCTCCTAAGACAACTTCTCCTCTGCAGCCTCCAGCCAACACCCACCCAATGGGAACACCCAGAAGGGAGCGGGCAATGACAGGAAACGTCTGTGATTAAGCAAAATCGCTTCCCCTTTGAAAGAGTCTTCTGCAAGAACTTTTTTTATGTATGCTACAACAGCAGCAAGAATACTCATCGCGAAGTATTGGAAGACACAAGATCTACCCACTCTGGAAGAATGGCAGATGAAGGTGATCGACTACATGGAATTGGCAGAAATGACTGGCAGAATCCGAGACCAGGGAGAAGAGTCGATGGAAGAAGACTGGAAAAAGTTTAAAGACTATTTACAGAAATATTGCAAAATTAATGAATCTTAGAAGGATGTTGGATAGAAACTAAGTGGTTTCCAGCTGTAATGCTTTAAGAGATAAGAAAAAAGGTTCATAAATGGGTAAAAGCTTAATGGTAAGGATTTGCTGAACTAATAAACTGAACTGGAATACAAAAAAGGGAGGTACGAGGAGGTCCGGGGAAGTAAGTGTAAGGAAGATAGGCTATGGAAAATTAATGTGTTTTTAACTGTTCTTATTTTGTATGTTTCCTTTTATTTTTCATTTCTTTGTTATATTTTCTTGTATTTTTACTTTTTGTTTTTGTGTAATTCTTGTATTCTTTGAAATTTTAATAAATATCATTTAAAAAAAAAAAAGAAAGAGTCTTCTGCAACTGCTGCTTGGTGTGTGCAGCCTTCTGTGTTCCTCTTCAACCAGCCCCATGAGGACCAGAACCTTGCATTCTTTTTTAGAGGGAAGGCAGTTGTTCTGGGGCAGAGCCTTTGCCAAGGCACTGGTCTTGACCTTTAAAGCCCTTTGTGGCTTAGGGCCCTCGTATTTACGGGACCACCTCTCCTGGTCTGCCCCGCAGAGGACCTTAAGGTCCATGAATAACCATAGTTTAGAGGTCCCGGGCACTAAGGAAGTCAGACTATCCTCCACCAGGGCCTTCTCAGTGGTGGCTCCGACCTGGTGGAATGCTCTGTCCAATGAGACCAGGGCCCTGCAGGATTTAACCTCCTTCCGTCGTGCCTGTAAGACAGAGCTTTTCCACCTGGCCTTTAATTTGAATTCAGTCTTTTATTTCCCTTCTCTTCCTTCCCCCTCCCCTTTTATGAAGATCACCCGCTCTGAGACCCCACAGCTAATTCTCCCCTGGCCTCCTCGCTGGCCCAAGTAGGATCAATTCAGCCAGCTAGCCCTGGAGATGATCTAATGCTTATTTCTCCTAAATTGAATTCTGAATATTTTATTGTTATTCATGTTTTTATACTGTATTTTATGCTGCTTTTATAATTAAGTGTTTTAAAGTGTTTTAAATTTGTTGTTAGCCGCCCTGAGCCTGGTTTTTGAACCAGGAAGGGCGGGGTATAAATTAAATATCTATATTATTATTATTATTATTATTATTATTATTATTATTGCATGCCAAAGGTCTCAGGTTTGATCCCCAGCATCTACATGAAGGGTTGGCAATCGTCCCCTGTCTCAGAGCCCTTTCATTTGGAACCATGAGGACTGGAATCTTTCTTTCTTTTTAGGGACGGAGCCATATCTAAGCCTTAAAGCTCATGTTTTGCATGCAGAGGGTACCAAATTCAATCTCTGGCGTCTCCAAGTAGGGCTGGGACTCTCCCCTGCCCTTGGAGAGCCGCTGCCAGTCAGTGTCGACTTTACTTAGCAAGAAGGATCCCAACACTCTAACAAAGTATTTGAGTTGGCCTTTCATTCAGAACCCATGAGGACTAGCACCTTGGCTTGCTTTCCCAGCTCAGCGCAAGAGCGTCGGCTTGGCATGCAACAAATTCAATCCCTGGCCTCTCCAAGTAAGAACATCAGAGGAGAGCTGCAGGATCGGGCCAAGGGCCCGTCCAGCATCCTGTTCTCACAGCGGCCGACTAGATCCCTGTGAGAAACCAGTAAGCGGGATTCGAACACAAGAGCGCTCTCCCCTCTCCTGCGGTTTGCAGCAGCGACTAGAATTGCAACTGCGACGAAACCATGACAATAGAAACAGTATACAGTGGTACCTCGGGTTAAGTACTTAATTCGTTCCGGAGGTCCGTTCTTAACCTAAAACTGTTCTTAACCTGAAGCACCACTTTAGCTAATGGGGCCTCCTGCTGCTGCCGTGCCGCCGGAGCATGATTTCTGTTCTCATCCTGAAGCAAAGTTCTTAACCTGAAGCACTATTTCTGGGTTAGCGGAGTCTGTAACCTGAAGCGTATGTAACCTGAAGCATATGTAACCTGAGGTACCACTGTAATGAGAACGATTGGAAGTTTTATGCAGAATTTTTTTTATTTGATGGGTATGTTTTTGTATAAATTGTTGGTTCTTTTTTTCTTACTTTTATGTTTTGATGTTTTCTTCTTCTGTCTTTAACTCTTCTATACTTATCTTCGTTGTACGTTTGTATTTTAAATCAATAAAGATTTACCATTGGAGGGGGGGGGAGGAATTGCAAACGTAAGGGAACCGATGTCCCGTTGGTGGTGTGGGATTCCTTCCAGAAGGCTCCAGGCGTCAGGCAAGAAGCCGCAGGTTATGAGCAGGCAAATGGGCCAGGAGCCAAGGGGAGACGGCTTAGGCCTTAAGACAACCTGGGGGCCACGCCCTTCGCGTATTTGGACTCCTTCTGCCTCTCTCGTCCCACCCTGCTCTTTGCACTGAGATTTATCTCAGACTTGGCTCCGTTCCTGTCTTGCGATTATTAAACCTCTGGGGCCTTACCTGAGGAAGAGAGGGGAAACTGAGGAAGTTTGAGCAACCTCAAGGGTTGTGGGATCTCGGGGGGAGAGACTCAACAATTGCGCCATGAGTCTTTCTACGCCGCGTCCGGTTTCCAGGTGAAGCAGATGGAGCGGATGGTGTCTTTGCCTTCAGACAGGATGCCAACACGACTTTGGAGAGCTTGGCATTGGTAAAAGTTGAAGTGGCCCCCGTAAGGTCGCCCATAACAGCCCACCCAGCTTGAAGCAGACAGCTAGGGCATCCTCAACACGGTTCTTTGTTGACCTCCCAAGAGAGAGGGAAGATGCCACCACATGAAGGTGGAGAGTTGAGAGTTCGTAAGGGTTGGAGGGGGTCATGTAAGGTCTGCTAGACCAACCCGACTCATTTGAAGCAGGCAGCCTGGAAACAGAGCTTCCAGAACACAGGGCTGTCCAGCTTCTCCTTGTAATAATAATAATAATAATAATAATAATAATAATAATAATTTTATTATTTCTGCCCCATCCATCTGGCAGGGTTTCCCCAGCCACTCTGGGCGGCTACTAACAGAACACTAAAAACAGAATAAAACTTCAAACATTAAAAACTTCAGATGTCTTCTAAACGTCAGGTAGTTGTTTATCCCCTTGACATCTGGTGGGAGGGCGTTCCACAGGGCGGGCGCCACCACTGAGAAGGCCCTCTGCCTGGTTCCCTGTAACTTCGCTTCTCGCAGCGAGGGAACCGCCCCGGCATGACCAAGATGTAATTCACGGCTGAAAATGCCAGCAGATTAATGTATTAATTGTTGAATTAATTCATTATCCTAATTGCACACCTGGTTACAGCAGCCAGGTTGGAACTGGTCCAGAATCGGCCGTACCTTTTCCACTTCACCTTAAAGGGACAGTGGAGTCGGGTCTGGCAATTTAGCGGCGGTAGAAAAAGTCACGGCTGGTAACAGACAACTTAGAGGAGTTAGTTCTCAGGGGCTTTGCCTCTGTTTGTTGGGTTTGTTTTGTGACAACCGCCCTTCTCCACCCACTGCCAAATCTCTTGCCACCCACGATGAGCATGTGTTATATACCCAGACAGTTTTTCTCCTTAGCTTAGAAATCTGTAAATGATCTGTGCTGGCTCTCCGTCTTATGTATTTTCTTCAAGATTGTTTGGTGTTTCTGTGCATCCACAATTGGCGCCGGGAATTGAGTTTGTAGTCATCTCTTAGTGGGTCTGGTCTCTTAGAATCATGGACTCATAGAGTTGGAAGGGAACCCTGAAGATCCTCTAGCCCAACCCCCCAACGGCAGGAATCTTCAGCTGCCCCATAGGGAGACAGAACCTGCAACCTTGGCGTTACCAGTGCCATACTGTTACCAACTGAGTTATCTCTCTGACTCTGGCGCATGCCATTTTTGCGTGCCTGTCAAATCTCATTAGAAATGTCAAAAGAAAATGCCCATGAACTGGGAAGGGTGGCGTATTGTATGAAAACTGCAGTTATGTCTCTTGGAGATGCAACAATGGGGCAGGAACCTTTCTACATATGTGGTGGGAGTGCAACGAGATAGTGGGATTCTGAGAAAATATCTATAATGAACTGAAAAAGGTGTTTAGATTTTCATTTGGGGGAAAAACCAGACTCCTTTATCCTAGGTATCATGTCAGAGGAAATAAAAAGAACGGGCAGACCAATATTTATGTATTCAAGTACGGCGACAAGGTTATTGATTGCCAAAAATAGGAAAAGCAGCAGCGTCCCAACTAAAACAGACTGGTTTTCTAAAATGATGGAATACTTCCATATTGCCGAACTAACAGGGAGGATAAGAGGAGATATGGTACAAAAAGTGAATAAGGAGTGGGCTATCTTTAAAGAATACTTCAAGATTTATGTGGAAAAAGTAGAATTTCGGACAGATATTGAGTGAATCCAGAAAATGATTAGAGTGAAGGGAGAGTAAAGACAAGATAGAAGAAGAGGTTAAAGAAATAACAAAATGTGTTTAAGCCAGCTGGAAAAATAAAGTAGCGTTACAAGAATGGCTGGAAGTCACTTGGTGGGTGTCCGTGTGGGGTAGGTGTGTAGGTTTGCTGATATGTACAGTAAAGGGACGCAGGTGGCGCTGTGGGTTAAACCACAGAGCCTAGGACTTGCCGATCAGAAGGTCAGCAGTTCGAATCCCCGCGATGGGGTGAGCTTCCATTGCTCAGTCCCAACTCCTGCCAACCTAGCAGTTCGAAAGCACGTCAAAGTGCAAGTAGATAAATAGGTACTGCTCCTGCGGGAAGATAAACGGCGTTTCCGTGCACTGCTCTGGTTCGCCGGAAGCAGCTTAGTCATGCTGGTCACATGACCTGGAAAAACTGTCTGTGGACAAACGCCGGCTCCCTCAGCCTATAGAACGAGATGAGTGTGCAACCCCAGAGTTGGCCACGACTGGACCTAATGGTCAGGGGTCCCTTTACCTTTACAGTATAGGTAGGTATTATATAGAGTAATGTAGGTATGTTTTATGTTATGAAAAAAAGGTAGTGTGTTGTGTATGTGTATTGTGTAAATGTATATGTATGTGTTTTATATGTTAATAAAATTTAAATTTAAAAGGGGGGGGAAAGGTGGTGTTTGGCCGGCTGGCATGCTTGTACAAAGGGCAGCAGTCCCAGTTTCCTGGAAGTGCAAATCTCCCAGTGGGAGCCTGAAGCGCCGCTTCTTGTTTGGAGAGGACTGTGCCATATGCTTAAGGGAAGTCTTTGCTGGTGAAGGGTTAAGAGGCTGAGTCAGGCGGCTGATCCCGGGTCAGAGTGTGCTTCTTCCTTGTGTTTCTTCCTCGTAGTGCCAGCCAGGAGGAGGAGGAGGAAGGCGGGTGGACGGGTGGGAGAGACTCTTTGGCCGGGACGCCAGCCAACGCCTCCTGCCCCAGGCACAGCCCTCCCCAGATAGGAACCAGATGGTCTATCCCCAGTCCAGATGTTCTTGGCAGCCTGCAGGGTCCAGGGATCAAAGACAAAGCGTTTAGTGGAAGGAATGTGAAGGGAGCAGGAAAGAGAAGGAACTCCACTGAGCCGCAGAGAACCAGCCAGTCAGGATTAGTGCTTGGTCTCCTCTCTGTCCTTAGGGAGGAATTTCCCAAGAGGTCAGGACCTGCTATCACCATCCCAGTTGCGCAGTGTTTGTTGGCGGGGTGCAGTTTGCACATGCTCTGACGACCTCCTGAGCATTGCGACACACACATCCCAGAGGCTTGGTGTTTTTTGTGGCATCTGCAGGAATTTTTTGCTAAGTGGAGGGCAGGGTAAAATAAGACACTGGGGGAAACAGGCCTGTTTTGCACCCGCAGAAAATAGTGCCGCCTAACTCAGTTTCTGCACATGCTAGAAACACATTCCTTTCTTCATGAACGCACAGAATATGGGGGTTATTGTTCATCTGGGGGGATGACTGCAGAGGTAACTGAAACCAATCGCCCTTCCAAGAACAGCTGCACCGGTTGAATTTTGTCCTGTCTTCCAGTGTATGGCCAGCAAAAGGAAGCCAGACTCCATGGCCCTGTTCCTCACACCCATACTTGTTCTTTCGCTGTGCTTTGCTTTCTGACCATGAGGACTAGGAACATACGCTATTTAAATTTTTAAAAACTCAACAGAACCACCAAGGCCATTTTAAGAGCAGCACAGCTGTGCTGGTACGCCAGGGGAACCAGGAGTGCCAGCTTGGCCCCACAGATGTGGGTGCCCAGGACCAGAGGTGCCATGCAGTGTGGCTGGCCCTGGCACCAAAATTTGTGGTTGCCCAGCCCCTTCATGGGGAACTTCGTGGGCCCCAGGGAGTTGGCTCCTATGAAGGGTACACAGGATGCACCTTACAGAGAATCTTCACTCACTTTTTAAAAAATCAAACTTTCTAGGCCTTGGTGCCGCCAAGATATTTGTGTCTTGGCTAAGTCTGCTCTGAAGCCCAAGAGGTGATGGAACGGTGGCTGAGGAAGGAGCTCATCTGTCCTGTGTTGGCTCCTCATCCCATTGCCCGTGACCGAGGAAAACCAGTACAGTGGACGCTCGGGTTGTGAACGTGATCCGTGCAGGATGCACGTTTGCAACGCACGTCTGCGCTCGTGCGGGTTGCGATTTGGCGCTTCTGCGCATGCGCGACTGCCGAAACCCAGAAGTAACCCGTTCCGGTACTTCCGGGTTTCGGCAGGTACCTAACCCGAAAAAACACAACCTGAAGCGTCTGTAACCCGAGGTATGAATGTACAAATTATGCAAAATAGTTAAAAATAATACACTGCGAAACATTCCACCAAATGAAAGAAATCATGCCTGTTTTGCTCAATGCATGTGATTCGCATAGTTCTGGAAGTTTGGATCAGAGGTGGCGAACCCACAGGCTTGGGAGACTAATGTGGCCATCCAAGCGTCTCTGTTTGTCCCTCAAGAAACTCTTTATGCCGCACACTCTCCCGGCTCCACTCTGTGTGTGGTTTTGCAAGACTGGAGTGTGTCTGCGAATTTTGATCATGCCTTTTCATTCCTTGGATGGAGGATACAGAAGGGGGTGTTTGTGCTCCGCCCATTTTCCCCTCTGGTCCTGCCCACCTGGCATGTGGCCCCTGAAACATTGCCCAGGAGGGAGTGTGGCCCTTGAGTTCATGGCAGCATGAGATCGCTTGGCCTTAGAATTTCCTTCCTTCCTTTCCTTTCCTTTCCTTTTCCCTGCTTTTTCTTGTTTTAAGCATCAATGCAGCAACAGAGAATTGGTCCAGTCTAGTAGTCTTCACTTCCTACGCTTCTTCCATCAACCACCGGGGAATTTAAGACAGCAAAACTCAACATCTCCTTCTCTCTCGCCCGTTTCTCTGCAGGCTTCCTCGTGCCCCAGAAACCAGCGCCAAGATGCCATCCCAGCTAGAACATGCCATGGAGAATATCATGTTCACTTTCCACAAATTTGCGGGTGACAAGAACTATCTGACGAAGGATGATCTTCGGCAGTTGATGGAGAAGGAAGTCCCTGGGTATATGGAAGTGAGTAAGGCTGAAACGGGATTGTTATTGGATTATTATTATTATTATTACTTTTCAGACTGCAGATGATGACGTTGATGTCATTGTTTGCAGAGGAGGGTGTAGGAAGTCAGGGGTACCCAACCATAGGTGGAACCACAGCCAATCACAGGCAGAGACAGAGACAATAAAGGTAAAGGACTCCTGACCGTTAAGTCCAGTTGCGGGTTGCGGCGCTCATCTAGCTTTACAGGCCGAGGGAGCCGACATTTGTCCGCAGACAGTTTTTCCGGGTCATGTGGCCAGCATGACTAAGCCGCTTCTGGCAAAACCAGAGCAGCGCACGGAAACGCCGTTTACCTTCCCGCCGGAGTGATACCTATTTATCTACTTGCTCCGGTGTGCTTTCGAACTGCTAAGTTGGCAGGAGCAGGGACCGAGCAACGGGAGCTCACCCTGTCATGGGGATTCGAACTGCCAACCTTCTGATCGGCAAGCCCTAGGCTCTGTGGTTTAGACCACAGGGCCCAATTCATTCCGGATGTTGTTCTGATCATCCCTGACCGACGGAGGCTGATGACAGCAGAAGTCCAATATGTCTGGAGGGCACTGGCTTTAAATTGTGCTGTTTAGGACATGAAAAGGGAGTGGGTGGCGCTGTGGTCTAAGACACTGAGCCTCTTGGGCTTGCCAATTGGAAGGTTGGCGGTTCGAATCCCCGCGACGGGGTGAGCTCCCGTTGCTCGGTCCCAGCTCCTGCCAACCTAGGAGTTCGAAAGCACACCAGTGCAAGTAGATAAATAGGTACCACTCTGGCGGAGGGAAGGTAAGCAGAGTTTCCGTGCGCTCTGGTTACCGACACAGCGCCAGAAGCGGTTTAGTCCTGCTGGCCACATGACCCAGAAAGCTGTCTACAAACGCTGGCTCCCTCAGCCTGAAAGCGAGATGAGCGACGCAACCCCAGAGTCGCCTTTGCCTGGACTCAACTGTCCAGGGGTCCAGGAAGAAAGCTTGCTTCCATCTTCCACAGGACGGCCCTTTAGGTAACAGTAATGATAATGGCAGAGATGCGGGTGGTGCTGTGGGTTAAACCACAGAGCCTAGGAGTTGTCGATCAGAAATTCAGCAGTTCGAATCCCCGTGACGGGGTGAGCTCCCGTTGCTCGGTCCCTGCTCCTGCCAACCTAGCAGTTTGAAGGCACCTCAAAGTGCAAGTAGATAAATAGGTACCGCTCCGGTGGGAAGGTAAACGCCATTTCCGTGCGCTGCTCTGGTTCGCCAGAAGCGGCTTAGTCATGCTGGCCACATGACCCGGAAGCTGTATGCCGGCTCCCACAGCCAATAAAGCGAGATGAGCGATGCAACCCCAGAGTCAGCCATGAGTGGACCTAATGGTCAGGGGTCCCTTTACCTTTACCTAATGATAATGGCCTGTTGTTGTTTTTCCCTGCCTGCCCCCTCTTTTTCTCTCAGAACCAGAAAGATCCAATGGCCATCGACCGGATCATGAAAAACCTAGAAGAATGTCGGGATGGCAAAGTCAACTTTGAGGGCTACCTCTCTCTCATTGCCGGGCTGACCAATGGATGCAACGAGTATTACGTGAAGAAGATGAAGCCAACGGGAGTCAAGAAGTATTGATGGGATAGCGTGCGTGATCTCGCACCCGGAGCACCGGCGGCGCGCTTTGGCGCAGCCAGGCTCACGGGGCCGATAACCCCAGAAAAGCTTACCTGCCTAACCTTTCCAGAGCTGACTGTTCCTGCTTAAAAATAAAAGGTCGTGTCATGCCTCCGATCTAAATAATAACGCAACTGCGGCTGTGTACCTTTGAAGCACCATCGATACACGCAGAGCATCTTTCCCTCAAAGGATTCTGGGCGATGGAGTTTCTTTGACGGGGGAATGTGATTTGGATGCGCTTTAAAGTTTACAGCCTTACGTGCGGAGTAATCCAGTCCTTAACAAAGACCTCCTTGTCCATCCCTTCTGTGAAATCCCAAAGCTTCGTTGCCAGGGATGTGTCAGCCCTTTTCGTTCCTCCCTCAGCCATGCCCTCTCCTTGGCCGTGAAATAAAACATTTTTCTAAAACCCAGAAGGCCTGTTTTTGTCTTTCGAGAAAAGATAAATACCCTAAGAGCAACGTGTTCTTTCAAGCTCATCCCATCTTGGTGAGGCGAGGGTGGAGCTGGAGGGATTTAGCTTTTGAAAGGGAGGAGAACTGGTTCCGTCAACCCCAGGTCGCAGCTGACGGATGTCAGGACTCGAATCCGGGTGCGCAGTCCAGGTGTTTGTTTCTTGCTCGTTCCTTTAGAATTCTTCCAGTTGCAGAGTCCCTTGGAAAATATGTGCTTTCCCCCACATTGATGAATGTCAGGCATCTGTTAAAGGCAGTTACCGTATTTTTCGCTCTATAAGACGCACCAGACCATAAGACACACCTAGTTTTTGGAGGAGGAAAACAAGAAAAAAATATTCTGAATCCCAAAAGCCAGAACAGCAAGAGGGATTGCTGCGCAGCAATCCCTCTTGCTGTTCTGGCTTCTGGGATAGCTGCGCAGCCTGCATTCGCTCCATAAGACGCACACACATTTCCCCTTACTTATTAGGAGGGGGAAAGTGCGGCTTATAGAGCGAAAAATACGGTATTTACCAGTCACTGCCTCCAGTGAATGGCAGCAGCTCTCCAGGTTCTCAGACGGGATCTTTCCCTGCCTTGCAAGGAGATTCCAAGGATTGAATCTGGGATCTTCTTCATGCAAAGCAGAGGCCCCACCACTGAGCTACATCTTTTTCATGTACGCCCCAGAGACTGAACAGTACTAGTATGGTCATTAGGGACGCAGGTGGCGCTGTGGTCTAAACCACTGAGCCTCTTGGGCTTCCCGATCAGAAGATTGGCGGTTCGAATCCCCGCGACAGGGTGAGCTCCCATTGCTCTGCTCCAACTCCTACCAACCTAGCAGTTCAAAAGCACACCCAAAAGTGCAGTAGATAAATAGGTACCACTCCGGCGGGAAGGTAAACGGCGTTTCCGTGCGCTGCTCTGGTTTTGCCAGAAGCGGCTTAGTCATGCTGGCCACACGACCTGGAAGCTGTACGCCGGCTCTCTCGGCCAGTAAAGCGAGATGAGTGCCGCAACCCCATAGTCATTTGCGATTGGACCTAATGGTCAGGGGTCCCTTTACTTAGTATGCTCATTGTATTGTTGGGAAAGGGAGGAATTGTTGACATAATGTTATGTCTCATGCAAATACCAATACTCGAGAGAAATAGCAGCCAATCGTAGCTGTACCGCACCATGTAGCATTATTAGGGACCAGCAAAATATTAACCATGATATTGGAATCCATCATTCCTTGAAAGTTCAAGGTGCTAGTCCTCTGTGTCTTCCTGAAGGCAGGGTGTTTCTGTACAGAGGCGCTGACTTGTGCCCAAGATTGAGGGGGCCCAGCGCATAGGTGACACCAGGCGCATGACACATGTAGGTGACACCATGCGTACAACGTCGTAACGCCGGGAGGAGGCCGAGTGCGGAGCCCAGCTTCAATGGCCAACAGCTCCTCTCTCGCACTCCATCCCTCAGCATTAAGGTAGCCGAAGACATCTCAGCCCCATAGAGGGGGGGCCCTTGTTTCCGTTACGTGTTCCAGGCTACATTTAGGAACACCGTTTCTGGGGTGTGAGAGGCCAAACCTAACTTCTGGTCCAAACATGAACCTAACTTTGACCTGACATGGGCTCACCTAGTGCCGGATATACGTATAAGCTAAACAAGCTATAGTTTAGGGCCCCACTCTCTTGGGGGTCCCAAAAAAATTAAAGGGAAAAAAACTGGATGTACATTTCCAAAATATAAGATAAAAAACAAATGAAATAAAACCGACATACAGCAACAGTGTTTTGTGTTGTGTAGGTTCCTATGATGTAAGTCATGGGCCCCGCCTGCTCCCTAAAATATCACTGGTTTGCTCATTTCTATATATAGGGTGCCTACATTTGGCATGGACTGGTTGCATGGACAACACATGCAAATGGCTTTAGGTACCTATTAGGTCCATAAATTACCATATAGCATATATTCAACACACACAGCGATGATTTGTTGCTGACAAAAGACAGCTGGACATATGAAGGGCCCTATTACCTTCAGTAGCTGTGGGGCTCATCAAACCTAAATCTGGCCCTGGGCTCACCATCTGTACCTCACTTTTAGTCTGTGATGGCATTACCAGAGCTGGCAAAGATGGAATCCTCTGCGGATTAATGTGTCGCCAAGGCGGCTTGGCGTAATTACGGCCCCGAACACTGCACAGTCCTGAAGAGCTTTTCATCTCCAGGAAACAGACCGTTTCCAGATCCCCCCTCGTTCATTCGGCATAGGAAGGTGTGTCACGAGCGAGCGCAAAACAATCAGCTCAGAGGAATTTTATCAAGGAAGCTCCTGGAACCGAGGCAAAATATGAAAAACAAAAACACTCCCAACCTCTCAACTTCCACAGCCAAGCTCATCTTCATCAGGGATCGCTTTATGTTTTAAGAGAGATTTAAAAATAAGAGAAGGAGAAAGAAAACACCAGTCGACTTTACTGATACAATGACCATCAATGCATCCATCCCCATTTAAACATTCTAAGTCCCCATCGTCCCTATGTATTTAAAGCAGTATCATACTGCTTTGAACAGCAATGGCTTCCTGCAATGAATTCTGAGAGCTGTAGTTTGTTACGGGTGTTAGGAGACTCCCCTATTCCCCTCACAGAGCTACGACTCCCAGAGTTCCTTGGGAAGACGTATTGATGGGTAAAGCACTTTGAAATATGCATTATAAAAACACATACATTGAAAGGCACGTCCGATTTTTACAGGTAGGCTTGCTTCATCGGCAAGCACCGAGAAGAGAACAGCCACTGCCTAATTTCAATGGGCAGGGAGTTCCAAAGGGTAGGTGCCTACACAAAAAGAGCTGTTTCCTTCCCAGTGCAGAATGGACATTTCGTGGCATTTGTACTCGGACACCTTCAAGATTGCTTGCTGTGTCCACACACACACACACACACACCCCATAGCTGTCAACTTACAGATTTGAAAATAAGGGACCAGCAGCCTCGAAAATAAGGGACCAGCAGCCAAAATAAGGGATCAACAATTACTTTGATAAAATACATATTTTGTTGCGTGCAAATGGCTTTAGATACCTTAATAGGTATATAAATTACCATATAGCATATATTCAACACAAAAAAACAGCAACAATTTGTTGTCGACAAAGGACAGCTGGACATAGAAAGGGCCCCATTACCTTCAGTAGCTTATTTAAGGGACATCATCAATAAGCGACAGCAGCGAGACATGGCGCTGGGATAAGGGACTGTCCCGCCAAATAAGGAACGCTTGACAGCTATGAGACACCCCGATTCACGCCTCAAGATGTTGTCACTGGCCAGCTTGAGAGGGTAGCAGGGTTGGGCTGGGATACAGAAATACCGGAGGCAATGACTGAGGCAGGACAGTGCATGGTTTGTTGAGGTGGAGCAGTCCAGAAATAGCCCCCTGGAATGAATTCCACTGGTGCAGATGGGATGCTAAGAATTCACAGCTGGGCAAAGAGAAAGGAGGAATTGTCATCGCGTGTGGATGCAGTTTTGCAAGGCCAGCAGATGTTCCAGTAGTATTACTCTGCTCAGCTGCAGGATTTGCCCGAGGGTCACTTTGTTAGAAGGGATGCGGGTGGCACTGTGGTCTAAACCACAGAGCCTTGGGCTTGCCGATCAGAAGGTTGGCGGTTCGAATCCCCGCGACGGGGTGAGCTCCCGTTGCTCAGTCCCTGCTCCTGCCAACCTAGCAGTTCGAAAGCACCTCAAAGTGCAAGTAGATAAATAGGTACTGCTGTGGCAGAAAGGTAAACGGCGTTTCCATGCGCTGCTCTGGTTCGTCAGAAGTGGCTTAGTCATGCTGGCCACAGGACCCGAAAAAACTGTTTGCGGACAAACGTCAGCTCACTCGGCCAGTAAATCAAGATGAGCACCGCAACCCCAGAGTCATTCGCAACTGGACTTAACTGTCAGGGGTCCTTTACCCTTTACCTTTAGTCCAACCCTGGCAATACAGGATGGGGGCGCGGGAACTATAGTTTTAAGAGTTGTTAGGCGGCTCTGAACTGCAGCCCCCGCATAGCTACAATTCCCAGAGTACCCTGGGATTGATTCTCAGACCCCTCTGGGAATTATAGCTCTGCAAGGGGAACAGAGGGGTCTCTGAACAATGCCCCAGAGGGGTTTAACAATCTGAGCAGCCGCAAGTTCAGCCCGTCGTCTTCAGATTTCCCGTGTTAACTGGGATCTTCTCCATGGAAGACGAAAAGTCAGTCCGCCCCTCGATAGGCCTGGCACAAGCGAGCTTCTCTGTTGAATGAAAAACAGCTCCCTGCCCGCTGCTCACTATCAGACTTTAACCACAAACACACAAACTCCACACTACGGCGGCTGTGAGTCACCCACCACGGTTCCTGTCCCGGGTGCATGTTTTGCCAAAAATATTTGACGTTGCCAGGGTGATGGGGATGAATTCCTGCCACAGCACCACCAGCAACAGCAGTTGTTGTGTGGGGTTTCTTGTTTTCGCTCGTTTGCTCACAACTGCTTAGCTCACTTGGGACGGTTGCGCAGGAAGTGGGTTTGCCTTGCCTGCAGAATTCTGGGTATATGGGTCTCTCCAGGGATGAGGCGATAGATAACTTTTCTTTTGTAAATCATTTTTATTCTTATTTTATTACGGAGACAACCCTTGCCTTCCAACTCAACACATGGTTCTTTAAGCAAGCAACACAACCACAGCTTGGAAAATAAGACTTAGGGCTGCAAGGTGCGCACCAGTTCTTGGCCATGTTCCTCCTTATCTACAAATGAGAGAAAGCTACAGTTCCCAGGATCGCATGAGGGCAGGGATGTGGGATTCCATGTGTTTTCAGTGTCAGCTGTGTGAACTCACCCAGAAAACAGGTGAACAAAAAGCAGTAGCAAGGGCTCAGCTAGAATTTTCATAAAATATTAACAAAATCTCATTGCAGGGGCTTTGCACTATCCAATTCTGGCAGTCAGCCCAAGGGGGAAAGAGCCACTTGCTCTCAGAACAGGATCCGTAATCAAGTTACTTGTTTGGAGAGAAAAATTGAGGGGAAAGAGACGCCCTTCCTGTGCATAAGCCCCTGACTCATTCTTGCCGAACAGCAAACCACAGAGGCTCGTAAGGGGAATGAAACAGTCACTGTACAACCAGCCTTGTAGTGGGGAAGAGAGAGCTGAGGGAATGGAGGAGAGGACATTGATGACTCAGACTTTGCATCAAATGATGAACAGCAAGACCTGGGAGAGTTTCAGAGCGCATTAGCTAGAACAGGGTTGCCATTAACGACTCATCTGATTGCCATAGGCGACCAGGAATTCCACAAAGGGCGAGTGGGAGGACTGAGGGAGGAAAGGGACATGTTTTTCGCACCCTCTACAATCCCAGAAACTGCTTGGTTTCTGGGCTAGCCATCGCTCAGCTCCGTCCCTCGTAACCATTTGTTTATGGCATTAGTACCCCACCATTAGGGACACGGGTGGCGCTGTGGGTTAAACCACTCTTGGGCTTTGCCGATCAGAAGGTCAGCGGTTTGAATCCCCGCGATGGAGTGAGCTCCCGTTGCTCGGTCCCAGCTCCTGCCAACCTAGCAGTTTGAAAGCACGTCGAAGTGCAAGTAGATAAATAGGTACCGCTCCGGCGGGAAGATAAACGGTGTTTCCGTGCGCTGCTCTGATTCACCAGAAGCGGCTTAGTCATGCTGGCCACATGACCTGGAAGCTGTACACCAGCTCCCTTGGCCAATAAAGCGAGATGAGCACCGCAACCCCAGAGTCAGCCACGACTGGACCTAATGGTCAGGGGTCCCTTTACCTTTTTACCCCACCATTTATTCAAAAACAGCCCCTGCTCTCGAGCTTTCATTCTGAGAAGGCATGGCACACAAGGAAAGAGGAACAGGAGGGAGGAGGGGAAAGCAAGCTCAGGCACAAGCTCCTGCTGTTGCGCTGGAGTTGTCATAGCTCCCTTTTGGCGGCGTGACGACAGTCCTACAATTTTATTATATAGCAGCGATGCTGTTATCACTGTGAGCCACTTGAAGCTCACAACGCCATTGCTGTAAAAGTGGAGAGCAAATATTAAATCAGAGGTAATCAAACCAAAATCAAGGGTGAAATTTGCACCCAGTGCCCCACCCACTTGTGCCTTGTGCCTTGCCCGCTGCCGGCAAGCGGTCCCCAATAAATTTGCCCAGAACAGTCTGAAAAAAGGCTTGTGGGAAGGTGGCAAAAAGTCTCTGACAATGTGCAGTGGTGAAGCGGGAGGGTGAAGCCTTCGGAGCAATCAATGGAATGAGGCATGGAGCAGATGCAGCCTTTAGCATTATCAGCACACCTCGTGGACCGAGGCCAGACTGAAGTGGACGCTCCCAGGCATGCAAGCTGAATTCCAGTCTAAGGTGGAAGTCAGGCCAGAAATTTTTTAACATGAACATTCCACATGCGCTCAACTCCCCCAGTTCTCTTCTCTACCCAGGATACATTATTTCCCCCAAGCGGTCCCCCAAGAGGATCTGAGTTGATGGTCAGCATTTTCTAGAAGGAAAGGGGAGGTCTCTCGTGGATTGGGAACCAGCCTCGCCTTACAGCGTGACTCAGTCAGGAGCACCCACTGGAGAGATTCGGTTTGTTGGTGAGCAGTGCGCCAGCCTGACTACCGAACAGGGGCCTTACCTAAAATGCACACCTGGGAGTCATTTTGGACTCACAGCTGTCCATGGAGGGGCGGGTCAATTCTGTGTCCAGGGCAGCTGTTTACCAGCTCCACCTGGTATGCAGGCTGAGACCCTCCCTGTCCGCGGACTGTCTCGCCAGAGTGGTGCATGCTCTGGTTATCTCCCGCTTCGACTCCTGCAGCCAATTGGAAGCCGCGCTTTGGTTTCCGAACGTTTTGGAAGTCGAACAGACTTCTGGAACGGATTCCATTCGGCTTCCAATGTACGACTGTATTCCATCATGTCTCCCGTGTTCGAAACTCCCGTTGTTCTAGGCACATTTGACAACAGGGAATTTCATTAGCGCAAACAGTTTCTGAGCTCTGGGTGCAGTACTGCCCCAAAGACTTCAATTCAAAACGGTAGAATAGAAGGAAAGGAGGACCTTTTTCTGCCTGCCCACTTCCAGCTACTCTCTGAAGACTCGAGATGAGACCCTCTTAAGAATATTAGGGGGGTGCGCAGGGGAAGGACTAGACCATGTGAAAAATGAATGTGAAATTTTAGCTGCAGTTCATTCATTTTCAGCTTTGTATTCTTGTTATTTAAAAAGTGTGCCTACACATTCTGTTGTTGCACCCATAACCTCGTTTTAAGGTGCCATATAGCTCCTAGATTTCATATCTCAGTTTCTAACACTGCATAACTCCCGCTGCAATCCCTGAAGCACCATAGCCAGACGGGGTTTCTGAGGGACGCAGTGTGGATTTAATGCCAGGTCTGCAGGCAGTATAAGTTGCCAAATGAAGCATTAAGAATATAAAAATATATTTACTGTTACACAGTGTTCTAGTAGGTTTTTTTGTTCTTTCCCCCACCCTCCAGTACAGTATTTGATCACGTTCCTGTTGCTTAGCAGAGACAGAGTTTTCTTGCCATCCGCCCTGAAAATAAAACGTCAGGATCAGAGTTGGCAAAAGCACCATTGCTAGGCTGTCTGGAGTTAGCAGAACAGTTTAGCCAGTTTAGCCAGTTAGCCAGTTTAGCCCAATTGCTCCCCCTTGCGTCCGAAAAAGCAGAAGATTCAGGGCAGGCAAAAGAAAGGACTTGTTCATGCAACACGTAGTTCAGCTGTGGAACTTCCTCCCACAAGAGACAGGGATGGCAACCCAACTTGGACAGCTTTAAAAGAGGAGCAGCCAAATTTAATTTCCATTTCCTCTCACTTTTGAATTTGTATACCGCCTTTCTATATTGCTGCGCACACGGCGGTTTGCATGCCGACAAAGCAACAAAACACAGCAAGAAGAGATCTTCTTCTAGGGCAGAACCCGATCCGTAGATGTCCTAGAACTGTAGAGTGGGAGGGGACACCAAAGGCCATCTAGTCCAACCCCTTGCAACGCAGGAGTCTCAGCTAAAGCATTCATGGCAGACGGCCACTAAAAACTCTGCCCGGGATATGATGATAGTTATATTAATCTTGTTGTATCTTAAATTAATATATAAAAAAATAAAAAAATAACAACTTTTGCTTAAAAACCTCCAAGGAAGGAGAGGGAGACCTTTCCACTGTCAAACAGCTCTTACTGTCAGAAAGTTTTTCCTGATGTTCAGTCAGAATCTCCAGTGTAACTTGAAGCCTTGAGTTCGAGTCCTACCCTCGGGAGCAGGAGAAAACAAGCTTGCTCCATCTTCTTTTATTATTTCCGCCCAGGGTGGGTAGGGTATAAATTATAAATAATTGTTGTTGTTGTTTAGTTGTTTAGTCGTGTCCGACTCTTCGTGACCCCCTGGACCAGAGCACGCCAGGGACTCCTGTCTTCCACTCCTCCTGCAGTTTGGTCAGACTCATGCTGGTAGCTTCGAGAACACTGTCCCACCATCTCGTCCTCCGCCGTCCCCTTCTCCTTGTGCCCTCCATCTTTCCCAACATCAGGGTCTTTTCCAGGGAGTCTTCTCTTCTCATGAGGTGGCCAAAGTCTTGGAGCCTCAGCTCCAGGATCTGTCCTTCCAGTGAGCACTTAGGGCTGATTTCCTTCAGAATGGAGAGGTTTGCTCTTCTTGCAGTCCATGGGACTCTCAAGAGTCTCCTCCAGCACCAGAATTCAAAAGCATCCATTCTTCTGCGATCAGCCTTCTTTATGGTCCAGCTCTCACTTCCATACATCACGACTGGGAAAACCAGAGCTTTAACTATACGGACCTTTGTTGGCAAAGACAACAGGCATATAAATAATTTTAAAAATCATTTATTATTAAATATTATTAAGTAATAATAATAATAATAATAATAATAATAATAATAATTCTATCTGAAGGTGCCTCTCCTATCTCCTCTCAGTCTCCTCTTCTCCAGGTTAAACACCCCAGCTGTTTCAACCGTTCCTCATCAGGCTTGGTTTCCAGAACCTTTGATCATCCGGGTCTCCCTCCTCCGCCAATGAAAACTAAGAATGTCTCAGAAATTAGCATAAAAGACATGTGATCCGGCGCTCCAATCAGCACCAGGTATCAGATGGAAGGGCGGGCAAAGCGGAACAACCGCTCATTTCGAAGCCTCGGAGGGAAAGCTAGGAGGCGCTTTATTGGCTTTTACAAGGTGATTGACAGGAGCCAGAGCCAATGACGGATTGCGCGCAGCGTCAGTCACCAATAGACATCCAACCTATAGTTCTATCTCTCTCTCTCTCTCTCTCTCTCTCTCTCTCTCTCTCTCTCTCCCCCCCAACGGGTTGTCATAGCGACGGACGGACGGGCGGGAAGCGGGCGAGCCTCTTGCGCACGCGCAGTGGCGCAAAGAATGGCGCCGCTTGGATTCCTCTCGCCCGGAGAGCTAGAGAAACACACGGACGCATGCGCAGAAGCAGAGCCTGGCTCACTCTCTCCCCACCCTCGGGAGGGATGGGCGGAAGTGACGTTAACGGAAGTCAGAGGCCGGCTCCTGATAGTGACTGAGGCAGAAGAAGGTGAGAGCGGAGAAAGAGGAAAGAGGTGAAGTTTTCTACGCCTGGAATTTATTTATTTATTGGGGGGGGGGATGTGGGTCAAAGGTCAGAGGAGGGGGAGAGTTGGAGTCAAGGGGGAAATGAATATTCATGACTTAATGTTTACCAGATTATATGTTTTATTTTTTATTTCTGTTTTATTTTATTTGGTTTTATGAACTTATATGGGATTTTTTGGGTTTTTTCTTTGGTTTTATGAACTTATATTTATTTTATTTTATTTTCTTTGGTTTTATGAACTTATATTTATTTTATTTTCATTGGTTTTAGGAACTTATATGTTTTATTTTTTTCTTTTCTTTGGTTTTATGAATTTATATGTTTTATTTTTATTTTTAATTTTATTTTCTTTGTTTTTATGAATTTATATGTTTTATTTTATTTTTTATTTTCTTTGGTTTTATGAACTTTTTTTTAATTTGGTTTTATGAACTTACATGTTTTATTCTTTATTTTATTTTATTTGGTTTTATGAATGCTTTATTGGTTGCAAACTGTATAGCAGAAATAATAAATATTAAAGACAAAATAAGTACCTTTAAGTGATACTTGTTTTGTACATCATTTTGTAATTAAGTATACTGTGACCTCCGATCTTCCCATTACGTTCCTGAATTAAATTCCTTAACTGTGCACTTATCTCTTTTTCCCTCCATGTTATTTAACTTGCTTTGAATCTTGTAAGATTATCCTATTTACATATAGAAGTTCAGTCAAAACCTGCCAACGGATTGATATTCTTTTACATAAACTCTGTATATGTCCCACTCTCTGATAGATAACCTTTTCGTCTGTAACCTTGCTGAGACTCTCACCAGTTCAGCGTACTCTCTTAATTTATTTTGCCAGTCTGATTTGTATGGAGTATCCTCTCCCTTCCAACCTTTTACGATTAGAATTCTGGCAGCAACTGTAGCATACATAAAGACTCTCCTGAACTTTTTTGAAATTGTATGTTATATATGTTTTATGGTGATATATAGATTTAATTAAGGGACGCGGGTGGCGCTGTGGGTTAAACCACTGAGCCTCTTGGGCTCGCCAATCAAAAGGTTGCCAGTTCGAGTCCCCACAACAGGGTGCTCGGTCCCTGCTCCTGCCAACCTAGCAGTTCAAATGCACACAAAAAAGTGCAAGTAGATAAATAGGTACCGCTTTGGCGGGAAGGTAAACGGCGTTTCCGTGCGCTGCTCTGGTTTCGCCAGAAGCGGCTTAGTCCTGCTGGCCACATGACCCGGAAAAACTGTCTGCAGACAAACACTGGCTTCCTCGGCCTATAGATCATCTCAACCCTAGTGGTCCCTAGATGTTGTTGGATTACAACTCCCATCACCCCTGAGCTCTGGCCTTGCTAGCTAGGGTGGTTTAGGAGTTGTAGTTCAACAACATCTGGGGACCCACATGTTGAGAAATGCTGCTATAGAGCGAGATGAGCGCGCAACCCCAGAGTCGTCTGCTACTGGACCTAACGGTCAGGGGTGCCTTTACCTTTACCTTTTTTAAGGATTTAATTGAAGCACCAAATGCCCCCTGCTGTGATGACGTTTGTGACTTATTTGTATTAAGGTTCCTAAACTGACCTTATTAAAAGCAGCGCCTTTAGGACTGGGATCTTAAGTCCTTTCAAAAGTCCTCCAGGAGGGGCTCCATGGTGGCAGAGCAGCCAGAAAGGCCCCTGGCTTACTCCCTGGTAGATCCTCCAGGAAGGGCAGGGAGAAGAAGAAGAAGAAGAGTTTGGATTTGATATCCCGCGGCCCTGCCGCTCTCAAAACCTTGGTGGAGCAGCTGCCAGATAGTGTAGGCAGCGCTGACCCAGATGCATAAATGGTCCGACTCAGGAGGAGGCAAGCTTCTCATTTATTTCCTGGCAGTTAGTAACTGGGTGGGGCCGGGTGGGGGCCTGTGTTAGTGGGGAATGTAATTATGAGCAAGTTTTTGCTCCTTGCTTGCAATGCTTTGCCACCCAACGAAGCTGACTAAGTTTCAGGGTGGGCAGAAAGAAGGACTTCGTCTCATGGCACGTAGTTAAAGTTGGAATCTGCTCCTACTGCAGACAGTGATGGCCACCCACTTGGATGGCTTCCAAAGAGGACAGGAGAAACTCTTAATTTCAGTTTGAATTATCCTGATCCTCTATTCCCTTTCCCCTTTCCTCTTCTATGAAGAAACCCTTTCTGGGACCCCACATTTAAATTCTTCCCTGGTCTCCTTGCTGGCCCTAGTAGGACCAACTTGGCCAATTAGCCCTGGTGATCATTTGATGTCTACTGACTGGGTTTTGTTTTCTTTTGTTTTTCCCAAAACGACCCCTGAATTTTTGAATTTTATTGATATTGATGCTGCATTTTATGTTGTGTTTTGTGCTGTTCTTAAGTCGCATTTTGATCAATGTTTTATATTTGCTGTTGGCTGCCCTGAGCCTGGTTTTTAAACCGGGAAGGGTGGGGTATAAATAAAAAATTATTATTATAATAATAATTATTAAGAGGGTGAGGTTGCCAAGTCCTCTGCTGTCCCTCTCTAGTCAGAAGCCAGCATCCCTCCGAAGCCCAGATGCTGGGAGAACCTGCGAAGTTTGCGTTTCTCTTGCCAAACTGACTGGGCCAATCTCCCTTGGCAGGTGTCGTCCCTTCTGGCCGCATCTTGATCAGCAAGAAGAGTGACTGGCGCTTATCCCTGAGACGCGTACGAGTCGGACATGCTGAGGAGCTTCACTCGGCTGGCTAAGGGGCTCGCTCGCTGGGGGGGCCCCAGATGTGGTCCTCAAAGAGCAGAACCAGCGTCTCGAGGAGTCTTGCCTTCTTCCCAGATGCCGTTGTGGAAAGCCGCAGTGAGTATAGGATCATAGAGCTGTAGATTCGGAAGGGATCCCAAGGGTGATCCAGTCCAACCCTCTGCAGTCACAGCATACATGAGTTGGACGTTCTTTGTGGTTCTGGGACAGTGATGTTTCAAGCCATCATCTAAACGAGATCCACCAAATGAGGTCAAATTTGGGATCATTTGGATGATGGGTTAAAGATTGGCCTTTTGCCTGTGCTTTTGGGCACAGAGACTGCTGCCCAGTTGTCTGATTTGCTGTGTTTTTATTGGTTTTCTTTTAAATCTGATTTTTATGATTTTATTGATACTACTCCCCTACCCTGCAATGTCACCTAACATCCTTCTCTGGTTCTGAGGAGAAGCACTTTTTATCTGTCACAAACATACCACCCTTTATGCTCTTGTCACACAGCCTGACTGTGCTAATAGCACTGTGCTGGTAGCAGGATAGGTGCTCGGACTCGCTAAGTGCAGATTTCAACAGCTCGGGGCTGTCTACACAACCTACTCTTAAAGCTCGCATCTTCCCTTGACATAATATTGGGGACTGTAATTTGCCCATCACAGAATTACCATTTCCTGCCCCATCAACAAACTGCAGTTTCCTGCATTCTTTGGGGGAAGTCAGGTGCTTTGAACGTATGGTGTGTATTCAGATACGGTATCAGTTTTGAGCACCAGCGAGACCAGTTTCACAGAAAACAGAAGTTAATTATTATTTTTTTTATTTTTTTTTAAATAATTTTTATTAAGTTTAAAACAACATAACAAAAAAAAAACCCGAAAACAGAAGTTAATTAGGGTAGCTGAAGTTTTGCCAGTTCTTTCGTAGCTTTCATGTTCCCTGACTTTCGGCAGTGTTAGATGGGGCTGGCAGGAATGCAGCAACATCTGTAGAGCCAAAGATTCCCCACCCCTGTTGTAAATAAAGAGATTGCGCTCTCGTGCAAGATGGGTGCTGTATCGAGTGCAAAGCCCATGTCACGTTATTGTGCATGGATGTGACTATAAGAGTAATTTAAAGGTAAAGGGACCCCTGACCATTAGGTCCAGTCGTGGCCAACTCTGGGGTTGCGGCGCTCATCTTGCTTTATTGGCCAAGGGAGCCGGCGTACAGCTTCCGGGTCATGTGGCCAGCATGACTAAGCCACTTCTGGCGAACCAGAGCAGCGCACGGAAATGCCATTTACCTTCCCGCCGGAGTGGTACCTATTTATCTACTTGCACTTTGACGTTCTTTCGAAGTGCTAGATTGGCAGGAGCAGGGACCGAGCAATGAGAGCTCACCCGTCGCAGGGATTCAAACCGCTGACCTTCTGATCAGCAAAGGGACCCCTGACCATTAGGTCCAGTCGTCGCCGACTCTGGGGTTGCGGCGCTCATCTTGCTTTACTGGCCGAGGGAGCCGGCGTACAGCTTCCGGGTCATGTAGCCAGCAGGACCAAGCCGCTTCTGGCGAACCAGAGCAGCGCACGGAAACACCGTTTACCTTCCCGCCGGAGCGGTACCTATTTATCTACTTGCACTTTGATGTGCTTTCGAACTGCTAGGTTGGCAGGAGCAGGGACCGAGCAATGGGAGCTCACCCCGTCGCGGGGATTCAAACCGCCAACCTTCTGATCGGCAAGTCCTAGGCTCTTTGGTTTAACCCACAGCTAAAAACATTATTTTTTAGACCAGGGTTTCCCAAACTTGGGTCTCCAGCTGTTTTGGGGCTACTATTCCCATCATCCCTGGCCGCTGGTCCTGCTAGCTAGGGATGATGGGAGCTGTAGTCCAAAAACAGCTGGAGACCTAAGTTTGAGAAACCCTGGTTTAGACAAGTCTATTCAAATGCTTATAACGTTGAGGCAATTTAAATCTGTTTTAGTATTTTAATTTTTGCGTCTTTTTAGAGTATGGCTGTTATTTTTTTCTTGATTTTCTTGTTTTATATTTGAGATATTTTTTACAATCAAGTGGAGTATAATTTTTATAAAATAAATAATTACCACTGAAACTGGCTCAGAGCCAGCTGGGGCAGAGTGTCATCTTAGCTGTCTGCCCATTACGTCAGAAAGCAGAAAGCAGCCTCCAGCCTTTGGTAGTGATTCACACCCACACACCCAGATCTATCTCCATGAGTAGAATGTGTCCTTTTATTTAAAATGCATCTCTGGGTTATTTGTGGGGCATAGGAATTTGTTCATTCCCCACCCCACCCCCCAACAAAAATATATAGTCCGCCCCCCCACAAGGTCTGAGGGACAGTGGACCGGCCCCCTGCTTAAAAAGTTTGCTGACCCCGATGTATCATCATGATTTTACTGTGTACTATTATATTCTAATTAAGTAATGTTACTTTATTTGATTTAAGTTACTCCAATTTAAAGTTATGTTTTAGGTGTGTGTTCTTCGTTGTATACTTTGTTGCTGTAAACCGCCTTGTGAATAGTAATATAGAAAGGTGGTAGACAAATTAAAAATGAAATTAAATCAGCTGTCAAATCATTTCCATCTGCCCCCCTACTTTCCATGACTTTCCTAGGGTTACACTCATGCTGTGTATGTACGTTCATACATATACATTCATGTGTGTGTGTGTGTGTGTGTGTGTGTGTGTGTGTATATATATATATATATATGAATTCAAAGGAGGACTTGAACAGGAAATCATAGGAAAAACTTTGATAAATGTTTTGTTGTTGTTGTTTTTGCTTTCTCATGCTTAGATGACCCCCACTTTTGGCCTTTGCCCCCCCAGAACCTGGACCCTGGAAGATTCAAAGAGTTTGAATGCATCCCTCAAGCTGAAAGTGGTTCCCTACCCCTAGATTGAATGCATTCAGCAGCTGATGAGAGTGTCAGGGGCAAAAACTGGAGCTGGGCCTATACCTAGGAGCTTTGAAGGGTGGGAGAGCAGAGCAGGATGGGAAGAAAGCTGTGTGTGTCCCTGGTGGAAAATGCTGTAAATCACAGGTGATGCTTTTGCTGTGCTATAACCTGGATCCTTATCCCCTCTTTTCTCCGCACCTTTAGTTCCCTGGCTTACGTACATTCCCTTTCTTTTCAGGCACTATTCCATGAGTCTGAGCATGCAAAGGACTATTCCATCCCCAATGCCAGCTGGACTCCAGAGATGGTGAATCAGTTCAACAGATTCATGGCGATGGCGAAAGACGGAACGTGGAAAAGGCTGCCTTCTTATAGGAATGTTGCAGATCACGTTCCAGGCAAGGACCTCTTTTTCATTCCTTTCTCTCTCTCCTTGCTAAAACCTTTGCCACCAGCCTCTGTTTCATCCAGAATATCAGGGATGGCAAACTGGTAGTCCTCTGCATGTTCTTTGATTCCAGCTCCAATTGTTCTCGTTCTGTTCTGCCCAATGTCAAATTTGGGCTTCTAGTGTTGTATCTCCTTTCCCTTGGAATCACCCTCCTCTTAAATATTACTATACAGGTGCCCACTGAAGACCTTCCATTTCCAAGACGCCATTTAAGTAGAGATTTTCCCCAGTCTGTATCTCTGCTGAAATTGATTTTTAAATAGTTGTACAGATGTTTTTATTTGTTTTATTCATTGCATTTGTTCCCTTCTGTGGACTCCAATTGTTCTTGTTCTGTTCTGCAGAATGTCAGAATTGGGCTTCTAGTGTTGTGACTGAAAGGGGGTTGTTGTTGTTGTGTATTTGTGTTTTCATTTTGTATTTTGTTGTATACCTCCCTGTGATTTTGGGGCGAAGGTTGGCATATCCATTTAATAGCTAATAATATTTAGTGGGCGCCTTAAAAATCATTCATAAGGCGCCTGTCTGAGCAGGCCGGTGGCAGGAGCACCTGAAAGGAAGACACCTAAAAGCTACGTGATGAAACCCTGCCCTCGTCCCTGCCTCTTCCTCTTTCCCAGGCACCGAGAGTTACTCGGTGTTGTTACTGCATGCAGGTGAGTCCATAATAAGACCGTGCTCATTCACGACTTGATGCTGCTCCCACAGTAAGGATGAGGCAAGGGAACGAGCTAAAGGACAGAGCCAGCCGTCTCTTCCTCAGGAACCTCGACGAGGAAGGCATGGGCTTTGAATACGCGATGTTTCTCAACCCGTCGGAGAAAAGGATGGTGTCCGTGTTCCAGCTTGGTCCCTACCTCGAAGGGCCTCCAGGGTAAGGACTGAACCAGAACCGTGAACCATTTTCTAAACCATGGCCCCTTGGAGGTGTTTGAGTGAATTTGGTGGGCACCATCCACCTGGCCATTTTTCTGTGCCCTTCCCTGGATCAGCGCTCCCAGTAGAGAAATTGCACATGTATACGCCTCACTTTTCCAAGGGATGTGGGTAAAAGCAGGTTCCAGTGGAATTACCGTATTTTTCGCTCTATAGGACGCACCCGACCGTAGGACGCACCTTGTTTTAGAGGGGGAGAGCAAGAAAAAAAATCTCCCCCTCTCTGCTCAGCGCCCCTTCAGCGAAGCACCAGGAGAAACGGAGCTCCTTCCATTTCTCCTCCCGCTTGGCTGAAGGGGCGCTGCGCAACTCTCCCTCTCTGCTGAAGCCAGGAGAGTCTTGCCCTCCTGGCTTTAGCGAAAGGAGCCGAAGTCTTTGGAGCACAGCGCGAGGTCCTGCTGCGCTCCAAAGGCTTCAGGGATAGCCGCCTGAAGCCTTTGGAGCGCAGCGGGACCTCGTGCTGCTCTCCAAAGGCTTCAGGCGGCTATCCCTGAAGCCTGGAGAGTGAGATGGGTCAGTGCGCACTGACCCCTCTCGCTCTCCAGGCTTCAGCGAAAGCAACGTGTAGCCTCCGGAGTGCGGAGGGAGCGCTCCCTCTGCGCTTCGGAGGCTTCGCGTTGCTATCGCTGAAGCCAAGGAGCCTGCATTTGCTCCATAGGACGCACACACATTTCCCCTTAATTTTTGGAGGGGGAAAAGTGTGTCCTATAGGGCGAAAAATACGGTAATTTGAGCCTGCAGAGGTTCAGGGGCGTGGTGGCCTGGGAGAGGGCCTTCCTAAGTTGTGGAACTTCCTCCCCACGGAGGTGCAGCTGGAACCCTCATTACACTGCTTTTGGCAAATTCTGAAGACCCGCCTCTCAAACCTGGCCTTTGACACCTGAGACTTGTGTTTTCAGGGACCACCACCCTATTCCTTTTTTATTTTTTTATTTCCAAAACAAACAAAAAAATAAAATTTACAAACATCAAATTCAGCATCCGTATTTGTTTCCTAACATAAACCTGTTACATGATCAGCTAAATCAAATATACCTAATTACTCTAAACTTCTCTTTGCTGTATACAAATACATCACAATTAGAAATTATATATTAAAACTTTTATTTATATTGCTCACCACCCTATTCCTGTGGCTGTGATCTGTTTTAAATGTTCTGAATCTTGAATCTTGCATTGTTATAACCACGTTTTGGGACCTGTTGCTTAAGGGTGGGTTAAAAATTCAGTAATAATTATTCCAACGATAATGGCAATATCCCTTCTCCCGTAACAGTGGGCAAATGTAGTGCCTCTTTAAACAGGCAGTCCAGGAGTACCTGGTATCCACTCCTGCTCTGGGACCTCGTGTCTCCCTGAATCCACGCTCTCCTGCCTCCATAGCCATGCGTGGAAGTCATCTTTGCACATCATCTTCTTTGTTTCCACAAAGTTTGTGTGGTTTTTATTTTTTAAATAAACTTTTGTTTTTTACAGGTTTGTACACGGCGGCTGCATCGCCACCATCCTGGACAGCGTCCTTGGCACATGTGCCATCTTTGTCGCTGGCAGGGTGTTCACCGCAAACCTCACCATAAACTACAAGAGGTGAGCAAACCTGCCTTTGTAAAACTAAGAACTTAGGAAATCGGCATAGGTCATGGGTTTGATTTTAAGCACTCTGCAAATCTTTCAACACATTTGGCAAAGCAAGAGTCCATTCAGTAATAAGAATTCTTTTTTTTAAAAAAATATAATTTTTTATTAGTTTTTTTTAACATGTCATTTTCAACAGTAATTAAACATACTTTTACATCTTATTCAAATTTTTGACTTCCATCAATCCTGTCTGAAAATTTTCCAATCTAATCTCTCAGTATGCATTTCTTATTTTTCCTATTACATTTCAAACTCATAACCAATATCTCTATCTTTTTCTACTTTGTAACACTTCGTATATTTCTCCTTACAAAACTTCTTGTAATCCTACTAGCGTAATTTGTTGATTACAGTTGCTCTTCAAATAATTCATATACTTCTTCCAATCTTCTGTAAATCTCTGGTCCCGCAGGTTTCGAATCCTTCCTGTCATTTTGTCCAATTCTGCATAGTCCATTAATTTTGTCTGCCATTCTTCTTTCGTCGGAATTTCTTCTTGTTTCCATTTCTGGGCTAACAATACTCTTGCCGCAGTTGTTGCATATAAAAACAATTTAGCCATTCAGTAATAAGAATTCAGGACATTTGAATAGAACACATACTCTCCTAGGTTCTTATTTAAACTTCTCCAAGGGTCTGTCTGGTTTAAAGTTGACTCCGCTACAAAACATACTAGCAACAGTACAGAAGTCAGCCTATGCTATTCTGAAGTTTTTCTATTCTGAAGGTGGCAGGCTGGTAATTCCAGCCCTAAAAGTCTAACTAGGGGAAGTAGTAGCTCAAATGCAGTATGGTATTGAGATCTGGGGGATAAATCACAACAACCAAGAGGTCCAGAGGGTGGCAACACAAGAACGGGGCCTTCTCTGCAGTGGCTCCCCTTCTGCGGGATGCTGTCCCCAGGGAAGTTCACCTGGTGCCTTCATTATACACCTTTTGGCACCAGGCAAAAACATTCCTTTTTAACCAGGCCTTTGGTTGATTTGATTGACACCCTATGCCCTTTTAAAATGTGGGGGTTTTTTGGGGAGAAGGGGTTATTGGGTTGTTGCTTTTATTTTGATTATGTATTTTGAGGTTTTATATTTTGATTTTGTTCTGTGAACTGCCCTGAGGCCTCTGGGTATAGGTTGGTATATAATTTCAATAAATAATAATAACCTGAAAGACCTTCAAGTCTGCCAGAATAAGTTCCTAAGGTGTCTACTGGCAGTACCTCCAGGTACCCCAGCTGCTTTCCTTAGGACAGAGACAGGCATGGTGTCTCTGTCCTAAAAGCTCCATCCTAAAAGCTAGGATGGAGATGGCTGCTCTTTTGTACTATAAAAGGGTCCTGGATATGCCAGAGGACTGTTTGCCTAGACTCTGCCTGGAGAAACAGCGGAAGAAGGGTGGTTGGGCCAGACTAGTACAAGACATGCCAGCCTCAAAAAACCTGACAACAGACGTTTTTGTATTCCCTGGAGTTAAAAGACTGCTCAGGGATTGGATCTATAAGCAGGATAACGGGCAAGACATATCTTTAATCTGTATCTCAAAATTCCCCCGTTGGTACCATTTGCTGAAATCTAACCACACCAGAGCCCAATATTTGCAGACACTTACCTTTGCCTCCCTGATAACTGCATTTAAAGCTCTCCGCTTTCAAACAATGCCCACATCAGTCTTGGATGGAAGATATAAGAAAGTTCCAAGGCATTTAAGATGTGTGGGGCAGGTGAAGTAAAAGTCCTTCCCCATTACATACTCCATTGCCAGCTCCATCAAAACCCCAGAAAGAGATTTTTTTTAACAGATGTTGGCACTGCTACAGGGACAGAACCCTGGAGTGAAAATACGTTGGCTATTATCTGACTGCAACCCGCTTGTCACATATAAAACAGACTTATTTGCAAAAGCCACTAAAAGTTTTTGTGCTAGTCGCATAAAAGACAATGCTGTAGACTGTGCAGAGGACTCATTAATTGGATTTATTGTAAATGGTTGTTTATTTCTGGATCTTCCTTAATAGGTTTTATTGGAGTTTCTCGTTTTGTAACTGGATCTGTAATGGCATTTAGTCAAACACAATAAATAAATAAATGAATGAATGAATGAATGAATGAATGAATGAATGATTGATTGGAAGTTGAGGGGTTTTTAAAATCCCAGTCTGTTTTGGCTGTGGATTTGAATTTTAATAGATATATAATGGCTTTATACGTGTTTTTATTGCTGTTTTATTGTTGTTAACCATTTTGGGATAAAATAACATCTCCCCCTGTTAGTCCTATCCCGCTGGGCTCCGTAGTCTTGGTGGAGAGCAAGCTGGACCGGATAGAGGGCCGGAAGGTGTTTGTCACTGGGCATGTGCAGAGTGTCGATGGGCAGACGGTTCACACAGAGGCCACAGGTAATGGCTTGGTTCTTGCTATCGTTTGCTGCTGTCGTCGGTGCTACGTCAAAGCTTTCACACAGCATTTTATTTTATTTTATTTTATTTATTAATGTTGCAATACATATATAAAATCTTTACATAATAATACATATACAGTATATTCGTAAATTCACATTTTCACATTTCATTATGTACCAACATTTATCCATTTCTTATTTCTTGCCCTGTGTCTTCCCTCCACCCATGCGTGACTTCCTTGTTATTATTTTGTAACTTTATTATTGAGGTTGTATTCTTGTATCTTAATAATTAAACATTCAGTCTTATATATCTGCTTAGCTTAGCTTAGCTTAACTTTGTGAAATCAGTCTATACAGATCAATAAATCCTTGTTGGAGCATCTTTTGGTCATGTATTCTTCTACACATTTCCATTCCTGTTTGAGATTTTGATTAGATTGCATTCTAATTGTTGTCATTTTTGCTAATTCAGTCACTTCAAAAAAAATTATGTTGCCAATCTTTCGATGTTGGTACTCACACAGCATTTTATTTTATTTCTCCCCTCCTGTTTCTGTTTTAGCTCTCTTCATCCAGTTGCAGTTAAAGGACTCCATCCAGCAGCAAGCCTCTTCCAAATAGCCCACCAGAGGAAGTCAAGTCTTTTCCCGTGAAAGCTGGTCATCTTGAACAGGTCCAGATCCAATGCCTAGCCTTAAGCACTTGAACCTGGGGAGACCGACCTCTGCCAATGCGTTTTGGCTCCCTCCTGAACCAACTCTGCGCACTTTGGCAAGCGTGCATTTCCTCTTCCCACGTTTGACTGCAAAGTGCGTCCTGTCTCCTCGATGTCGCCCCAGGGCTGTTCCTGCTACACAGAGCTCTCAGAGCTGGACCGTGGCAGCTCTTTCATATACCGTTCTCTGCGATGCAGTATTGAACTTTGAAGCAGTGTTTTCCGGCCTTTGCCAAGCTAAGCTCGCCTGCTATCAACAATGGGTTTCCACTTCCTCTCTTGTTGACCTGTCTGCCTTCGATTGCCAACAACCCTCCTCAGCTTGTCTAGAAAACACACCACCTCTTTCAGGAAGGAACCTTGCCTCTCTACCTTTTGGGGAAATCATCACCATCAAACCTTTATGGCATCACATACAACATCCAAACAAATCAGTACAGAATTACCGCTTCCCCAGTGGCACAAAACATTTGCTAAAAGAAAGGGGGCAGAGCAGTCTATCGTCACATCTTTTGGTCTCCAGGGAGATCAGACCTCTGCAGTGCATTTCGACGACAAAAAACCAAATAGAGATATTTAGCCGCTAACTTGGTGAGCTCCTGATCATTCCCCAGTAATAGAAAATGTATGACCTCCGACTCTGGTTTCCATTTCGGGATACAGAGTTGATCTAGAAATTGCTGGTGGAGATCGGCATATAGTTTACAATTAAAAACCATGTGTGTGAGGGTTTCCACCAAGTGGTCTTCACATGGGCAAGTTCTTTCTCCTTCCACCCTGCCTGAGAACCTTCCTTTTATGGAAATGCTACAATCCTAGAAACTGGTTCCTGGGAAATTTGGATCTTTTCTACATTCTTCTGGAGAAAACGATTTACGCCAAACAGTGTTGTCATTGCTACTTAAGCAGACTCTTGCCACTTCTAGGGCACATAGGGGGTTTTTTGTATATATGGCAAGTTAATATATATATATTATATAATATATAATAAGCAGAGTAATATATTTGCAGGGAGGGGGGGATGTGTGTGCCTAACTTAACTCATAGCACCATGGAAAGTATTTTCTGTAAAACAGCTTATCCAGCAAGCTCAGGGCAACCTCTCACTATGCCTTCCATAGCAGACCTTGCCTTTTTTCAAACACCCGCTGATCAGCTCCACATGTACCCATGTGCTGTTCTGGTCACTTATCAGGCAGTCTAACTATTGCTGAAAACCTGGCCAGATATGTCCCATTTTTGAACCAGAGTAAGCGGAGGTGTTCTCTGGAGTCCAGACATGTAGGGTGGTATCCCAGCATTAGCCCTACCCAAGGTAGGCCCATTGAACTCAATGGATGTGGCCGTTGCAGGTCTATTAATTTCAGTGGGCCTGCTCTGAGTAAAACTTGGTTGAGTGCAATCCATGCTTACCTTTACATCAGAGGTGTTGGCGCCCTACAAGAAGAGGAGCGTTGCCTGCTATTCTCTCCCTCCCCCTCTCTCTCTCACACACACATAGATAGATAATCTTAGCTGTTGGAAAGCAAACGCTCTTCATACAAATCAAGGCCCAATACAAATCATAAAAATCTGCAGTGTCAACACACCCATCTTTCATAATAGCATTTTACTGGAAATTGCTGGGTCGTACATGCATTGTGTGTTTTCATATAGTGCCGTGTTTTCCCAAAGAGGCATATTCTCTGTCCTACCCTTTTAGTTCCACAAATACTCAAACTGAGCTGATGGCTTCCAGAAATCACAGCAGGTGTGCACTGTGCACTTTTTATGCGTCTGGGCTGAGCGTCACGCATACAAACCCTCAGCCGGTTTTCAGCTGGTGAACACATGTTCAGAGCTTGCCTTTGAGCCTGTTGATACGAACAAAAAGTGCCTATAAAGCTTCCGTGTAAGCTGATATTTCATATTGAAGCTTCTTCCTCTTAGGTTTTTGAGGGGTGCAACCAAGGGAGCTCTTCTATTGGCCTGTTAATAAGGCAGGTGTGGGGAGCCTGTGGCCCCCCAGTTATTGCTGAACTCCCACCATCCCTAGCTATTGCCTATATTTGCTGGGGCTGATGGAAGTTGTGGTTCAGCAACATCTGTAGGACCAAAGGTTCCCCACTCCTGATATAAAGGGGACCTCTGCTGCTTCTCCCAATCCCTCCCTCCCAATAAACCTTAAGAGCGTGTGCAGATCAAATATATTTAAGCTCCCACCAGGATGTTTGGTGGGGCCTGGTTCTTCCATAGCATTCTAGCAGTGGTGTAAATGCATGAGTGTTTTTTTACCGTTTAAGTATGCAATAAGGGCCAATTTGCCGTCAGACAGGGGGCCTTTCAGGTGTCATTGCACTTCACCTCTCATCACCCCTGTGCATGATGGGAGTTGGAGTCCACCGCCATCTGGAGGGCCTCATGTTGGCTGCCCCTGACTCGCAAGACGTTCTTAGAAAGGAATTTGCCTCCCACATGGGGAGAGATCCTCTTGAGGCCCTTCTCTGTCCTTGGAAGTCCACCCTTGTCTCTCCCCTGCTGCCCGCAGCCAACTGCGTAGGAAAATGGTGGTGTAGCAAATGCTAGTGCTACTCAGAGAAGGCCCATTGTCGTCAATAGACGTGGCTAGCTTAGGGTCACCCTCAGTGGGTCTGCTCTGAAAAGAACTTAGTTGGACACAACTGTAGTTTGGAGCAGAGAAAGAAACATTCAGAGGTTTTTAGTGAGTGACGTTGGGGAGCATTTAAGTGGCTACAAAACATGGAAGGTTGCTTCCTCCTATGTGTAAGGAGGGTTGGGCTAGAGACCCCGTCTGCATGTATTTTTGTGTTGTGGAGCACCATCCAAAGGCTTCAATCTGGGACACAGCTCTCTGGTGTGTGACGGCAGCATTTGTGATAGGGAGTGTTATCTATATACTCCACTTCTCCCACCACCAGCATTGTAGGAACCTTGGGTCGTGTAATTTTCCCAGGGAGCCCAACTTGCCATAATGAGGGTATTGGGGATCATGGGGAAATTCATTTCCCTAGTACCTTTCGAATGGAATTCTATACGTTGTTGGACTTGGGGCAGAAACCTCACTCCCAGCCACTAGTGGCAGAGCAGCCAGGCAGAAGGTCTGAGAGCTCAAACCTGGATTACGGGGGAGAGATTAGACTTCTTCGTTCTGCTGCTAATGTCACTTGGGCTTGTCAGGGAATGAATTTGGTTCATAGCTGAGGTTGGCAAAAACTATTCTACTTTGTTGGGAAGCTGTGCGGTCTGTCAAGCTCAATTAAAAATAAAAAGGGGGCAGATTCATCCATAACTACTTGACTATCTGTTAACTATTCTGGCACTTTGCTGAGTGTTCTGGAAAACAGTGTTTGCCAAAATAAAAGAATAAAAAGCTATGATTGGTTTGTCTGTGTGTGTTTTCTCAGAAGGAAAATTTCTCTTGCTTGCTCTCAGTCTGCCAAAGACCTTGGGTCAACTGTTTCAATCAGACCAACAGTCCATCTTAACAGAGTTCCCAAAGTTAAGAAATCACCACCAGCTTAGTGGAAATGTGCCCAGTTTCTTTCAATATTTATTGGGTTTCTCTCCCAACTCAGAGCTTCTGGATTGGCTTGCAAGTTGTTGGAGTGGGGGGAATTATGTGGCAATGTTAGGCAATGTGCAGTTTCCAGCGGAGGCAAGTTAGGTCAAAGCAAAAGTCAGAGAAGAACAGGACCCTGGACAGGTCCCAAGAGGATCCAACTGGTCCATGCTTTCTCTGCAGAGAGCCAGTAGAATCCTAGTATGGGCTGATGAGATCTGGGCAGCCTCTGCTTCCCTGGAGAAATTGGCCTGGTTGGTTTAGGGAAGGCATTATGGGATGGAGATGCCACCACCAAGAAGCTTGAGGTCCCCTAAAGCAACCTTACCCAGTTTGGGTGGCCTTTCCGAGTTTTGGGGGCCTACAACTCCCATTGGTTCTCCTCTGGTAGTCTTACAAAAGCAATGGAGCTATCCAAAGGACTCACCACATGGTAATATCCCTCCCTACCCTCTCACTATATAGAAGGGTCTGGTGACTTCTGTGTATCTGAAGAAGTGTGCATGCACACGGAAACTCATACCAATAACAAACTTAGTTGGTGTCTAAGGTGCTACTGGAAGGAATTTTTTTATTTTGTTTTGACTACGGCAGACCAACACGGCTCCCTACCTGTAACCCTGAAAGTTGTTGAGATTATTTTAGGAAGACACCAAAAATTCCCTGGTATCGATGTCAAGCTCACTGGTCGGTAGTTACCTGGGTCTCCTCCCCCCCCCCCTTTTAGTAAATGGGGACAACATTTGCCTGCCTCCAAGCTGCAGGGACCTCACCTGTTCTGCAAGAATTCTCAAAGATCATAGAGGCTCTGAGATTACATCCGCAAGCTCCTTTAGTACCCTTGGATGCAGCTCATCAGGCCCTGGAGATTTGAATTCATTTAGATTAGCCAGGTGTTCCCTTACCACCTCTTTTCCTTTCCTGGACTGCTGCTCCCTTTCCCCCCATCATTTAGTCTGTTATCTCCAGGTTGGACACTTCTTTCCTTTTGGGTGAAGGCAGAGACAAAGCAGGTGTTGAGCAGTTCCACCTTCTCTCTGTCACCCAACAGCATTTCTCTGTGTTTGCTACACAGAGGACCTACCACTTGCTTCTTCTTCCTCTTGCTTTGAACATAGCTGAATAAACCTTTGCTGTTACTTTTAACCTCTCTTGCAAGCCTGAGCTCATTCTGAGCTTTGGCCTGCCTAACCTTCTCTCTGCAAGTGTTGGCTACTCATCTTCCTTTGTGATTTCTCCTTTCTTCCATTTCTTATACTTTGTGGCTTAGGGCCCTCATATTTACGGGACCGCCTCTCCTGGTCTGCCCTGCAGAGGACCTTAAGGTCCATGAATAATCATAGTTTA